CTGTTAACTTACCACACAGACTAAAAGCAGGGAAAAACCATAGACTGGATAAAACAAGTGTATGTAGACACTCTGAAGTCACCCATTGGTTTGTAGCCTTAAATTTGACATTTTGGCTGTCATCATCTTGGTTTTTAGTTCTTAAAAAAAACAAAACCTGACACTACCCAAAAACAAGTTCACGGTTAGCGAAATGTACACAGTGCAGTGGGTAGGATTCGCCTCTATCCTGATTGATAGATCTCTGTGGTAGTAACATATGCTCATGAAGAAAGTGTTTACTGAGGTGTTAAATCAAGTGAGAAGTAGGGTAATTTTTTCATGGACTCCAATACAGTCAGCCTTTTTTTGGAACCAGTGGAGCTGCCCCGTGGTGGCTATTACAAAGAATGCAGGTTTAAGGTACTTCCACAGTGGATTCACTTTTCAGACCTGGCGATTGCTGCTTGGGAAAAAGAGCCAGCCTGGCTATGTCCAAAAGTAAAAAAAAAAATTAAGGGGCCTCTGAAAACATTCCCATAAAATCTCTAGGAAAGATTATCAGGACCAAATATCTCACCTACCGCAAGCCTCAGGGGAGCACTGTACAGTGTGGACATAAAGCCAGAGGTTCCATTTAAATGACTCCTCTTTTACAGGGTATGTTTTTCACACCGGCTGAAGAGGAAAGGGGTTAAGCCACAGGAATGTTGACCTATTTAGGACATGAGAAGTAAGGTATGGGAAGGAGGTAAGGAGTTATAGGTCTGATGTTGACCACATCAGGACCTCCTCTTTCAAACTTTTCAAACAAGGCAATAAGACCACTTAAATGTCTTAAAGTGTCTTTGACCTGAAAGTTGAGGCAGCAGATTAATGTGTCTCGTATGAATGCACAAAAATTTAGAATTATCTTCCAAATATTGAATTACCATCACCTTTCTTATCTGATAGTTGGCAGGCTATAATCAAATAGATGGCCTTTTGTTGTCAAACATTCATGCCGTTGAGGTGCTTTTGAGCAAGTCTCCTGCAGGGTAGCTGCACTGTACTGAACCTGACCTCTGACATCCCTCTATGGGGTAAAATAGAAAATCTGTCAGGTAATAATGACATGATAATTTTTTCACTCAATTCAAGTCATTAAGTCATGTAATGAAAACTGTCATGTTGTGTTGAAGGAATTGTTCAACATTTAAGGAAAGACACTTCTTCATTTTCTTTCTGAGAATGAGATGAGAAGTCCAATATCAATCTCATGTCTGTGTGTTAAGTAAGGAGCTAGAGTCAGGATATGGTTAGCCTATCTTAGTATTAAGACTGGAGGCAAGGGGAAACAGCTAGCCTGGCTCTCACTTACTTCAAAAATATACCTAACACCTCTAAAGCACAGCATGCACAGTAATGTAAAAATGTGAGTTTTTTCGGGGAAGTTACGGGTTAAAAGATAAAGATATTTTCTGGCGAAAAGCTAGATGCTGCGACTGCACACAGCTTCCCGGAGTCACTCGAGCTACTCATTGGACATATATGGATATATATACTGCTGTTGCTCAGGAAATTGTCACAGCATATGACTCCACCTTTACTGCTAATCGAGGTTAAGCACAACCTGACTAGCTCTGTAGTTAGCACACAAAAATAAATTTGTGTGGAACTTCATGTCATTCTCAGAAAGAAAGCAAATAAACACATTTTAAAAAATGTAATATTTCATTAACTTCAGGAAAACGATGAAAGGATTCAGATCCAGTCAGCTAGCATCTAGCAATACAAGCGATTAAAGCAGTTCTTTTAACACTAGAAGGGTATATTTGTTGCCAGTAACTACTTCTCTAAGCCCACAGTGATCCTACATTAGCAGTGTTTGTGTAGCCCTGTCACCTTAGATACCTAGGTTGTGCACCCAGGTCGGCTTACAATTAATGAGCAGGCAGGTGTTAGGTATCTTTTCTGAGGACCCTACGTCAAGAGACACCGCTGCTGCCATAGTGAAACCTGAAACTTTCAGCTTGTCAAATGATCTCTTTAACCAAACCCAAAACTTGACAGACATTGGTTTCTTTGGAATGTTGGTTGGCAAAAGGAGGCAACTACAATTTAAGGACTTCAATGCCCACAGTTCCTTTAACACAACACATTTAAACTACACAAGGCGTGGTCTTGCTTACTAACTCAGATGGTGCATGATGCTTAATATCAAGAGATTACACTGGTGAGTGCAGCTTTCCATCAACAGATCACTTTAAATTTTACCTTTTCATATCTAACACTATTTTGTCATAAGACTCAGACTTACTTTGCATTTGGTAGAGTGTGTGTCTTTGTGTATATTGAAGCCCTTGCTACTCAATATACTGCATGTCTGTAACATGAGTAATTATTTTACTGTGGTGTAGTTGCATGTTTGCATGTGTTTTGCACAGTAATTGGATACAGTATGAGCACTTGGTTTGTGTTCATAGAGAGAACGCAAAGCAGATGTCATAATCAAAGCTGACTTTTTGCCACTTTCTTTAACATGCTGCAATGTTGCTTCCTCTTAAGGATTTTGAAAACGCACTTATACAACAGAATAGGCGCAGGCTGGAGGAGTTTCACAATACCTACCACTGTAAATCAGTGACCCACTGCCCTGGATGCCAGACACCAATAAAAGCAGCCATAAAGCATGCAGAAATTGTGTATGGCTACGGCTGGTCTGAGTTACATGCCGGGGCACCACAATTACAGGGGGTACAGGTTTTTCAGGACAGAACAATGGCAACTGTATTAAAGGACCCTTAACGGTAGGATTTCATTTGGCCCCTGGGAAGCAAAGCAGAGTCTGCATTTAAAGAGAGGGTAAGCACGCTGTGTGTGTGTGTGTGTGTGTGTGTTAGTATGTGTGTGTGAGTAAAGTGTACATGTAGTTGAAGAATTTGTGCATTGTATGTGATTACAAGACCTTTTACCACTTCCTGACTCTTGACCCTTGACTTTTAGGTATTTTTTTTGGTGGGGGGAGGTCCCTCTACTAATGGGTGTCTAAATTGTGACTTACATTCATGTAGGGTTCTAATTGCAGACTTAAGCTATACATAGAAATAGTATAATTTTAACCACTCCATAAGTCTTTTCTTTAATTTAATGGATATCAGTGTTTAGTGATTTTATTAGAATTTACAGTAATTTTGAGGCAGGTTTAAATGTTTTAATAAGGAAGAATAAATCTAAATGTTTTTACATTGTTGCTTGTACACAAAAATGGTTCAAGATTATTAATTTAGCAATATACTGTAATATATAAGTAATTTCCAAGATAGTAGTTGTGGCAATATATTAGCGTCCAATCAATTAAGGTTTGTGCTGTTTGCTAAATCCAGTGACAAGTACCACCACCAGGCGTTACCACTTGTCCAATGATGGAGACATGGATATACATCCAGGGCTATAAGTAATAGGGTTGTGCAGAGACACTTCTATTTCAGTATAATTTATTTGGTATACTAAAATCTGACAGGGAAAATACATTAACACATTTTGTGGTCTTGAAGAGAGCTTGGAGGCACTTTCAGGTAGCATAACACTTCATCTACATAATGGCAAATCTTGAATTGGACCTTCAGTGGTTGAGTTTTTATTTCTGATGAATTCATACAGCAGGTGATGCAATGAAAATGGCAAACAGATGGTGATAGTGGACATCCTTGTTGAATTCCTCACTGTAGGCCTAGTGTGAAACAAAGATGTAGTGACAGACGGAATACACGCAGTATAGAATACATGTATCCACTGAATAAATAATATTTTAGAAAGTTTGAGAAGTACAATTAATTTCAGAATACAGCTGATGTGTTGTGTATGGCTGCATATATTCACAAGTCAGAGTGCAAAGATCATCACTTTTGCTTTTACACACCTAGTGATATAACCTAATATGTCTATGCGGTGGAATGCTATTTTCTGAATGAAGTCCTTGGAGCAGAGTATTAGCTGGAGCCTGGACTTTTTACTGTGGCTATAAATGCTCAGCTGAATGAGCACAGGCAATGACACAGCCCATTAAATGTGCTGAGAGAGGTTTGAGGTGGCCTAAATGGTTAGGACGTTGAACCCACAATAAAGTCCATAATTAGGAGCCGAAAGCCAGTGTTTTTCTCAAGTTTTACCAATGGCCTATAAGAGGAAAAAAAGCTGGTGATTTTGAATCCTGGTGGAACAATGTACTGTATCTGTGCATAACCCGGTAAGGCCTCAGTGGAATATGGAGATCAGTTGCCATGTGACAGTGTTGGTATAGAGATCTTTTAGGTGATGTAACATGCTGATATTAACAACACAATGAATGGATTGGTTTGGTTTACTTACTTACTTACTTACTTTACTTAAAAAAATATACATGAAAAAAATCCAAAACATGGAACACATATTCTATAGATAAGTACTATATATACAAAGGTAAATACATAAAATAAACAGCTAATTGCAGCTCAGCTTTTGAACAAAATAGAATAGACATTTTTAATGTTTGACAGTTAATCATAAATGTTATAGGTAAGGTTTTAGTATTAGTCTGAATAGATATTAGTCTATTTAGTTAAAATTCTACTCTACTGTATTTGTCCTTATTACAGACAAAGAAGAAAACACATCTTGTGGATGGGGTAGTGAGGGGGTGGGGCACGTGTGTCTTCGATGACGACATCACAATTGGAGGTGGGCCCAGAGAGGCTGCAGGAAGAAAATTTTAAATAATGGCATTAAATCACATTTCTACTTTTACTTGTCATATACTGCACATTGTTTCATAACGGTTGAAATAATTTACATAATGTGTAATGTTTTATAGATGATGTACAAGAGAAATACTCTTATAATACTTTATGTCTACCATGCCCATCACTAACACATAATGTAAATATTAAAGTCTGTGTTAAAATACAGTCATTCAAAATTCGGTTGGGTCGCAACAGGAAGACGGGCTTATTATTTCGTAAGCTGTTCATTGCTGCTTGATATCCATGCGCCAGGTTAGACCCAAACATAGCAGCCCCTCTATAAATTTGGATTCTGGCGCTTCACCGGCCAGCAACTCTGCCCCTCGCTGCCTTGGACTGGAACAAACCAATTGACCACCGGTACACGGGGGTGGTTGCGGTGTAGAGACCTACAGGAAACGACGAGGTAGGCAACGCAACGTGGAATTCTCTGCAATTTTTCATTTCATACGACCTTACGACAAGCCTGGAGAAGATTAATGTGGCGTTTAACCGTTTGTATTTTAGGCATCCATTATAGCGCATCGTGAGACTTAACATCGCCCTTGCTGCTCAGTTCCGCAGAGATGGCGGATCGCTCTCATGGAACTGTTACATGTGTAACCTACATCTGAGGGATAGCCAAAACTATAAATTAGCCCATGTTTAGCTACAATGTCATTATCCCTTTATTTGTTGTCGTGTCAGTGATAGCGAAAGGTGGCTCATTAAAGGTGACCCGTGCTTGTTACATCAGTATTATGTGCTCACATGGCACAGCGGGGGACAGTGTGGAGGAAAAGGAAGAGTGGAACCGAGGTTATGTCACGTTCGCCTCACCGCAACGAAGAAGTTCTTCTGAAGAACTTATATCATTAAACGATACGGAAGTGAAAGAACGAATAACATAGGTTATGGATCACATAGAAAGACTAATCTCACCTTAAGATGTATGTTTTGTTGTGAATACACCATAATAACAATCCCCCAGTGATACCATATAAAATTACAAAATTAAAAGTGAATAAAACTATTATGAACTAATAACTAGTTATCAACAGACTAATCGGTGTACAACACTCTAAATATTAAATATATTGGAGATTCTAATATAACCAATTGATATTGTGTATATATAAATGTATTCATCTGATTTAGGTGAGACTGAAATGAGGCCATAAGTAGCAAAAAAGTCTCATCATTTGAGGTAGTCCTTGAGTGTGCTGCAAAGTTCAGATAAAGGACACCCCCCCCCCACACACACACACACACACACACACACACACACGAGTGCATCCTTGAGGCACACATCACAGATAAGTGAGTCAGCCAACTGTCAAGAAAAATACACCATCCTCTTTCGTTTCTCTCTTCCCAAATATTCTCTCAACTTCTTGTGTTTTTCTTTCCCCCAAGGTGTGTGTGTCTGTAACTGCCAGAAGCAGTAATGGCCTCCACAGTGCCTCCACAGCAAGGAGACCCGCTGCTGAAACAGTTTCACCAAGGGAGCCACCCCAGAGGGAAAGAAGCCACCAAAGACGGCCTACATGCCAGGGGCCAGTGGGCCAGCAAGGCTGAGTTCCTCCTGGCCGTGGCTGGGCAGATCATCGGTCTGGGCAACGTCTGGAGGTTCCCTTATCTCTGCTACAAGAACGGAGGAGGTAAAGCATGTGGGATAGCGCAGGAGGGGGGTGAGAAGAGAGGAACTGTGGAAAATCGACATTCTGTCTTTGTCCACTCACGCCCTCTTTCTGCTTTTATCTTTTACCCTATGTTTTTCTTTCATCTTTTTTCATTTTCTAAAACTGGTGATGACTGATGCAAGGTGTTTGTTAGAGCCTGGGATATGTGTATTTTGAATTTTTACACAACATGAGATTTCCTCGTGAAGATGGACAGATGGAAGAAAGTTCTCCAAAATGTGTCCATAACACTGAGTTCTACTGAAACAAGTTCTACTGTGAGGTCAGATTGGTACTGGGAATTTAATTTAGGGTCAGTATTAAAATTAGTGACATTTTGTAGTGCAAGGGTTCATTTGGGATTATTACTTGGTTCTAGAGATTAAAAGTTAGCTATTTTATGGTTAGATATTGGGCTTAATGTAATCAGTGAAGGTCCTCACAGTAATATTGCCTTATGTGTGTATGTCCAGGTGCATTCTTTGTACCTTACCTGTTGTTCCTGGTGCTTTGCGGCATCCCCCTGTTCCTCCTGGAGACCTCACTGGGACAGTACACCAGCCTGGGAGGGGTCAGCGCCTGGAGGAGTATCTGCCCATTATTTGGAGGTAAATTTTATGTAATTATGTCATCAGTGGGCGGCATTTGTTGTGTTGCAATGCATATTGTCACGCATATGCAGGTTTTGTTAAGGGATGCAGGTAGGGGTGTGCAATATATATCGTCTACCGTAATATCTTAATTGTGGATGTGCACTCATTGTTGCTATTGTTTTCACCTGAAATGGACATATCCTGGTCCACAAACTCACGTGCAATGGACTATTATGTGAATCTGGAATATGTAAAGAGGTGATAGTTGATATTTTGGGTTTCAGGGTTGGAGGCTCAGACTATAGAACATCACTCCCCAAGCCATATGTGCTGAGTTTAGTTTATCCACGTCACTCCCCAAGACACAGATTGGCTATCCTTGTGGGGAGTGGTGAGGATAAACCAAACTCAGCAGAGCATGGATTGGGGAGTGACGATTATAACTTCAATGTATACTCTGAGCCCCCAACCCTGATGTAAGGACAGAGGTGGAGCTTATGAAAACACACCCCTCGGACCTATGATATTGCTCGTTTCTGTTACCCACAACCTAATGGTCAAGTGGAGTTTTTTTATAATGGTCACTGCTAGCTGCTTGCTCCAAATCCATTGGATTTGAGTTGATTTTTTTATAGATGCTTCAGAGAAAGGATGAGTGATGAAAATATTTTAATCTTTGACAATAAGAGTAAAGAAAGGGATTTTCATATAACTATTTTTCAAAAATTGGCAGATAGTTGACATACAGTATAACAAGACATACCAGAACGATGGACACAGAGGCACAGGATAAGTTTTTATTCCATCCATCGTCAACTGCTTATCCTGTGTACAGGGTCGTGGGGGGCTGGAGACTTTGGGCGAAAGGCGGGGTACACCCTGGACAGGTCGCCAGTCCATCGCAGGGCCACACATAGACAAACAACCACTCACGCTCACACCTAAGGACAATTTAGGGTCACTAATCAACCTAGGCTGCATGTCTTTGGTCAACCTTCTTGCTGAGAGGCGACAGTGCTAACCACTGCAACACCGTGCCGCCCAAGTTTTTATTGAACTAGTGAAAAAAATAAAACCAACATAGAGACACCTACAATGTGATAATGGCTTTTAGTAAGTGTTAGCATGCCTTGATGCTTTTTGCAATCTCACTGTCTCTCCCCATGTTTGGCTACATCTCTTCTCATTCTCACTGTCTTCATCTTCTTCATTTGCACTTTCTAATCTTTCCCCATACTGGCACAAGCCTTCAACACATTCCCATGTCTACATGAAAACACAACCCACGTTAACAATCTGACTGCAATCAGAACATTTGGCATGCCCTGCGAGCTCCATGCATGTGCATTTCATATTGAATCTCAGCCTGTGTATCAAAACAATTCAGGAGTGCAGAAGGCAAAATGCACCCACCTGCCAACAACAAACACACACTTGAGGTTGAATGTCTTGCTTTCATGGTATCCTGCAATCCACACAAAGGATCACAGTTGAGCATTAACTTAATACACAATCGCACCACTGAAACAGAATCTGTCGTGAGCAATGTGATGCTTTTTTAAAGAGAAATAAAACACTGTGTGAAGTTTTACTAAGTTGCACACATGATCCTGTATAATCCAAACCCTTGAGAAATGGAAACTGGTTCAGACAATTAAACATTTGTGTGGTAGGAATGCATTGAAGTATCAAGGGAAAGGCTTATAGTCTTAAAGTAGACCAGGGCCCTGTTTCAGACAGCAGGTTTAACAAACTCTAAGCCTAACCCTGAGCTCTGAGTTGAGTAAGCCTGGGATGTGAAACATTCAACAATAGTGTTACACTGCATTTACCAGACTTGAACTTCCTTATTGAATGATAAAGTGCTAGAATTCTTCTGTATGTTACATTTGATTTTTAAAAATATTTATTCAGCTGTAACCTGATGAGGATAAAAAGCCGGTGGCTATAACTGAAGATGAAAATATGGATCAAACAGATGAGACTTTACTCATAGACCTGTGATTGTAAAGTCACAGTGTGACCAAGTAATAATGATTTGCAGTTGAAAATGTGTCTAGGTTCAAACTGACTCTAAATTTTTTGGACATCTGTTATATTAACATATACATTATATACTGTAAATGTTGTTCTCATTTCGCATTTGATGAAATACTGTCAAACAAATTAAAATCTAACTTGGATTTCGGTGTTTCTAAAAACGTAAACGTCTGCAGATGAATCATTCCGTGTGCTTTGATATTGACAGTATGACTAAAGAAATGAAGCAGTGTTTCATAAAGCTGCTTCAGACTCCGCAGAAGGTGAGGAGTTAGAGAGAAAAGTTTGTTGAAGAAAACCTCCTTCCGAGCAGGTTACCTTTCTCAGCATACGTTACTAGTTAATGATCCAGGGTTTGACCTCGGCCTGTGTAACAGATAACCCGGAGTTTCCCCTCATCTCAGGCTTAACAAACTTTCACTTTCACTTAACCGTCTTTGTGAAACAGCGCCCTGTACAACCGACTCCATCTGTTCACAGTTTTCTTCTGAATGTATAAGCCCATACAGTAAAGGCACTATTTCTGCCCGGCTGTGTTTATTTATAGGTGCAGAATGATAAATTATATGACTTCAAACCGCAGCAGTCAATAGCCATGCTGCCTGTGGTGGAGCAACATGCGCAGTAGATAATGTAAATCTATGTTGACTGACTGAGCTGGAATTGGTTCATGTTTAACAAGCAGTAACATAGTGTAGCATTTGTGTTATTATTCTGGGGCCACAGGTCATGCAGCACGTCACTTAAGCCAAACAATGAAATCTTTTTTATTTATTACACAGTATATTTGCATTCAACGGTTCAAACAAGGATGGATTTACCTGCTAGGGGCCTCAGACCAAAAGAAAAAAGGTGTTGCGACCCTATTAACCCTCCCATTCCTCCTGCTCTGTGTGCAATAGAGACCGTTTTTACTTTACTGGAGTACTAATTTACCGTAGCTTAGAAAAATGCAACTTGCAAGAACAAAACTGAGCTAATGAAGTTCAGAAAACAACTGTTCTGGAGCTTTTGATCATGTCACATGATCTTCATCAGCCGATGGAGTTTGCCCAGCTGTCGGGCAATTGTAAACGTTCAAATAAAATAAAAAAATACTGACATTCTTCAAAGTAACAAGACTTGGAAATAATTTCTAAGCAGAGTAAAGTTAATTTACTTCACCCACCCCGCAGTGAGACTAGCAACCATCCTGTAACAGCCATGCTTCAAAGGAAAATGTGAAGGGAGACGTCGTTTAGGAGGCTCCAAGAGGTTATAGGAGACCCATGTTCCTGTGAAACCCATTTTTAGCAAATTCAATGGTCTTGTAAAGCAGGCCTTGACAATTTCACATGCAGGTGCAGCTAAGGCCAGTAGCATGCTAGCTGGACCACCTGGGAAACACATTGTAAACAGAATATGTGCATGCTCCATATTGCCCTTTATTTTACCCTGTTCAATGACAAATATTTACGAGTGTGCCAACACATGTTGCTCTGCCCCTTGGTCCTTATGGTCTGCACATGCACACACACATATGCACATGCCCACAGAGTTACCTATATTTGTTTGACAGCCAGTTGTGTGCAGGCCATGTGTTTAGCACAGCGACAAACACACAGAAAATGCAGTACTTCCTCTGTGTGTGTTTGTATACAGACAAACTTGCACAAAGTAATGCTTCTATAGGAATTCCTCACTGGTCTGCGCATTTAATATGCAATCATCAGCTAAAGGCCTGAATTTCATTAGCGGATATCACAAACAGCTATTTGTCAAGGCAAACGTCCTACACTTTCTAACCCACTCAAGCCCTCATAAACCCCTTATTCATTCTTAATGAAGATATGCTAGATGTGGGCTGCAAGTCGAGTGTTTCAGTAAATGGATGCTTTCATGTGAAACTCAAGTGACTTGGAACTGACAGTAGAATATGTCTGTGTGAATGCTTTGAAGCTCATTTCTTTGTGTTCCTGCAACTCTCCATATGTTTTATCTGTTTCTGTAGTCCTGCTATACGTCAGCTAACGTTAGGATCTGCTTGTGCATCTTATGTCTCTGCAGGTCTCGGCTATGCCAGCCAGGTGATGATCCTGCATGGCTGTGTGTACTACATCGTCATCCTGGCCTGGGCTCTCTTCTACCTGTCCTACAGCTTCCAGGCGGAGCTGCCGTGGTCGCACTGTAACAATACATGGAACACTGGTCAGTAAAGACAGGAAGCTGAAGAAGCTTATTTTGAGCCAGCTGTGTAAAACCCTAAGGGTTTACGTGTGTGTGTGTGTGTGTGTGTGTGTGTGTGTGTGTGTGTGTGTGTGTGTGTGTGTGTGTGTGTGTGTGTGTGTGTGTGTATCCTACAGAGGCATGTGTCCTGTTTGACCACCGTGATGAGACAGCCAATGGGAGCAGCCTGCCTGAGAACGCCACCTCCCCTGTTATGGAGTTTTGGGAGTGAGTGTAGCTCCCTTGATTTCTCGCTTGTTATTTTTACAGTATTAATCATGCATTAACAGCATTCTGTGTGTGTGTGTGTGTGTGTGTGTGTTCTAGGCGGGAGGTGCTTCATCTCTCCAACAGTTTAGACGAGCTTGGTCCAATCAGCTGGAAGCTGGCTCTTTGTCTGGCTGTTGTCTGGCTCGTGTGTTACTTCTGTGTCTGGAAGGGAGTTAAGTCGACCGGAAAGGTGAGCGGAAAACACGTGAGAGTATAAGAGGGGTTGTGGAGGGAGAGATGTGAGGCACAGATACTGCGCCTGATGGTGTTCAAAAAACAACAGGAAGTTAGTTATTGTAGTTTGGCCAGGTTACCAACACAGTCAGCAGTTGCAGCACCAGTAGTGGATTTGGCCAAAGTCCTTATAGGCAAGTCATGCCACTCGGCTGTCATCTTGGCAACGCCTTTGGGCAGCTATTTCGGACTAACAAGACCAGGCTCCTATCTGAATGAATGAGGAAAGAGCCAGAACTGCACTTTCTCTGGTCACCGGGACATAAAAACTACATGAATAAAATCAGAAGTAAACTAATAAAAATCGCTGAAAAAGTCGACCACGTTGCCCCAAAATAAGGTTTAAAAAGCGTTTTTTCCCGACCAGTTATACTTCTACTGCTCATGCGTCACTACTACCGTGCAAGCGTAGTCGCAGTAAAACAGACCCTTACGTCAGTGGAACCACATGATTGGCTGAATTATGTTTCCCGCTTTGGCTGTTTTAAAGCAGACAGTTGGCTTTCTAGCGGGAGGGGTGGGATAACCGCCATCTTTGCCGTTAGGGGCTTTCCCCATAGAGTTGTATTGAGGATGAGATTGAATGGCGTGTCTCGTCTATAAAACATCTCTGATCTGACACACTGGTCGTAAGGCACTTTAAATCCCTTTGTGCCTGATTGCTGATTTCTTGAGTCACAACTCGGTCAAATCCAAGCACACACACAACACATATTTTTCACTGTGACTTACCTTCACTTTCTGAGGGTATCATTATCTCCATGTATAAAAAGTGACAAAGCCATTGAGAAATCAATGGAAAAAAACATGCTCCTTATATTCAAGAACTTTCCTGAGAATCATAATTTTTCTTCAGTGTCCAGTAATACAATGATAGTTGTCTGTACATTACAAACAGGAACTGCTAATTTGGCATATTTAATATGATGCTAATTTGCCACAATGTAAAGAAATGCACACTAAAAACAACTCATGTTGTAGCCCACAGTGTAACTAACTGAAACCAAAACATGGGAACTGTAGTCCGTAATTTGATTAGAGGATAGAGCATGATTATCCCAAAAATATACAGAGGATGGTGTTGGGGGTGGAGAATGGTGTCCACAAACCCGTGCTCTAGAGGAATCCCCTTTTTGTTTGCCTGATTCCTCTGAGCGCAGCAAGCACAAGGTCAGAAAGATAACAGTGTCCATGAAACTGGAAGGGTCTCAGTGTCTTGCTCAAGGACCTTTCAGCAGAGCAGATGCTTCTTTATTTAGCCCTTTTTTTATAAAGCCTGTTCAAGGTGGGACTGTCCGCCATTATTGCACCTCGCTGTTTTGTATAAAATATAAGAACACAGAATGGTGAGGCATTCAAACCTTGTTCCTCTGGTGGAAATTCAAGTAAGGTTCCTGAGTTGCTATAAAGGTTCCTGGAAAAGTTCCTTACTTACTATAAGTTTTTTTAAGTCTTTTTTTAACAGAGTTAGAAACAGAACATAAATCTTCTTTCATATGGGCACTGCCATAATTTTGTAGGACTTGTTTGTTGTGTCACTGCCACCATCCGTCAACAGGTTTTAAGACTCCAACTTTCCAGTGGTCCCTCTTTTAGTATTTCAGCTCTGTTTAAGGACATCACCGATGTGTCCCTCCTGTTTTCCCTGTCTCTGACCACATCCCTGCACGCTGTGTACATTCTAGGTGGTGTACCTGACAGCCACCTTCCCATATGTCATGCTGTTGGTCCTGCTGGTGCGTGGTGCCACCCTGCCGGGAGCGACCCAGGGCATCATCTACTACCTCAAACCCAACCACACCCGCCTGGCAGACCCACAGGTACAAAAACACAAACACACACACACACACACACACACACACACACACACACACACACACACACACACACACACACACACACACACTGGATGTCTTTCAACGACACAACATTAAAAGCTCTCCGTTGGAGTCAACAGAAATTCTTCCAGTCATTCTTTCAGGTGGTATAGCAGCTGCTACAGGTAGGAAGCCCAACCTCTCAGTTGATTAGGTGCATTGTCAGATCTTCAGTAGCTAAGACCTTTCATGTTGTTTTATGTCAAAATTGAGGACTTGAGGTCTTTACACCTTGTGTCTGCAGAGACAGCAAGAGTTTATCCTCTTGAAATGAAGTGTGTGTTCTCAACAATTACTCATCACAAAAAAACAATTTCAGATGCTCATAAAATACCTACTGCCCTTTTTTATTTGTTGGGGTTGATTGAGAGATACTGTAAATCATTGCCCAGATAATACAAAAATACTATACATCTATAAATTTGTATAACTTGTGTGAATGAAAAATTGCATATCTTTTAGGATTTTGTGTTAGCCTGAAATTTCAAATTCAAAAAGGACAGAGATGTTTAAATTAGATAGATAGAGAGAAAGAGATATTTTGACTTCAATTAAGTGTTTGACAACACAGGGGTGCAATCACCAAAGCTGCCCTGCAACGCAAAGTCATATTATTACATAAAATTAGAACAAACCCAATTTCCAGAAAAGTTGTGATATTTTCCAAAATGCAATAAAAACATAAATATGTGATGTGAACCTCTACTTAACTGACAAAAGTACAAAGAAAGGCTTTTTAATAGTTTTGACCAGGGTAATTGTTTTTTAGTGCACAGAATATTCACCTGTTTGAAAGAATCCACAATAAATAGGCTAGGTGACAGGATTGGATATAAAAGTAGCATCTGTCAAAGGCTCAGTCTTTGCAGGTAAGGATTCGTGAGAAAATTTTTATTTCAAAGGGAACATATCTCAACACAAGATTGCAGAGAATTATCTTCGAACCCTCAGGCGGCACTGCCAGAGAAATCGTCGTTTTTCTGTGACAAGTATAGCCACATGGGCTCTGGACACTGCCTCCAGAAGTGCAACCCAAAACTGTATTATGCAAGGAGGAAGCCATACATCAATTGATTGCAGAAATGCCGCCGAGTTCACTGGGCCCAGGGTCATCTCAGATGGAGTGAAAGACAGTGGAACCGTGTGCTGTGGTCGGATGAGTTCACATTTCAGCTTATTTCCTGTCACCCAGTTTTATTGATTTTTCCATGCCAAAGATGTAAATCAGCAAAATGTGCAAAAGCCAGCATCTGTGATGGTATGGGGGTTCATCAGTGCCCAAGGCAATTGTGAGTTGCATGTGTGTGAAGGTACCGCTGACACAGAGGCATATATTGGGATTTTAGAGAGACATGTTGCCATCAAGGTGGTGACTCTTCTCAGGACATACATGCTTATTTCAGTAGGACAATGCCAGGCCTCATTCTGCACGGGCTACAGCAGTGTGGCTTCGTAGACACAGTTTGTGTGCTTGACTGGACTGCTGCTGTTCCAGATCTGTCTCCTATTAAAAATATGTAGCGCATCTAGAGAGGAGAATCGGACAACGGCAACCACAGACTGTTGAGCAGCTGAAGTTTTGTATCAACCAAGAATGGGCAAAAATTCCAAATGCGACAATTAGAATTTTACTTCCCAAATGATTAGAAAGTGTTATTTAAAGGAAAGGTGATGGAACACAATGATAAACATGTCTCTGTCCCAGCTTTAGTTGAGTGTGTTTATATTTACAAAATATGATTACACTGGTCAGAAAAACTATTGGAAAATCTTGTACTTTGGTCAGTTAAAAAAAGGTTTGTGTGAATTAACAAATATCAGATTGTTGTTTTTATTGCATTTAGGGAAATAACCCAACTATTCTAGAAATGGGGTTTGTAGACACTGAGAAGAAAAAAGGACTAATTACCACTGTCACTGTACAGACTGTTCTGGCTTTTAAAACACCTCTATTTTATATACATCTGCAACACTTTCTTTGCAGTTTAAGGACACCACCAAACACACATTGTTTTCATCCTTAAAGACGTAAAGGCTGAACACAAGGTAAAGTTTGGCCAGTTTTGTCTTTATGGGATCTAATTAAATCCCCTCAAAAGGCACTGTGGAATAGCAGGAAATGTGGGATGTGACAAAGTTCATTGTATGCAAATGGGATAAAATTTGCAGACAGGGAAGTTCTGATTAAATACAGGCATAACCCGTTCAGTAACATGCAGTTGGCTCCTGATGCCTCACATCTGACCTTTCATTTTCTCCCCTCCCTCTATCCCTCTCTTTCCACAGGTATGGATGGACGCAGGAACCCAGATCTTTTTCTCATATGGAATCTGTTTGGGAAGCCTCACAGCCCTTGGCAGTTACAACAAATACAACAATGACTGCTACAAGTGAGACACTTTTGTCAACACACAACAGCATTTCCTGCCGCACACCGTCTCCTTATGCACTCCACTTCAGACCTGATTTCACTGAAATGTAAGATGTACGCTCCCGCTGGTCAGATGGCTTCCAGAAGGAATGGCTGGAATGGACAGAGAAAACACCCTGACATAGCCACACCTTAAAGAAAAGCCCTCGCTGCCATGTTTCCCACACTCCAGGACCCCCCCCCCACACACACACACACACACAGAGCCAAGCACTTAGCTCTTGGCTTGTTTCTAGGCCAGAGCTTCACAGTACAGTGCAAAAGACCAAGATAAAGACCTCACTGGATTCTGTTTTAGTGACAGTTTTACTAAATTTTTAACTTTTCAACATGTTCGCTTTTGTGTCCCATAACTGTTTACATGTATTTCTTAATGTTGTGACTTTGTTTGTGTGTCATGTGGCCTTCCAGGGACTCCTTCCTTCTGTGCCTCCTTAACAGCGGCACCAGCTTTCTGGCAGGTTTTGCCATCTTCTCAGTGCTAGGCTTCATGGCTGAGGAGCAGGGCGTGGACATAGCCACCGTGGCCCAGTCAGGTGAAACAGGGTTGGAGGTGGAAGCGGTAGTTCCCTCAGCAGAAGCGAGGAGATCTTGTTCGGGAAAATGGCTCAGGGGGAATCAGAAAAGAAGCAAGCTTAGCACCAACTAATTAGTGAGGACAGGCAAATTCATTTCACTGTGCCGCTTTTTGGCATGACCAAGCACTTAAAAAATAAGTCTGATGGTGTTTTTTATTTTTCCTATTGTCAACAAACCCCATTAAAAGAACGAATCTGTCAAATCAGTCCTTTTAACAAGTCATCTGTATAGCCAAAGACTGAAACAACTTGTTCCTCCATGCCATAGAGCTGTATTGTTGTCAAAAGACAATTCATCTGTATTATTCCAAGGCTGAAAATAGTCCCTCACAAATGCACCAATTTACTCCTGTATGAGTAATGTTTACTAAAAAAAAACAGTTCCCAGCTGCTGTAGGAAATGACTTGTTCTTTTTAAAAAGTAAAGATTTGTGCCTTCAGTAGGAATGAATGGGCCACAGACATGGTAGAGAATTGGGAGGTATCAAGAGTCAAATGTATAGTTAGTTTTGGTCTTTTTGTGGGATTTGTTGATGGTAAGAAAATATCTTATAACGCCAGCCTTATCCTTTTTCTTTATTTTACCAAAAACACTGAATCATTTATAGGCTAATTTAGCTGGAAATATATATAAATTTATAGACATATTTTGGTTATACTTGGTTTTACTTTGCTTTTTTTTTATTACTTCTAATTCTATAGAAATAATAAACAGGAATAAATAATATTTGGACTGGATAAGATACATTTCACGTTTGAATAACATGTAATTACTTTGCTCATCATATTTTTCCTGTGGTGGCGTTTCCTCTCAGGTCCTGGCCTTGCCTTCATTGCCTACCCGAGAGCTGTAGCCATGATGCCTCTGCCCCAGCTCTGGGCTGTCTGCTTCTTCCTCATGATCATCATGCTGGGGCTGGACACTCAGGTAGAGACACACACACACCGACTTTGATGAGTTACATTTTATGGCATTGATGTGTTATGTGTCGTACCGCTGACCCTGTCTCCCCTCTGTCACCCAGTTTGTGAGTCTGGAGGCCCTGATGACGTCTGTGACTGACCTGTACCCTCATCAGATCAGAAGAGGCCACCGCAGAGAGCTGCTGCTGCTGTTTGTCTGCGTCGTCTGCTTCCTGGTAGGACTGGTCATGGTCACGCCGGTAAGTCACGCTCAGGATGGATGGATGGGGGTGTGTGTGTGTGGGTGTGTGCATGAGGTGTACACAATCCTCTGCCCAATTTGTTTTTTATGATCTATTTTATGTGCATGTTTGTCTTAACTCCGATGCAGGGTGGTCTGTATGTGTTCCAGATCTATGACCATTTCTCCTGCAGTGGAGCCAGCCTGCTGCTTCTCTCCATCTTCCAGTCTCTGGCCATCGGCTGGGTCTACGGTACAAATCCCAACTCCTCCTCTTACCTTTCCTTTTTTCCTTTTCTTTCTTTTGCTTTCTCCCCCTCCTTTTCTAATTCCTTTCCCTTCCTTTCCTATTCTTTCCTTTCCTTCCTTCAACTCCTCCTCTTTTCCTTTCTCCTCTCTTTGGCTTACCATTCCTATAATTTAATTTCCTCTTCTTTTCCTATCCTTGTATTTCATTTCCTCTGCTCCATTCTCTCCTCTCCATTTCATTATGCTTTTCTCCCCTCCTCTCTTTTCATTTTCTTTCCTTCTCTCCTCTCTTATCCTTTCATGTCTTTTCCTCTCCTCTCCTATAGCCTCACACATCATCTTCTGTCTGTGTTGTTACTTAGCCTATGACACATTTTAAGTGTAGAACAAATCTCCAAATCTCACCATCCCATCCCATGTCTGAACAATAGGGCTCCACATTCTGCCTAATTAGAAAATGCCTAAATAAATCTCAGGTTCATTGTTTTCGCCACTTACAGAAAATATAAAGAGCAGCGGTAAGAGTTATATACTTTTAATCACTCTAATGAAAGTAGTTCCTAAAATTTGATAAACAAACAGTCAACCAGTGCACTTCCTTCCCCTCCCTCTGCATTCCATTTGGAGTCAGTAGACAGTATATTAACATGGCTGCAGCTACCCACTGTTGTAAGGAGACTGGCTCCTAGCCAGGCCCCTGTCTGTCTCCTCCGGGCCCTAAATCAGCCCCCGGGCCCCGTCGCCTCTCAGTCTCAGTCTGACGGCCCCAGGGAGCCCCTATCCCAGCCAAACCTGGGGCTCTAGAGCTTTTACAAAAACATTGTTTGTTTAAGTGTGAGATAGGTGGTATTGTGCCATGAACATCCATCAGGACAATACAATAAGTACTGGAGTGACAATTAACTTTGTGAGAAGAGTAGTAGCATCACAGGTGATAACAAATAAGTCAAGTCGGGGGTGGGGGTGGCTTACCAAGGAAGCCTGTTTTTATGGCTCTCCCAGCAGTAGGTGAGTGGAGCAGCAGATTTGAGGAGAGGGTTTTAAGTGGACTGGGTAACACAGCGGTCAGGACTCCAGTGCACCTTTCGCCCTTTTTTATGACTGTGGGATCTGACCATTTTTAAGGACTCTAACATCTGACTGACACTCTTGTGCTGCTGGTTATGGTGGTCCTGAAGGATTTTCGGTTTGGTTATTTTAGAAAATTTCTCTTATCAAGTGAGCCATCAAAATGTACTGCTCACAAGTAATACATAAATAGAGAGTATTTTAAAATTAAAATGAAACGTATCAAGTTAGTTATACATACTACTGAATCAGTGATTTTTACTGTGAATTTTCCAAACGCCATAATGCAGTTGTTTTTTGTAGTTTTGACCACCATTCTTATATTGTGGGTAACAATTTATTTACCAACTACATCGCTTGTTAGTACTATAGCTGCCACTACTTGTACTGGTACTAAGACTAGTTGTACAACTACTACTACTTGTTACAAATGCTACTAATGACTTTGCTACTCGTGGCTCTGCTGCTATGAAATGTCCGGTCAAAGTAATATTTTCTTTTTCAGCAACCTTTTCTTGTAACTTCCTCTATGTGGATACTGGCAAAGAAAAATGTATTCCAACCAAAGTCAGTCACCGCCACCAAAAAAAACAAGCCATTCGTAAACCAAACCATGATGTCAAACCAAACCACAACCACTTGTGGTGAAGTTGCTCTTGTTTTTGCCCACAGGAGCCGAGCGCTTCAGTGCCAACATCAGGGACATGACCGGCTACAGCCCACTGCCTGTCTTCAAGCTCTGCTGGAAATACTTTACCCCTGTTTTGTGCACTGTGAGTGACCCCCCCCGGCCTGCTGTCACTCAGTCTACCTCCCATGACATACTTGCCTATCAATAACTGTTTGCATTTCTGTATCTCCAAGAGTGCCAACATATAAAACTTTTTGGACACACCAAAAGTCGTGTGGTTGTTGTATCCTCAACTTCATCAGGAAGGATACGAAATGTTCTCTTGTAATTTGGTGTCTTGATATAAGTTAATCTTTAAATGTGCAAAAAACATGTTATAACGTGTTAAATCAAATAGATTTTCACTGCCTCAATGTGCATGTCAATATAAATATTTTAGTAAATTTATCATAGGAATATGTAATATTACATTCCTATGTAATAAAATGGAGAAAATATGTCATGCATTATGTAATTCTTATGTTTCAGTCGTTCTTTATAGAATTTTCGTGGTCCAGCTGTGTTTTACTGTCACTTGCTTTAAAGGAAATACTGTTATTCACCTTCTTGCTGAGAGTTGCATATGGAAATCTTCTGTATATTTCTCTAAAAAGCAGCAAGCCTTGCTGTGGCTAGCCTCCATAACTGAAGTGAGCCAAACTATTTATTGGTTCACTTGCCAGGCACCCAAATTTTTACACTTTGGTTTTTTGCAGTACAGATTATACAAACAAGATGTCACATGTTAATTAGTGAGCTTTAGAGGAGTCCGTAGGTGGATTTTGTTTTCCAGTTTTTGTGCTAAGCTCCAGCTGCATATTTAATGTACAGACAGCAGAGTGGTATCAGTCTTCCTCAGTGGTCTTTCATCCTGACAACAGTGAAATACTGAATTGTTTGTCAATTTTGGCATAAAGCTGCTTGAAGAGTAGTTTAAACCTGTTGACGTCAGAGTTAAGAAAGTCCTACCGGTTGTGCCCACATTGTTATGATATTGTGCCTACCTCATACACTTTCATTTGAACTGATTCAGACTAAATGACCCAGTCTTCCTCCTTTCTGTCTCCTACAGGCTACCTTTATGTTTTCCCTGGTGCACTGGTCTCCATTAACCCTGGGGAAAGGCCTGGTCGCTCCGGCCTGGGCCACCACGCTGGGCTGGCTCCTCACTCTCTCCTCTGTCTCTTTGCTTCCCATCTGGGCCATCTACACACTGGCCACCACCCCGGGAACCCTGCCAGAGGTATACCAGCACTCTCTTTAATTCATTTAGTACCATGTGCAGCTTGAACTACTTGTTCAGGGTGATACCGATGTTTTTACTTTTTGACTCCTCAGCGCTTCCAGCATTTGTGCAGCCCTGCCAAAAACTTGTCACCGGTCCTCCGCCACTTCCCCATCAACAACCCGCTCTCCTACGGCCCTGCGCTGCCCCTGACTGAGAAGCCAAAGGAGCCAATCACAAACATCATCCAGGATCATATGACCTGATAAGGGTCAGTGACGATGTAACATTGGATGCTGATCAGCCAATCAGGGGCAGTTAGAGGTTAGAGTTAACTCCGTAACATAAGTTCAGTCTGAACCTCAAGAGGCCATGAGTTTGGATTCTTCTGAGGGTCCAGTGCTGAATTACTTTACCTTTAAGACCCCCCCCCCCCGTTACAGGCTATCAGAATTGGTTATTCTAGAACGCACGCACACAACACAATCTTGACAACTTAACTTAAAATTCTTTTAATTACCATTTAAGTCACTGTACCTGTGGACCATTTAATCACAACACTTCTAGCCATCCAGCTAAATAACAAAGCTAATGTTGCCAGAATTACAGAGTAACGTAGCCTACTACTTTATTCTCTATGAGAGATCACTGTTTCTGTTAGTATGTGTGCTTAGTTTCGACTCTCCCCTGAACATTTCTGTTATCAGTACTGTTTTCATCTGAACTGGCTCTGTGAGTCAGACATGTTTTATAGAATGGTCTGTCTGGAACCTTTTTTGTATGTGCTTCACTCTCTGTGATTGCTATATCATGGAGATTGAATGGTTCATAACATGCCTTACACCCAGACCAAGCGGGCTGCATTAGCCAAATACTACTTTTTACTGCCAAACTTATCAAGTGCTTAAAACTTGATGTCATGGTTACACATTTTCAGTGACGAAACGATTGAAATGTGCAGTAACTGTTTTCATCCATCATGCACATTTATCTTTTCAAAAAAGTGGGCAGGAAAGTCGTTTGTACTTTTGTTTTAGATGTTGTTAGTTGCAAATGCACAACTTTCTAGTGTAGTTTCTGCAAAAAAATAAAAGGCATTATTAGCAGTGTACCAAAAATAACTATAATTTATCAAGCTGGGAGACATGCAATCATAGTATCTGAATCAGCATGTGTGAATTCACTATTACAATATTGCTGCTGCTGTGATTCTGTGACATTGATTTCTATGCCGAAAAAGTTTATTTAAAAATGTTTAAGTAAAGTAAGAAAAAAACTGCTAAATAACACATGCCACTCCAATGTGATTCTCTTTGAAGAGGACATTACAGCGTATGTAACTGTAACATGTGAATGGTAACAAGCAGTAAACATTTGAAGTGCAAATGAAGAAGTGGCTTCTATGCAGTGTAGGGATGTTTATATTTTTCAGAAGAAAATGTAAAGGATTGAGTCAGTTTTGTAGAAATGTGTTATCATGTTTTTCAGAGTCACTACAGACTTTTAAAATGTCAGAATGAAAGGCATTTTGAAAATGTTACTTTTTTCATCACCACAAGGTCTTTCCGGTGTCTCGGTGGGGTGTGGAATGTGAACTCACCGTTAACTAACTTAAGTCTAGGACTGAATGTACTTGCTGGGAAAACTTGTATACATCTCCAAAAACCTGAAGGATGAGGAATGTTTCTTGAGTGAGCGTGGTGTGTTTTAATATAAATTAGTTCCTTATGCAAACTTGAAAATGAAACTATTTTTTTTTCCTTTCCTTGCACCTTCATTCAAACCTTGATCAGGTTCTTTCATTGAAATTCTTTCAAATGCTCCTCTGAGATTAATTTGACAAGAAGCAAAGTGCTAAAGCCATCTGGTGTCTCTGAAAGGCTTTTATTTACTCAAAATTGATCCAAGTGTATTTTCTCTGTTTACAGGTGCATAGATTTTTTTTAATGGGCTTCTTTTGTATGTGTATCATCATTATTTTATTTTTCAAATGAATATACATATATACACTGTGGATAAAAAAAAATTGTGTTGACTGTGTTTATTTCTTACAAAAGAAGTTGAGTGAGGAGCTGTGTGTGTGTGCAGGTGTTTGTTTGTGTTCCCACAGAACATCGTCTGCCTGTGGTCGAGCCTAACTGCTGTCGCCTAGGAGATGTTGCATTGTCTCCCTCTGCGGCATGGTAACAGATGCTGAGAACACACCTGGCTTCTACGAAGAGCGAGCGAACGAGAGGAAATGAAGGAGTGAGAAGAGAGATGCAAGTGGAGAAAGGAGCTGGGAGAGCATGCGCACACTCCATCAGCCATTCAAGCATCACAAGAACAAGCGCTGTGATTGCCGTTCCCTTCATCTGAAGCGTTTTCATCCTGATGGGAATTACTGGTTTAACATCCATGAAGGGATAGAAGAGGAGGACGGAGGGAGAGATGTAAAAGAAGGCTAGAGTGTGTGTGTGTGTGTGTGTGTGTGTGTGTGTGTGTGTGTGTGTGTGTGTGTGTGTGTGTGAGGGAGAGCGAGTCATAGAGACTAAAGAGGGAGAGAGCATGCAGCTCAGGGGGTTCTGACACCACCACTTAGATGGAGCCTGGTGGTTATGTAAAAGGCTCAGCTTGTCAATTAACCGTATTGGATTCCCTCCTCTCCCAGCCAACGTAGGAAGTGGGCAGATCCCACACACACGTGGCTCGGCATGCGGGATCACACACACACAACTTGTTTTGGTGACACTCAATACTGTATGCAGCCTGCTTTGCACGTGTGATCCGGGTTACTGTGTAATTGTGTGTGTGTGGGTGTGTTTATGTCCATATGGTTGCTTTGGCATACATCTCTGTTTCAGATGATGGGGATTAAAATGCTCCAATGGGCTTGAGTGTGTGAGATTCGAAAAGGAGAGAGGAAGAGGAAGACATTGTGGGGATGTGAGCCAAAGAGTGTGTGTGTGTGTGTGTGTGTGTGTGTGGTTTCAGTATAGCATTGAAAGACACTGGAAAGTTGTCAAATGTTTTGCTCATGCTCAGACATACTCATACATACATAAGCGCCCAAAGTCTGCGTTGATATCACACTGTCCTGCTCAAACATCCTCTCTCACTCGCAGCTCTGTCTTTATGGCCGTCTTTTTACTGCAGGTAATACACTTGACAGTTTGGTGTAAAGGAATAGCAGGCGGCAGCAAGAGGGGGTGGTGGTGATGGTGGGGGACGAGACTTGAGGACAGAGAGAATAAGAGATGGGTAGTGGGGGTGGGAAGTGCATTGCATAACAGTTGGGTGATTTGAACATGAAGTTCAGCTCTAGACTGCATCCACTGGTCTCCATCTTGGAGTTGGGGAGCGCAATGTTTTTATGCTCAATATTGGGCACCAGGGGCGTCATAGAGATTTTAGAAATACTGAGGTAATGAGCTCAAGCCCCCCAGTGCAACCCACCCCCCTTTGGAAATTTTAACTAGACAGAAAGTCTGTCTGTTCTAATTATGTGGATTTTTCATATATCAAGTAACTGCTTTGTTACAACTTCTGTAAATGTGATTTCCTTACATCGAATGCATTTTTGTTGTCCAAACCTGCTGCAGGTTTCAGTAGACTCCAGCATCCACAGATCTGTTGAGGAACAGTCAACGCTTTCCCAGAGGCTTATTTGAAAGCAGAGTGTATCCTTTGGTGTGGGATTTTTAATGTGTGGATCCTACCACGGCAGGATTTGACAGGGGGGGCAGCCAGGCTTACAGAGGCAGGCACACCGTGTCCCGTTTTTTGGTCGCGCTTCCGCTGTCCGCCCCCCACAAGCTCTCACACCCACTCCCTGGCTGCATCCCTGCATGCACCAGGCCATACTAACCCACACCGCTCTGTCATGTAGAAGAGGCTTTGGATTAGCAGCGGCGGCATGGGTGCTCGCTGTTTGACGCAACAAAGTTGAAACGTAATATCTGTTCTCAAATACTGCGGGCACAAAGAGAGGCCTCCCTCTTGGCATGCAGACACACACTAAGCCACCCTGCTGTGGGTGTACAAAGGTAATAGTTGTTAGGTGACTCAGCAAATAAGCAGTGTCTTGGAACTTTTAATAAAAGCCACTCTAGTCAGCTGCCCTGTGAGTGTGTTTGTGTGAGAGTGAGACACAGTGACTTCAGCTCCAGTGAGGTATACATGGCTCAATCCCTCTCAGCACAAAGTATGACATCCCATTGGCACCGCCACACACACTTCCCTAAAGGCACAATAAATAATCAAGACAGCTCCCATGGCAGTCCCAGGCCCAGTCACGCCCCCGCCCTGTACTTTCTCATACCCAAGTGCAGCAATACAGCACCCACTATATACATGCTCACAGATTTTCTCCATATCCTCCTTCTCTCAAACACACACACTGTTAAATGTCTCACCCGGGACGGTGAACTCCCACAACTCTTATTCGGGAATGGCCATAAATTATCTATTCCCCTTTAGTTTGCTGAAAACTCTCCAGTCAATTCCTGTTGGACTTTTTAGCCTTCAATTATTAAAGGAGTCAAAGTGGTAAAAGTGTAAAAATAACAGGCTGGTGTTTAATGGGGACATTTCTGAGATAAATGCTGTTGGTCCTGGGAGCAGCAGCATGTGGCTGTTTAGGAACTTGTTTTGCTGATGTGTGTTTTTATTTATGCTGGCTACAAGTGATGTTTATATCCTGAAATTGATGAAAGCATAAGACTGACACTGGTGAGGTAGCTCTGATGTATTCATAACCAGAAGTGACTTGGGTGAGGATCTTTTTCTCTCCGCCTCTCAGGATGTAGTTGCAAAGGATAACAGACTCCTCTTCCCTCTGCTGAGGCAGTGGGAAATACTCCAGTGGCAGCATTGTTCAGGTTTCTCTCCATTCTCCTCCAGTACTTGACTTAACTCTGATTTGAGAGAGAGAGAGAGAGAGAGAGAGAGAGAGAGAGAGAGAGGGGGGGGTGGAGGAGTGGTGATCGAGCGCAAAGGGGGCAGGACTTTTTCTCTCCGGGTCCTATTAAGAGCAAACTTTGTGTTTTTGTTCTCCAAGTTCAGCTCAGTGCTCTCCAGCCTGCACACAGTTCCTCTCTGCTGCTCTTTTTCTTTTCCGTTTCTCCTTAATGGTTTTGTTTTCTCGCCTGTCGGTTACTGCTGTTTGCTTTTTTCATGGGGGATTTGGACCCCGGGAGGATGCGCTTTTTGGAGGAACAAATACTCAAAGTTGTCTCTTCGGCCAGTCCGGGGTTGGTTTAGTGGATACATAGATGTTTTTCGGGTTGGAATGAACAATGGTGCGGCTCCTTGGTGCTGTGGCCGAGGGCATGCTCTGGTTTCAGCTACTGTTGCTGTGCGCCGTGGAGTTGGAGCTGGGAGCCGGGGTTTCTACTTTCCAGGGTTTCTATCTTCCACCTGCGAACGGGTCGCTTCACGCACCTGCTCGGAGGACAGACGGGGTTGTGCGGACCATTGACCGGATTTACCACGGAGGAGGCAAGGCGGGCTACCTGGTGTACCTGGATGGGAGCAGGTTTCAGCTGGACATGGAGCGAGACGAGTTGGTGCTGTCACATCACTTCAGCCCCCATTATGTGCTCGCTATGATGGGGGAGAGCCCTGCGCATTTGCAGCGGGAATGCGTGTTCCGCGGGACAGTAGACTCCAACCCGGAGTCCCTGGCCGTCTTCAACCTCTGCGGAGGGGGTCTGAAGGGCTTCTTCGCCGTGAAACATGCGCGCTACACCATCACGCCTATCATCAGGGCGAAGGGACACGAGCACGACGTGCGCGCCCTGCAAGACAAGGCCGCGAATAGCGCGCTCCACGTGTTCACGCGCGAGAGTTTCAGCTTTGAGGCCATGCGCGAGGGGCGAGAGAGCTGCGGGACGCGCGACGGTCGCAGAGGTCGCGGGAAGGGGACACGGGACAAAGAGGGGCTCGCAGCAGATAAAACAGATGACCACGGTGCGCGCGGGCGGAGATGGTGGAGCCGGAACACCGAAGACGCCGATCCAAGGGTTGGCACACGGCACAAGAGGTCTGTCTCTCGCGCCAGGCACGTGGAGCTGCTCCTTGTGGCCGACGACACCATGATAAAGAAATATGGCAAGGACTTGAACCACTACCTGCTCACACTGGCCTCCATCGCCTCCAGGCTGTATGGGCACGCCAGCATCGAGAATCCCATCCGGCTGTCGGTGGTGAAAGTGACCACGGTCAGTGAGAAGGAGAAGGGGCTCGAGGTGTCCAAGAACGCGGCGGCGACTCTGAAGAGCTTCTGCAAGTGGCAGAACCAACAAAACCCGCTGGACGACGACCACCAGCACCACCACGACGCCGCCATCCTCTTCACCAGGCAGGTAAACAAACTTCCATCGCTTCCCGCTCCCCCCACCTGTCCGCTTCTCTCACCTGGCAGGCTCACCGAGGCGCCGGGTCCGCCTGTCTTCCATCCCACAAGGCGTAGGAGAGGCGGCTTAGCGCCCCGGTGTGATGCCAAGCCAGCAGTGACACTACTGTTTGTTGGTTTGTTTTTATTTTGATGGTGCACGTGGTGACAGCTGGTTCAACGTAGCTAAGCACTTAACAGACTGAGCTTTGGGGGGCTTCATGCGAATGGTCTATCAATGACCTAACACACTCTGTAATGAAGATGACAGTAATAGTCTGATCACACGTATTTTTTCACCTTCATCCGGCAGGTAAGCGACACAAAGTGGTTGACTAATGTTTACCCATTTGCGTCACCGTAAGTCAGTAGTGACTCCACAGCCTGCTTCCCACATGTCCCTGGTGATAGCCAACCCTTTTGTATGTTCTCTTTCTCTTTCTTTTGTCTCTTATTCTTCGCTGAATCTTGCGTGCGTAATGCAGCGCTGCATCTGTGAAACAGTCATAAAAACTTCCTGCGCCTGGTGTTTTTCTAGGCAGGCTCTTCTGTCTCCAGCCTCCCCCTCCTTCTCCCCTGACAGCCCAAAAGCCTCAGAGTCTGTGTGATCTGTGGCGCGTGCCCGCTGCCGTGCACGCAAATTCTTCCCAGGGCAGGAGGTTTGAAATCAGTTGCTGGGTGCATTGCCGAAATATACCTAAAACTCCCTTGAAACTGTAGTTAATTAGGTAGCCATCCCAGCCTTGAAAGTCTGATATAGGGGCTGGAGTGATGAGAGCTCTCTCATCACTCCAGTCTGCACATTTTTCCCCCAGTAACTTTTCCAGTGTCTGTCAGCTGAGGCTGGGAGCTGTCAGAAAAACAAACGCATGCCCCCTGTGAGAAGCCATACATTCACTGAGACCACACTGATTTATGCCTTCTTTCACCATCCCTTTCTCTCTCCTACTTCTTCCTCCTCCTTCCCTCCCTGCCTGATGGAAAGCCACAGGGCAGCAGCAGCAGATCTATATGCATTTTTCACCTCGCCGGGTGTGGCTTCATGGTGGTTAGCTCCAGTTAACGTGTCAGATAGCTCGCCTTGGACTGCGGTGTGTTCAATTCATGCAGGGTCTTGTATTCAATGCCAGCAGATCCAAGGTAATACCCCTGGTGCTTGCTTTTTCCGCCCCGAGCCATGACAAGTTGATGCTGTCATGCACTGGCAAGGCAGCCGTTAGTGCATACCTGAGGTCAGCAAGCTGGCAAAGTTGCACTGTTACTTTGTGCCAACCACCTTGTGGCTCCTTACTTACCCTGTTGCCACTACACCTGCATGGGCAAGACCCATGCCCGGAAGATGGTGCCATCCCCTGGGGGGTTGGGCTTGGCAGGGTGGACAAGGTCAGACGGGCATGGATACCTCTGAGGCAGCCTTAAAACAGGAGGGCAGAGACTCAAATGGACAGGAAGCAGTCCATGTTAGGGGTTACAATTATGCATAGTTTCAGACAGTAGCTCGTAATATTATTGATATCATTATATGAGACTTTTTTATAACAAAACCTCATAGTCTGTTCATGATATTAGTTCTAATGTATGTTGACACAAGAAGATAAGCTCTATTAAAACTAATGAAATAGTGTAAAAGTGAGAAGGTTAACCATCTGTGTTCATTAATAGAAGGTTGCTGCATTATTCATAAACCTGCCTCCTAACGGTCATTCACACAAATCACTACTGAACGTGGAGGTCGTCCTGTAGAGACTACCTGTCAGCAGAAGAAGCAGGTGATCCCACTCTGTTGTCCACAGAGCGTATATACGATCTGCAACAGCCCCTGTAACACAGTACAGACCTCTGAGAAACTTTGTGAGGTGGGATCCTGATCCCTATCTGTTGCATTACTGCACGACATATGAGCCTAACGGCACCTACCATCAGTATGCAGAATACGCACATAGCTAATGCATGACTTGAAAGCAGCCACCGTCTTACTTAAATTTTGACCTTTGAACTCTTTGGCTATTAAAGGCCACTTTCTGGATTATGTGCTAGGGCTGAGTGCTTCTTACCTTGTCAATAATTATCATGGACAGGCTGAGGTTTGTTTACATCCAAACGCTGCAGGAAAACAGACCAATTTTGTGTGACTGAGTGAAAATAACATTTAGAAAGCCACATTCTTATGGGAGTCCTTTGTGTGTGTTACAAAGGAAAACACGTGGAATGTGAAGAAATGGTTGTTTTGCTCTATTCTTTACAAAAACTAATTTTGCAAGAGTAGCTGTCAGAACAGATCCCCCTATGGTATGTCAAGAGCTGCACAAACATTTGTCATTTTACAAACAGAGTAGAGCCATTAGAGTTTCCATTCACCAAATATCTTTATTTGGCTCAGGTACCTCATACCTTGCTGCTTTTTGGGGTGAAATAGGAGAAAAGAAAGAAAGAAAAGATGTTGGGTATAGGAGGCATGGTGATGTGTTAACTATTTTCACAGGAAAATAACTTTGGCTGGAACCCCAATGGAAACTTAACAGGGAAAGACATGCATGTGCTGTAGATTCAGTTCAGAAGGAAAAGACCAGCCAAGTGTTCCAATATACAAAATGTCAGAGGTGTCAAGTAACCAAATAGCAGTTTATGCATGAAAAGAAATAACCACATTCATCTGTGTATTTGGAGCGCCTGTGAAGTAGATTGTGAACTGAAGGTCATTAAAGACTTTGTGACCTGGGAGTCGGGGGTGGCTCGTCTCTTTGTAGTCTGGTCCAATTACTCCAACACCCCGTACCCGCAGTGAACCGTGTGGTGGTGTCACCCAGTTCCACACATATTAGCGCCACAACAAAACAACGGGGCACATTGTGGGGACTCAGAACTGTTCAAAGTGTGTATTCGTGTATATGGGAACATTAAGTGTTATGCATGGCTGTGTTCACTTGTTGTGAGCTTGGACAGTAGACAAAGCTCTACTGTAAGGTGGCCAGAGAGGAGCAGCAGAGCTGTGGAGACACTGACATGCTTGGATTTTTTTTTTATTTGCTTCTTGTAGCAATAGCTCAAATGTTTGGATAGAAATTGATAGCAGGCACTTGTGATGCCAGTGATATTGAAGTACTGACCTTTTGAACCTAGACTGAGATCAGGTCACATTCAGATTTGTAATGTGAAATATAGTATTTTTAAATTGGGATTTGCATATTAGGCATTTAGCTGACTATCATGTCCAGACTGAATGAAAAACAAGTGCATGAGTGGATTAAGATTAGACTCAATAGTAAACATAAAGTATTGTAGTAGAAGTGGTCATATCAGGGGATGAGAGTGGGTTATTTTATCAGGAAGGACACAAGTCTTTGCTCACTAGTACTGAGGTTTTCATTTTTTAAGAAATTCCCATTTGAATTGAGTGAACTCTAAGTGAATTTATAAAGCATTAGCTGAAATACCAGAAAGGTAACATGACGAGGCATCCATTTGCTGAAGAAGAATTTAAAATACAGTTGAAAACTTCTAAGTATACGTTGACTTGACATTATGTTGTCACATGTGCTCATTCCAAGGTCAAAATATATCTGCCATGCAAAATTACATATAAAACATATCAAAATGTTCAAAGTCATTAATTGTATACCACTGCTGTGCAATGCATGAGCCCAAACAAAAACATAAATAATTTTTACCAAATGCTTTTATTGAACGTTAACAACAGAGTCGACCACAATAGTTTGCAGGAACACAGAGAAGGCCCTTATGTAATAATGATTGATGTGAGAGACACATTGATGTAGACACAGCATGTACCTATCCATTTCCTTCAACTGTGTGTTTCACATATGTGTAAAGGATAGTTATGTCATATAGCCTCTTAAAGTGAATGTGGGGAATGTGCACATGTGTATAGTTCGGACTCCTCCCTTTCCTGAGCACTTGTCTTCCTCCTCCTCACCTCCATATGTTTATGTGTAGTGTCTCTACATTAAAGTGTACATTTCCCAGGCCTCGCCCCCATCGCAACTAGGCCCTCTATTTGTTTTAACTGTTCTTGATATTTCACACGTGCTTTACTTTGACTGGCATATGTTGACAACCTGCAGACAGCTCTTGGGTCCCAAACCCCTGAGCCCAGCCCCGGGTCTGTCGACATACACAACTGGCCAGAGTTCAGTCTGCCCGGTAACAAGACATCAGCCTCTCCTTCTTCACGTTGTGGTGCTTCAGTGACTTTAAACTGCACTCCTGTTTGCAATTATGGTCTGAAGCTTCCTTTGAGCTCTGACCTAAGACTGGTTTGGGTCTCCATGCTAAGAAACATAGGTTTCTCAACCAGTCATATTTTTAATTTCTTGTGATTTCATTTCTCCTTAAAAAATGTGTAACTTCGCTTGATCAGAAATTCCCCTTATTCTGATCTCTGATGTGTCTTGTTACTAGATCTGAGTACCACCTCTTACACTGTGGACAATGACTTGAGAACAGTACGGGTCTCAAGGGGCTGGTGCTTAGCTGGTTCTGCTCATAAACTGTATCTGATAGGCAGAAGTGCAGTGTTGCATCCTTCTGTTCAAAGGTTAAATACGGCATTCCACATGGATCAACACTGGTACCACTTGCCTTTGATGTGTTAAATATTTGAGTTTGGTATTCTGGAAACTTCTATAGTTACCACACTGCGCAAGGGATGCTGGAATATCTTGTGGAAACACATGTTAATTAAACCTGTCTCCCATCTCTTATTATGGATTACACCACACTGCCACTTGGTCACATCTTCAAAAATGAATGCAACTAAACTAAATCACATAAATAATCATCGCTATGTTGACGACACACAAATATATATATATATATAGCTAATGACTCCTGGCTTTTGAAACTAGAAAACTGCTTGTCGGAAGTCAGTTGTTTGATGTTTAACAACTTCCTACATTTGAATACCCAGAAGGCTTGATTGTTGCTTGTTGTTTCAGCAAGACACAACAATTTTCAAGGATGTTTCTGTTAATCTCAAAAGAAATTTTTCAATCTCAGCTACTCACTATAGCTGTGAGATGAATGTGGCGGAGTAACAAGAACCCTTTGCACCAAAATTAGCATGTATATGCAGGTTTTATAAATGCGGGTAAACCACTAAAAGAGCTGATTGACTCCTTTCCCCAGTAGACAGGTTTGACTTTCTTTTTTTTTGAACTGTCATGGTTCAATGTCCAACTCTACACGTGGGTCAGCATACTATCAGTGAGACGCTTCGGTTGGTTTGTAAATGTATTTTGGGGCTGCTCTCACTCTTTAGCCACTGTGTTACTGGTTTAACAACACTGTACAGGCCAGGTGACAGGTATGTTCATAGTGTTTGTGTGCTCTGTAAGACATCACAGCATGGGTACAAAGTCATACAGCTGTTGGAAATTGGCGTGTCCACCCGGGTGTCGTGTTTCCATCACTACCGATCAGAGCCTTTCACAGTGAAGACAAATGAAAGATGTTAGTGGGGTTTTTGGCCCGATGTGAAAGGGTCTTTTAAAGAGTACAGTTTTGCTATCAGCTGTGTGAGGTTGCACTTGCAGTTAGCTAAAGGCTAATGTCAGCATGCTAATATGCTGATGTTTAAAAGATATAATGTTCACCATCTTAGTTTAGTGTGTTAGCACTATTATTGATACTAAACACAAAGTGCTGCTGAGGCTGATCGGAGATTTGTCATTAGTTTATAGGCATTTGGTCATAAATCCTAACCAACAAATTCATATTTTGGCCTAAATAAAGTGAAGGAATTATCTAAATTAAAATCATCCAAAACTATCCACTAGTTGCCAATTGACACCTATGGAGCTCAGCATCACTAGAGTGTGACTAGAAAGTACAATATTTTCCACTAATAGAAAATAGAGTATGCATATAAAGGAGGATGAAAATTAAATTATCTGAGAAGCTCTCAATCACTAGTGAGCAATATTTAGTGACCTGTCCAGTCAACGGTAGAAAGCAATTTTTTGTTGCTTTTGTTTAGCAGGTTTCTTGAAATCAGCCTGCGGTGTGTTTTTATCACAGTGTGTGTGTGTGTGTGTGTGTGTGTGTGTGTGTGTTTTACAAGACCACTTGCAATCTAAGCCAAGGCTTGTGTTAAACAAACAGCCAGCCACACAGACAGACAGACAGACAGACAGACTCTGCTCTGCTCGTCTCCTGACCTGCACAACCAGCTTGCCACTTGTTCTCCTGTTATTTCTGCCAATATTTCTCTAACTCCTTGTTCTCTAAGTTCTTGTCTTTAATTTCCTGCATCCCTCCATCCTTTCCCCCCAGCATCTGATTCATGTACATATTTCTCTGATTTCCAACAGGAGATTCCCATTTTCCTGTGTTTCACCTACGTATTATCTGTTACACTGTGTTGTACCAACAAAAGCTGTGTGTATAAGAAAGATCAGAAAAAAACAGGTCTGGTACGAGAGCCTGGGAGGGGATGAATGAATAAATAAATGAAATTGAAAGAAATGTGAAGAAAGTCAGGGTGAAAGAGTGTGGGAAACGGGGAAAGAGAAACAGACAAAATATTAATACAATTTTCTCTATATGTTCTTACAAAACAAACGGGCTTCCCTCCATAGCTTTCGAGCTTGTCTGCACATGGAAAAGTAAAGATAAACTTTAGCACAGTTTGTCTCTTAACTGCCATCAATGCAGTGAGAGTGTTTGACTTGCCCTTTGTTTGCTTATTGTGTATCCCGCAGTCAGTTGGCAAAAGCAGGCACTCTCTTCCTGTTCTCTGTAGGAGTGTTTGTGTCTGTATTTGTGTGTATTTGCTTGTGAGTGTACCATACGTTCTTATAGCTTATGTGCATCTGAGTGTGCTTGTGTGTGTGTGTGTGTGTGTGTGTGTGTGTGTGTGTGTGTGAGCTTGTCCCACCCAGTCAGTCATGTGTGCGAGCGCAGAACACAAGGCATTTTGTTCCTAACCGATCCGCCCGGAACGGGTAAACACCCTCCCCAGAGAGCCTCTCACACACGACCCAGCAGGCCTGTCAGCACCACTTAACTTAACGATTCATCCTCTCAATGGGACAGCGTGTGTGTGTTTTCCTTTTTAGTATATAACCATGTGCACATACGTGGATGTTACGTCTGTGTACATTGTACAGATGTTTGTGCTGCATTGAGTGTTTACGCACATGCACACAGGCGTGTGTACTCTGATGTGATGGAATGATTAGCGGATTGATCGCTGCACTCAGCAGGGCCAAGCAGTGGAGCCTGAGGGCTCGTCTGAATGGACATGTGTGGGAATCAAAACAAAGATCAATACTATGTACTCTGCCAACCCATGAGGCAGACAGAGAGGTGGTGGAGGCAGAGCAAGGAAGCAGGGATTAAAAGTATTGGTCGAAAAATTAAAGGGACCCTCCACGATATTTTCGATTCCACAGAAAACGGTTGTATGTCCTCTGTAGCTCTTTTGGAGCCTTGTCAAGTCTTAGAAAATTACTCAATTTCTCAGTTTGGGGTTGTAGAGTTTGAAAGGCACCGATGATTTAAAGCATTGTATTATGGGAGGTGTGGTACCCAAGTTTTTCTGGTACTGCTGCATTGATTTTGACAATCCTTTTAAAAACTGCTTTCCAACTTCATGAAAGTGCAATACTGAATTGCAGCATTGCTCTTTTAAGGGGCAGAGGCTTTGATCAAGACAACAAAGAACAACAAGATCAACAAGAATTACTTGAATTGAGTGTCGTCACAGTGGCTGAAATTTGACACTACTTTACTTATCTTACAGATATTTTCAATGTGTTTGCAAAATGGGTATAGCAAGTTGAATCTCCGCTTTAACTGCATCACCACCACCTAGCACTGGAGAAGGCCTAGAACAAACAGAGCTAAAGTGTAGCTCCTGCCAGTGATTAAGATTAAGATTATTAATCTATTAAATGACTGGAAAAGTTGAAGAAACTGCAATATCTTCGAAGAATGTATTAGAAACACATTAATTTTAGATAGTATAGGATCTGAGCTAGGTGACAGAAAAGAATGTGGCAAGTTGAACAGGAAGGTGCATGATAGCTGGAAGGTTCAATAATACATTTCCCCAGTGCCTGAGGAAAGGGAAATAGTTGATTTAATCTTTCATTGAGACATTACAGGCAAACCATCCATTATAAAAGATGATGATCTTCAGTAAAATGAGTTTGAAATCTTTGAATAGTTTTACTTGTTTACACTGCATTCTTAGTTTTGAGAAAGATTATCTGGAAAAAAGATCCAGGAAGAAGTAACTTTTTTTAAAGAAAACTGTTGACATAAACAGAGTTTTCCCACTTGGATAAAGTATTAATTTAAACTTACAGTATTTCCTTTGTCCAGGACCTCTGTGGCCACCACTCCTGCGACACCCTGGGCATGGCGGACGTGGGCACCATCTGCTCTCCGGAGAGAAGCTGCGCAGTCATCGAGGATGATGGACTTCACGCTGCGTTTACTGTGGCGCATGAGATAGGTAGGCATGGATACACACACACACACACCAGCACACAAACAAAGATATGAACATGCCAGGGCATGCACATCTGTCAGCACATCTCTCTTGTTGATGAATATCAGTCAAGTATTGTCTGATGTCATACACCTGATACCTGAGAGCTCTGTGTGTTTTCTTTTCTCATTCTTATTGCATGTGCACACCCTTGACAAGTTTCATCATTTCTCTCTCTTCTATGAACTCAACCTCTGTACATCGTGTACCCATAACCATCCAGTAAAAATGCTTTCTCCCTGTGGCCCAGGTCACCTGCTCGGTTTGTCCCATGACGACTCCAAGTTCTGCGAGGAGCGTTTTGGCGTGAACAGCGACAAGCGCCTCATGTCCTCCATCCTCACCTCCATCGATGCCTCCAAACCTTGGAGCCGCTGCACCTCAGCCACCATCACCGACTTCTTTGACGATGGCAACGGTGAGTGTGGAAGAAGGCTCGGGGAAAGAAAGAGTCCGTGCTGGTGTTCTTTTAATAGTGAGAACTTTTCCCTGCCAGTAGGAGTTTTATTTTCTCCATCTATAAATTGCATCCATGTGACTTTGACTTGTGATAGCTTTTCTTCCACACCACCTTTCAGTAAGAGCTGTTTACTACCAAACAGAGCTGTAATCTCTGTTAATAGAGAGTTATTTACAATCCTATTAACTTCTTAAAGACTGCAGCCAAAGACAGATCTCTGGCAGGATATCAAGATGAGTCATGCTTTGTGTTCCCTTCTCGTCAAGTAGTTCCATTCGTGTCGGCCATAAAGTATTGTGAGTTGACATTTGGTAAACTCGCTTTCGGCTAAATTCATGTAGCAACAGCATTGTTTCAAGCTTGACAGTATCTGCTGTTGCTTCAGCACTTTTATTGAATAATATGTCATACAGGCCTCAATTGTCAATAGACAAAGTTGGTGTTTAGATTTTCATTCGCCAGCCACTAACCAAAAGTATGCAGGTTGCAGAGAAAAAAAATTCCCTTTTCTTTCTTTCCTGCCACAGCTGAGTGTCTCCTAGACTCCCCTCACCAAGCCTTGTTAGGCCCGGAGGAGCTCCCAGGGCAGAGCTACGACGCAGTTCGCCAGTGTCGCCTGGCCTTCGGCCCCGAGTACACGGTCTGCCCAGGCATGGACGTATGTTCTCGGCTGTGGTGCTCCGTGATTCGCCAGGGACAGATTATGTGTCTGACCAAGAAGCTGCCGGCCGTGGAGGGAACGCCTTGTGGGAAGGGACGTATCTGCCTGCAGGGAAAGTGTGTGGACAAGACCCGCAAGAGACACTACTCGGTAAGACGGATGGATGGTACCAGAACGAAAGGGAGAGCTGGAAAAGGACATGATAGAAGTTGTTTGTCGAGAGAGACAGAAAGGACTAAAATCTAAAATAGACTCCTTTTTATAGTTCAAAAACTGATATTTTAAGCAACCTATTTCCACGATGTACAAACTTGCCTGTGAGAGACGAAGATAAATAGGAATAAATGTAACATACAGGACACAGGGCAACTATCAAGAAAGAAAAGGAGAAAGTAGAAAGGGAGAGAGACACTTGAAGAGAAAAAATGTCACAGTTCTTTATGTGACTTCATTGTGTGGTCCGCTTTGTTTATGCCACTGTTGATCTGTGCTATTTGTAATCTTAGCCATACTTAAACAGATCTAAATTGAATTTGGCCTTAATGAGCTAAAGGACTAAATCAGTTCTTGGCAGGCTCTCGACACTGTGTGTGTGTGTGTGTGTGTGTGTGTGTGTGTGTGTGTGTGTGTGTGTGTCAGAGAGGGAAAGAGAGTTGAAAGTTAAAAAGAATGGGAAAGAAGGAACGATATTTTCCTTTGTGTTTATTTGACACATGACAATTGATGAATCTGACTCGCTCTTTGGCAGATGACATATGCGTGGATCTGACCCAAGGTCTGATTCGCTTATTTTCACTGCCTCATATGACGACCAGTTTACTGCTCAGAGCAATGTTAAGCCCCTCCACTTCAGACTTCAGAATCTTTTAACCTCTAAATATTTCTTGTAGTATGATTGCAGATTAAGTAGCTTTAACTGTGGAAAGTAGCGGTTCAATGCCATAAAGACTCAGCAGTGGAACTAAATGGAAAAGCTGTTTCCAAAGAAGTTTCACAGAACTTTGTCTCATAAAATGTTAAATGCTACTTATCCATTTTATCACTGATGACTCATGTTGCACTGGCTGGAAAAACTCAAATATAAGGACATTACTTTAAGAATTTCATTCAGGCTGTTCCTCAGGGGAAGCATGTGAGCTGTTCCACCACAGATCCAGTCATGCTGTCTTAACCACAATGCATTCCACATTTTTCTTCATCGCACATCTCTCTCCAAAGGGCTTTCCCTGTCACATGTGGCTTTGCCAGCAACCACTTCCAACATGTCTGATAAGCACTAATTGTCCTCTCTCATCTCCTCTCCTTTCTTTCTTTTCTCTTCATCCCTCTCAACTCTCTGATCTCTCCTCTGCCCTCATTTCCCTCAACTCTTATCTCCTCTTTCATCTCTCCTCTCCTCCCTCTCCCAGGCGTCCAACCATGGCAGCTGGAGTTCTTGGGGTCCTTGGGGTGCGTGCTCTAGAACTTGCGGAGGCGGGGTGCAATTTGCCCAGCGTCTGTGCAACAACCCACCACCACGGAACAACGGACGCTACTGCATAGGGAAGAGAGCCATCTATCGGTCCTGCAATGTCTCACCATGTCCAGCATCAAGTGAGTGTGACAGCCTGAAAATGCATGCACAATTATAATAGCTCGCTAATTTTTATTTATGACATAGTCCTTTATTTATTTCAAAGATCTTTTAATGGAACTTTTCTCCAGATAAGAGTTTCCGGCAGGAGCAATGTGAGGTGCGCAACGGTCCCCAGACAGATCCTAAAGGGGTGAAGACTTTTGTTGAGTGGGTGCCTAAGTACGCAGGAGTCCTCCCTAAAGATGTGTGCAAGCTGACCTGCAGAGCAAAAGGAACAGGATACTATGTGGTGTTCTCTCAGAGGGTGAGTTAGTTACAAAAAAAAGCGCGGTGTATCTAATGAATGCAAACATGGAAGATGACAGTGATTTTGTGACTGTTTGTCTTCAGGTGGTAGACGGGACAGAATGTCGTCCTTACAGCAGCTCGGTGTGTGTGAAAGGGAAATGTGTACGGACGGGCTGCGACGGCATCATTGGTTCCAAGCTCCAGTTTGACAAATGTGGCATATGTGGAGGCGACAGCACAGGATGTGTACGCGTTATGGGCAACTTCACCAAGAAGAGGTGAGAGAAAAGAAAAGACTTGAGATGTGCATTATATGTCTTTATATTATGGGGAACACTCATGCACATAAAAACATTTGCATCAATGCATCAGAAGGGAATCGGTTGTATTAATGTTAAAGTGGTCATATTATGTTCATTTTCAGGTTCATAATTGTATTTAGGGGTTGTACCAGAACAGGTTACATGTTTTGATTTTCAAAAACACCTATTTTTGTCATACTGCACATTGCTGCAGCACCTCTTTTCAGCCTGTGTGTTGAACGCTCCGTTTTAGCGTGAGCGAAGCATCTCACTTCTATTCAAGGGGGTAAGTCAGAAATCGAACAGTGAAGCCGACCAAAGCCTGCATGGACGGTTCCATGTAGGCCCATAAATTACGTCAAACCCCTGTGACATCCCGTCACGTACAGACTTTTTGTTGAGCAGCTATGCAGCTACCATAATTACGGTGTTTCTGCTGTTGCTCTACGTCATCAAACCAGAGTAATGCAGCGTGATCATGTACGGTAGAGACTGGTGCCGACAGGAAGTAGCCCTGTAGTAGGATTTTATTGGTCCAAAACTGGCTTCACTGCTCTCCATTCAAATCTGCAGGATCCAGTAATATTCTGTCTATGCTTCTATTCGATCTTTGTTGGGAGTTGCATATGCACAGTACCTAGGTAAGGACTACTAGCCAATCAGAAGCAGAGTAGGGCAACTTCAGCCGGCAACCACAGCTTTGGTTCAGCCATACATATTCCTGAAAGGCAGAACAACCCGAAACCAGCTTCGCAACCTAGATTGGAGCAAGACGTTTCAGAGTGGTAAGTAATTCATTTGTAACAAAAGTATCTTTCATAAGTAACTTTTTCACTGTGCACTGTCTGTACATCACAGTTGCAACTTTATGCCCACTGACTGCCTGGAGGGTATCTAATATTCAGTAGGGAGGGTGGAGTTGAGGGAAGGCAGCGGGTGAGCGTCTTGTCATTGTCTGTGCTGCAGCTGAGTGTGTTTCTCCACCAGTGTTTTTAAGGGCGTGCCACACTAGTCGCTAGGTGAGCATTATGATGCGTGTTACATAGTGACACAGATAGGTTACGGAAGTAAAGGCTGGACTACAATTGAGCTGTTTTCAGGCAGATCAGGAGCAAAGCTTTCTGTGGGAGATGCTTACTCCCTTTGGGGTGGACTTTTTGGCTTTTTCACTTTGCAAACCTATTCCATACACAAAAAAGATATATAACACAATAAACGATAAAAAGCATAGTATGACCACTTTAATATTGACTTCTATGTTGATGAAAATCCAGCAAAGCAAAACCAGTGATAAGAAAGAACACACAGTGTTACCTACTAATGGGAGCTCTCTTTACTTCCTCTCTTGCCAAACAGTAAGGGCTACACTGACGTGGTGAAGATCCCTGTAGGCTCCACCCACATTAAGGTTCGTCAGCACAAGGCCAAGGACCAGGCCCGATACACTGCCTACCTGGCTCTCCGAAGGCCCAATGGCGAGTACCTCCTAAATGGCAAGTTCATGATCTCCACCTCCGAGACAATCATCCCACTCAACGGTTCTGTGCTCAACTACAGTGGCTGGAGCCAAAGGGATGAGTGGCTTCACAGCATGGGACCTGGGGCCCTCCAAGAAGCCTTGGTGATCCAGATTCTAGCGACAGACGCTAAAAATCCGCTGGATGTCCGTTATAGCTTCTTCATGCCCCGCCGGACAGCCCCACAGCAGCCATCAGCTCCGCTCATCACCAACCCAAAGCTGACCCCTGTGCAGAGCACTACAACAGTCTCAACCACAACGAGGACCACCTCCACCACCAGTAGCGCCACTATATCTTCTTCCTCTCCCCCTGTCCTGCTCCAAGACCCACCTACAGCTCCAGGTCCCTCCACCCCTACCCCAGGGCCCCAGTGGATAACGGGGTCCTGGATGACCTGCTCCAGGACTTGTGACACTGGCTGGCAGAGCCGGACAGTGCAGTGTAAGGACAAGGACGGGAAACTATCCAAGGGCTGCACTCTAGGTTCTCGCCCATCCGCCTTCAAACACTGTCTGGTGAAAAAATGTTGAGGCGTTAGGAGAGGGAAAATGATCCGTAAGACAAGAAGAAGTTTAATCTATACATCTGATAAAGGTCTCAAGTTCTGGGTGTAGGACTATGGACCAATGAATTTAAGACATAGAACCTTAAACAGGACTGTGAATGTTGGCTGAAAGTGCCTGGACCAGATACACAGACACTCAAAGACAGATTGGCATGGATGTACCTGACTATATGTCAGAGCAATGTCCTGGAATAATAGTAGCTATGCAGAACACATAGTAGGACGGAGTACAGTTTTTGTATGATAGTGACAAGCATGGCCCTGGCATAGCTGAGGACTTCAATTGCATGTCATTTCCACATGGACAGTAACTGATTGTCTTTACTTCCGTCTCTAAATCCTGGAGGCTTTGTGTGTTTTGCCCTGTAATGGCATGAGTGTCATGTTTTTTTATGCTATTCCATGTGTTCTAATCACTGTGGGGATATGGAAGAACCCCTTTGTCTTTTGTCATGAGTGCATTCGAGACAAGTCCCAACGATGGGAAACAGCTTGTCGTTATTTCTGCCCTTATTGTAGCCCTGTCCCACGACCGTCATACTACGTTCAATAGTGCTAGATTGCCATCTCCTGTAACTTCCGCCACTGAGAGGCTGTGAGAAAATTTGTCACAGCAAGTATGTTGAAGATCCTAGCTCACTAGATGGTAGAAAGAAATGTATCTTCCATTAAAAACAACACAATCCAATCAAAGACAGCACAGGATGTCTTTGTCAGGATGTCTGTCAGTGGTGCTACTGATGGCCAAAAGCTATGTTACAGCATTATTATTAACATGGTGTTTTTTTTATATTCTGATTGCATACAAATAGTCTTCCTGTAAATGCTTTTACGAGTCACAGGGGCTGGAGATACGAATGACAGTCTTGGGTCAGGGTTACCTACAAGCGTTGTGTGTCTTTATTTGACTGATCTGACCAGCTGAAAACCAGAAAAGATCACAAGGAGAGGGGAGGACTGAATATAAACTACTTCCCTTAGCAATGACCATTAGGTCAAGAGCATCCAAAAGTAATTGTAAGCCAATGGATATGATTTCCAAATAAGGATGCATGGGAGGGTGACTTCACAACCCAGACATTTGGCGAACAGACGGTGTCAAATCAGTTGTACCCAATCTTAAACTGTTCAGGTATTTCTCTGTGCTCAGCTTCTTGAGAAGTTGAGAAGAAAGTTTTTCCTGATGACACAAGTATCGATTGTACTTAAACTGATAATCACCTGTAAGGTGTGTAGAAACAGCAGCATGGTGTAATGGAACGAGAGTGTACTGTGGCCTTCAGAGGACAAACTTTACAACAGTCAAAGGGACAAATTTACCACGACTCTCCTTAATGTTTATGGAGATTAATGATGACTCACGGGTTTGGGGCGCTGCTTGATGCGTGTTTGTGTAATGTGTGTGTGTCTTTGTGTGCATGTCATGTGCTAGCACATTCACATACCCAGGCCTGTGTTTTAAGCACATGCAGTATTTACCGTGAACATGTGTCTTTGTCCTCTGCTGCGTCTTGAAGCTTCCTCACTCCCAGTTCCATTTGTATCAATCAGTATGCTGGTGCTGGGAGGTTTAGGGTCCTCATATTTGTTTGTGGCAGTCAATATTTGTTTGTTCGTCTGTTTATCTGTTAAGGAAGCAATGCTAATATGACAATGTGTGCCCAGGATACTCGCAATGACAGCAAGAGAGATACTAATGCAGTCATTAATATCCTTTTGCAATTCAGTTCTTTTTTTCATTTGATTTCTTTTCATCACTCATTCTCCATTTTACTACTTTAAATCCTCTATTGCTGTATTTGAAAATGATTGTTTAATCCTTTTTCCAACCCTGATGGGTAGTGTTTGCCATGTTACAACAATTCCGATGGTGCCACAGGATGATTTTCCCACTTACCTCTACCTTGTCTCCACCTCAGTAGTGGTGGTCACAGCAGGAACTTGTAACTCCAGAAATAATGCTTCAGTAACTTAACTGAACTTCACACAATCCACAAACCTCACTGTCAACAAGGTCTTGTCTGGAACTACTTTCTACAGAAGAACGCAACTACTACTCTGGGACACTGATTCTGGAAAGTGATGTTGCAGTTGATTTAAAGAAATTGTTTGACATTTGGGGTAATATACCTATCTTTCTTCTTGTCAAGAAATAGATGAGAAGATTAATACCACTCTCATGTTTGTCCTTATATGAAGCTAGGACCAGGGATTTGTTAGCTTAGCAGGACTGGAAACAGGGAAATAGCTAGCCTGACTCTGTCCAGAGATTTAAAATATGTCTACCAACATCTCTCTGTTCATCAGTTCACTAATTAACCCATCATATTTTGTTTGTTTAATCCGTACAAAAAACAAATGTAAAAACGACAATTTGCCCATGTTTCCAGTCTTGCTGCCTCTAGCTTCATATTGAACAGAAAGATATGAGTGTGATATCAGTCATTACATCTAACTCTCAAAAAAGTATTAAACTATTCCTTTAAGTGAAAAAACAAAACTATCTTCTCTAGATACCACCAGGTTTAAGTGAAGAAATGTACTTTTTTTGTAATTTGGGTGGCCTCCCCCCTATAAAATCTTCCTCCAAATCTTGTGTGAAAAATGAAAATGTACTCTTAAAGGGAGAGTAAGTGATTCTGCAGAAGGATTGTAGGATTGAACTCACCTTTTCCTTTTTGGTGGTTTCTCGGTCAACTCTCCAGTCTAGCACGATTTCACTGCTCCTGTGCACGAGCACCAACGCCACCTGTTGCTGACTGGCTGGGAAAATGTTGGGTGGCAGGGCTGTGTAGGAAAACTGGATTTTTTTTCAGAGCAAGAAGAGGAGGCCTTGTCAGAGAGGAAATATTTGATGAATTTAACAAAAAGTGTATTGGATTACAATCACTTACTTTCCCTTTAAAGAAAATAATACTGAGAACTTTACCTTAACTCTCCTGAATGGTAATCATGCACCAGCAATACAAAGTGCTGTTAATTACATACTTAATGGACTTTAAAATACCTTCCTGTAATTGTGTTCAAATTTCTGGCACCTGTTCAATGTTCCTGTGTGGCAAAACCCCACCCATCTGGCACCTGTGCAGGAGAAAACAAACCACCAAAAACTTTTTCAAATACTACATGACCCAGGTCAACATACCACTCACAAAATGGTCTCTCTTCTTCGCTCACACATTCAGATATATTTACACAATGTAGACATTTTTGTACAATGAATAGATCTTTCATATATGCGTTAGTATTCAACCATATTTACACCGAAATGTACACATACAGACACACACTTCATTGAAACAATCCAGCATTGACAGTATTTGAGTATATGAGAAACCCTCACACACACTCCATACATACACACACATACACACAAACTATTTCCAGACTCTTCCAGTGGGGAAACCCCTCTTGCTGAACAACAGAAACACAGCACTGAACTTGTAATTTATTGTTTGTACAACTGGTATGTGTGAATAAAAAAATGAGATGAGTTTTATTTATTATAGTAATTTTGTATCAAATTACTATTTAACTTAGGAATCTGACTGTGCAGAATCATTCCTTTGTAAGAATATAGTGTTTCTTTTCTAGTCATCCACATGAATATATGTACATAAAATCTATATATTTAAACATCTTTGCATCTGTGTTGTTAATTTTGTCATGGCATTAATGCCTAAACCTGTGTTTTGACTTTCAGACGAGTCTGTCTTCTCACACACTCTCACCCAAGATGAAGGTAACAAAGCAAGCTGATATTAACCCTATTAGGGCTATATTCATACACATGTAGCAGCAGAGAAGAGAAAGCAGGAACAGAAAATGTCAGTAAATACAACATATTGAGGATTAAAGATGACTTAATGCTAAAACAGCTCTTATCTACTATAGATAGATACATTTAAAGATGTGTCTGTATGAAATGCCCACGTCTTTGTACAACCGCTGCTGCAGATATCTGCACAAACACAAAGTTGTAACAAGAGGACCATTGTCACTATGTGGCCTTTTGCCAGTAGCAGTGGTGGAAGAAGTAGGCTACTTTTACTGTTACTCAAGTATAATACCACTATGTAAATATTCCATTATAAGTAAAAAAACATTTTTTTAAATATATACAAAGCATCAAAAGGAAAAGTACACACTATGCGCAGTGGCTCCTTTAAAAGTGTTATATATATTAGAGGATTATTTTTATTGATGATACAACATGTAAACAGCATGTAGGTGAGAGATTTTCATAGTGGGAAAAAATATTACATTAGTTATCAAAAGGAGATCACATAGAATATCTTAAATGTGTGTGGTTAGTAAAAGAGACAGTTCAGAGATAAAGTAGTTTGGAGTAATTTTACTGTCTTTCCTACTTTCCTGGAGTAAGAAACAAATGCTTTAGGACCGACGTCTTTTATGTATTTGGTGTAGTCTGAAGTTACGTCAAACAGCAATATTAGGTTATCTTGGCTCAATTGTTAAGTGTCTATGGCTTCAAATAGTATAATCATTGTCCCATAGGCATCTAGGACTCCTTCCACCACTGGCCAGAAGATACAGTGGCTTGCAAAAGTATTCACACCCCTTGAACTTTTCCACATTTTTTCACATTAAAACCACAAACGTAAATGTATTTTATTCACGTTACAACCACAAACGTAAATGTATTTTATTGGGATTTCATGTGATAGACCAACACAAAGTGGCACATAATTGTGAAGTGGAAGGAAAATGATACAAGATTTTCAAAATTCTCACCAATAAAATTCTGAAAAGACCCCCTGAGTCAGTACTTTGTAGAACCACCTTTCGCTGCAATTACAGCTGCAAGTTTTTGGGGGTATGTCTCTACCAGCTTTGCACATCTAGAGACTGGAATTTTTGCCCATTCTTTGCAAAATAGCTCAAGCTCAGTCAGAGTGGATGGAGAGCAACAGGCTTTCTTCCAAGATTGTCCTGTATTAGGCTCCATCCATCTTCCCATCAACTCTGACCAGCTTCACTGTTCCACAGCATGATGCTGCCACCCCCATGTTTCACGGTGGAGACGGTGTGTTCTGGGTGATGTGCAGTGTTAGTTTTCCGCCACACAGCGACTTGCGTTTGGGCCAAAAACTTCCGTTTTGGTCTCATCTGACCAGAGCACCTTCTTCCACATGTTTGCTGTGTCCCCCACGTGGCTTTTGGCAAACCGCAAACGGGGACTCCTTATGGCTTCTTTTCAACAATAGCTTTCTTCTTGCCACTCTTCCTTAAAGACCATGAGTGACCATGGGCTTCTTGGCTGCTTCTCTGATTAATGCTTCCCTTGCCTGGCCTGTAAGTTTAGGTGGACGGCCTTTCCTTGGTAGGTTTGCAGTTTTCAAATGATGGATTGAACAGTAGTGAGATGTTCAAAGCTTGGGATATTTTTTTTATAACCTAACCCTGCTTTAAACTTTATCCCTGACCTGTCTGGTGTGTCCCTTGGGCTTCATGGTGCTATTTATTCACTAATGTTCTCTAACAAACCTTTGAATCCTTCACAGAACAGCTGTATTTATACTGAGATTAGATTACACACAGGTGGACTATTAATTAATTAGGTGACTTCTGAACGCAATTGGTAGCACTGGTTTTTATTTAGGGGTATCGGAGTAAAGGGGGCTGAATACTTTTGCACGCCACACTTTTCAGATTTTTATTTGTGAAAATTTTGAAAACCATGTATCATTTTCCTTCCACTTCACAATTATGCGCCACTTTGTGTTGGTATATCACATGAAATACCAATAAAATACATTTACGTTTGTGGAAAATGTGGAAAAGTTCAAAAGGTGTGAATACTTTTGCAAGCCACTGTATATAAAGACGTTAGTAGCAGCAGAAGCATGCCTTTTACACCATTTCAAATGCTGATTGTTACTTAAACATGTTAAATATTCCACAGTGTTTAAATTGCAATATTCATGTGATGTCAGGATGGCACTAAAGAGAGATTTCCTTAACCTGACGCCTCAGTGAAAAACCCATCTTAATGATTTTTCATTTAGTAACTTATTGACTTGAGTGGACAAATGGTCATCTTGATCAGCTCTTTTGTTCTCTGTAACTGTCACAGACATTCTTTCTTCATTAGCGCTCCTCCAGACATAATAGAAAATAGAAAAATGACCCAGGATCTGCACCCTCAAGCAGAGGCACCGTTGTCCTCACAGTACCAGGGCCTCCTGGAGGTCAATGGCTCACAGCGTGCAGCTTTACAAGCTCCCAAATGTGATGCTGAGGCGCCACTTGTCGGCTAAACTTGTGATTGGTCCATCAAGTCATGAAAAATCTCGGCAGCAGTTTGGGAGGTTTCCTAACGTCATGTCTACCATCTACTGGAAATTTGTAAAATTACAGCTATTCACATTTTCTGACCTACTGTCTTTAAGGTGGGCTTCCATAATCTGTCCAGTGATGTTTGCACCAGTGAGTCAAAAGTCACACACTGCAGTGGTAATTAGATCAATAACACCACACTTAGGTCTCATTGTTATAATATTATATGATGTTCTTATGTTTGTATCATTATTTTAGTTTGTTGTTCTTGTTTTTAGATATTCCACGTTTTGTTACAATTTCAGATCTATGTGATATGCTATCTTTCAATATATTGAAGGATTACATTAGTTCAGTTTCTCTAAATAGCTGTCCCTGAACTGCTGAGAATGGGGTTCTATTTGTGTCTCGGTGCACTGTAGATAATAGGATTTCGCTTTGCCAGTTATTTTAATCAAACTCCTGTGTAAACTGTCTGTTGGAGAGAGGGGACAGACAGGGCGGGCAGGGGAAGAAGCCGGAGGACAGGGGCTCTGCCCGCCTTGGTTTGATCGCAGGGATAGCCCGATGGAGGAACCGCTCCACCTTAAGACCTCAGCGGCCCCACTCTGCTCCCTCTCCCTGGGGAGCAGAGCTACGGAACCCGGCCACGGCGCACCACAGCCGGCTTGGCACGGAGGAGGTGAGTACGGCTCCCGGAGCTTTGGCCAGTACGATATGGTTACCATTCCCGACCTGCTGCCACCTCCCTTCTCCAGTTGCAATGACACTACAACACTGCTCCACATCAGCCACTGCTGCCTGTCACTCTGATTTAAGTTGGAATAGGCATGAGTTATTGAGCGGTGTAGCTCATTGATTAAGTTAGAAAGTAGAACAGTGCAGCAGATTTAGAAGTTTGTTTTTTATTTTGGCAACAGGTCATAAATGTGTACACTAATCGTACAAGTAAGGCATTTTGGGTGAAATGATCAATTAGGCAATATGACAAATTATATGCCAATAAAATATATTCAGTAATAATAGGCGTGCGTTATTAGTGTATATGTACATCTTGTGACAGACAAGCAGAGATTGAAGAAGAAAACGTTGCCCAAAGCTCTCTTTCCTCCACAATGATTGATTATTATGGCAACGCTCCAGGTCGCTGGTGCGTTTTTGTTGCGCACGGGATCTGGCCCCTCTCAGATCAAAGGGCCCTCAGGAAAGGGGTGGTCCCGATGCAGGGGGATATATAGGAGGGACCGGCTCTCTTCTGACTGCAAGGCAAGAGCAGAGAACAGACTAAACGGGCCAGCAGAGGAAAAAGCTGCCCCCGAACTCAAAGAGAGAACTAGAAACTGAGACATCTGCGGAGTTTTGGAGAGAAAAGACCTGTTGGAATTTACTGCCGAGATCCAGCTTTTATTTAAATTTAATGAAAGGACGTTTTTTTGAAACAAGTCAGACCTGCACATAACTTTAAATTAGTTTTGCACTGGATTTGATTCTTTTTAAGATTTTTATATGTGTGCGTAATTTTGAGGGCAGTTTTGTGGAAGACTTTGGGTTTGTAGCTTATAGAGGAAACCCTTTTAAAGGATTTATTTGCTTTCTCGTAGAGCCTTTATTATCAATTTATCTTTCCACTTCGGATTTCACAGTTATATGATGTGGTTTCTACACGTTTCCATTGGTTTAATTGCCACTCTGTGCGTCGGCACTGCGCACAGCGCATGGGAGGAGAGCACGGTGGTGCCAGTCAGACTAGACCCGACAGCCCGGTCGGAGAGCGAAACCGAACCGTGGCGGACTCTCTCCGTAGAGGAGAAGGAGAAGGAGGCGGAGATGAGGGAGTACCGGTTGGACGTATTTGACAAGGAGTTGGTCTTGCAGCTAGAGCCTGACCAGACCTTCTTGGCGCCGGGTTTTGTCTTTCACATTGTGGGGAGTCCCGAGTCCGAACCGACACAGGAACCCAAGAGCGGAGCCGAGCCGGGTTGTTTCTTCTCGGGCACGGTGAAGGGAGAGGAACACTCTGCAGCTGCGATCAACCTGTGCCACGGACTCAGGGGCGGATTCTACTTTGAGGGTGAAGAGTATTTCATTCAGCCCCTCAACTCAAGTGACTTCCTGGGCACCGAGGAGGATGTCCACGTGATCCGCCGGAGAAGTCGGGCGGCTTTGGTTGAGGAGGGGAGCTCCAAGTGCGGGGTCAACGAGGACGAGGAGAGGGTGCCAAATAATCTAGAGAAAGAAGTCAGATACGGAGCTGCTAACACAGACCAGACAGGTAAGGCTGCAGATAATATAATATAATAGACCAGCTGAAGTGATCAAACTAGAAACCTTAAAAGCGGCCAAGGAAACACAGAGAATGTGTTTTACTCCACTGAACGTTATGAAACCTACTCAGCTCATCTACAGCTGCAAACAAACATTATTTAATTATTTTCTTTACAAGTCATTGGCTATAGCGAATGGGCAGACCAAACTGCTGTCAGCTGGAACTGTGCGTATGCCAGCATGCGCAATGCACTCAGATACCTTTTTGACAGCGCCGTCTACGCACTGCCTGAGATGAGGAAGGGAGGGGAGGGGAGGAGAGTGGGGGCGCTTCTCCAAGGGGAAAGAGGAGGAGGAGTGACCTAGGAAGGGGAGGGGAGCAGGGGGGTGCAGCCAGACCCCGGCAGTGCTGAGACGTGTACACTCACCTCCTGGTACAACTGGCACCGGCAGACATTTTTCCCCAGAAAGGATTTTCTCCCTTCGCCCTTTCTCACTAGCATAATTTTCTACCAGAGAAGGTCATTTGTAGGAATGTTGACCCTGAGGAGGAGGAGCCGCCGGTGGTGTGACGCTGAGTCACACCAGGCTCTTCCAGGCACATCCGTAGCTCTCTTTGGAGCCTCTATCCCCTAAAAAAAAAAGGAGCCTTTGTTTCTGCTATTTAGAACACTACCAGTTTTGTTGGGTGCAGACCATTCCAGACAAACTGAATCATTTCTAAAAAAAATGTCTCAGAAGTTACAATTAGGACTGAAACCTGATATCAGTTCACATGACCTGTGAACCTAAAGTCTGACCTCTCTCTGTCTCTCTTTTCTCTCCCCTCAGCCCACCACAGAACCAGGCGTTTTGTTTCCACCCCTCGCTACCTGGAGATCATGCTGGTGGCTGACCAATCCATGGCTGAGTTCCACGGCGCCGGGCTAAAACCCTACCTACTGACCATCATGGCAGTGGCATCCCGTCTCTACCGCCACCCCAGCATCCACAACTCCATCAGCCTGGCGGTGGTGAAGCTGCTGGTGGTGTATGAGGAGGAGCGAGGCCCTCAGGTGTCCTCTAACGCAGCCATGACCCTCCGCAACTTCTGCCAGTGGCAGCGCCAGCACAACCCCTCAAGTGACCGCCACCCCGAGCATTATGACACCGCTGTACTCTTCACCAGGACGGTAAGTTTGAATCAAGGAAGAGGAAGTGTGTTAAAAAAGAGAATTGATCAGAAAAAGAGGAAGAGATGCAGCATTCAAGAGAATTTTAACATTAATTTTGCTCTCCTGTGTAGGACCTGTGTGGTGCCCACTCTTGTGACACTCTGGGTATGGCAGATGTTGGCACAGTGTGTGACCCTGACAGAAGCTGCTCAATTATTGAGGATGATGGGCTGCAAGCAGCATTTACTGTGGCACACGAACTGGGTAAGTGGAAAAAAATCCATGTATGAAATGTATTTAATCACTACTCCACTTATACTAGAGGTGCTCAAAGATCTCTTATCTTATGTCTGTCCTCCAGGCCACGTCTTCAACATGCCTCATGATGATGCCCAGTTGTGCTCTGGGGTCAACGGTGTCCACTGGGGCTCCCACATGATGGCCTCCACCCTGTCTAACCTGGACCAGCAGCAGCCATGGTCCCCTTGCTCCGCCCTCATGGTCACTACCTTCCTGGACAACGGCCATGGTCAGTGCCTGCTGGATAAACCAGTCAAGCCTCAGCCACTCCCCCAGCCCTTGCCTGGGACGGTCTATGGTGCAGACCATCAGTGCCAGCTGACCTTTGGCGAAGACTCCCTGCACTGCCCAGACCTGAGTACCACATGCGCAGCTCTGTGGTGCACTGTGACCACATCCAATGGTGTGCTGGTGTGCCAGACTAAGAACTTCCCTTGGGCTGATGGAACGCCATGCGGGCATGACAGCTACTGTCTGGCTGGACATTGTCTCAATAAGAGCCAAGCTGCCAAACACCAGGTAGGAACCAGAACCAATCCAATCACACATCAGAACCCCCCAAAAAACCCTGCATTATCCAAAAGCAGTAAACATATTGCGCATAATGCTTGTTCTATTGTGCTTGCTGTTGGACCAATCAATGTTTTAGCTCAGCTTTGAATCAATCAGCTAGCTCCAACACAGTTCAATATTGTAATTGTGTTGTCCTTGTTTCTTTCAGACCCCTGTCAATGGTGGCTGGGGAATGTGGGGTCCCTGGGGCGACTGCTCTCGGACCTGTGGTGGAGGGGTGCAGTATTCCTTCCGCGCCTGTGACAACCCTTTGCCCAAGAATGGGGGCAAGTACTGTGAGGGCAAGAGGATCCAGTACCGCTCCTGTAACACAGACACCTGCCCCGATACCAATGGTAAGAGATCTTTGTTATCACGTCAGGAGTAAATCCTTTAGCTTGAATTTAGAAGTCATGTTCTAATATACCTTGCACATTGGTGTGAAAGTTAGCATGCGGTTCAGCCTGAACAAGCAGTAAATCTGATCTGTCTCTGTCTCAGGCCTGTCATTCCGTGAGGAACAGTGCCTGGCCCACAACGACATGTCAGCCCAAGTGTCACTGGGTTCAGGCGAGGGTGTCGAGTGGGTGCCCAAGTATGCTGGAGTTTCACCCAAAGACCGCTGCAAGCTGGTGTGCCGGGCCAAGGGGACCGGATACTTCTTTGTCCTCAAATCTAAGGTGAGAGTTACTAGATGCTAGTCTCTTAGTTTATCTCATAACAGTGTTGTGCAGACCTGCAAGTTGAAGGCCGACTGTAATTTCTCCCATCCCCTAGCTGGGGATAAGACTTTTTTTTAACCTTTTGACTCACACTTATGTAACAGTCTTACTAGACATAACTCTCATGTTCCTTTTGTCACTCTGCTGCCCCCAGGTGGCTGATGGCACACCCTGCAGCCCTGACTCCACCTCAGTTTGTGTTCAAGGCCAGTGTGTCAAGGCTGGATGTGATCGTGTCATTGGCTCTAACCGGCGCTTTGATAAGTGCGGCGTGTGTGGTGGCGACGGCTCAACCTGCAAGAAAGTGTCTGGCTCTCTAGAGCGAGCCAGGTAAACACCTTTTTGTTATACACAAACATTATGTCTTATAATATACACTGAAACCTCATAGCATGTTTGTCAAAATCATTTTTATTAAGCTTGACCTCTGTCTGGCTCTGTTTCAGGCCTGGATACCAGGATGTTGTAACCATCCCTGCTGGTGCCACCCACCTGGATGTCAAACAACGTGCCCCAGGCAATGGTCGCCAGGATAACAGCTACTTGGCAGTGCGTCGCCAGGATGGAACCTACCTGTTAAATGGCGATTACAAGCTGATGACCATGGAGACTGACATCACCTTGCAAGGGGCACTGTTGAGATACAGCGGCTCCTCTGCCACCCTGGAGCGCCTCCGGAGCTATGCCCCACTCCCCGAGCCCCTCAACATCCAGGTCCTCTCTGTGGGGGAGGCACCAAGGCCCCGGGTTAAGTATAGCTACTTTGCCCCTAGACCGAACAATGCTGCTTCAGTCTCCAAAAACAATGGAGGCCGCCGCCTGTCCATCAATGCCATCCCAGAGGTGGGAGGAGCCGAGTGGACCCTGAGGGAGTGGGGTCCATGCTCCCAGACCTGTGGAGGAGGTATGCAACAGAGAGAGGTGGTGTGTCTAGATCCCCAGGGTCATCCCTCCAGAGATTGCCCAGAGGAGCTGCGCCCCTTGGCCTCACGGTCCTGCGCCACCCAGCTCTGTCCCTCCTGGCTTCTCGGAGAATGGTCGGTATGCTCCAAGACCTGTGGGCGAGGCTTCCGCAAACGCCAACTGCGATGCATCGGCCATGATGGCCGCACACTAACCCATGACAGCTGTGACCCCAAAGACCGGCCGCGACCCCTGCTGGAACTGTGCAATCAGAGTGCCTGTTAAGTGACTGCTTCCACAATCTAACCTCCTTTTTATACACCCAGCTTTCAGAAAGACATCAGAGAAAAACTCTGATCTTCACTGCCTCCTTTTTCCCACTGAAAATCTAAAGAGGCCGATGAATGTTTACATCCAGAGCACTTGTGCTGCAGGTTTTCATGGGTTCAAGGTAGTCAAACAGTCCCACATGTCAAAGGGTTCACAATGACTGTGACTGAAATGGTCAGATGTTGGTCCACAGTGGCAACGCCACCTAGTAGCAGCAATAAAGACTGATTACAGCTTGCTGCCTATCTGGCCTCAGCGCAGCAGTGGCATATTTTGCCTCCCATCAAGGGGAAGAAAGCATGGACCTTCCTGATATCCTAAAGGATGCTGCTGCGTGCTGCTTACCGTGCCAATGTCGTGCTTGTGTATGTCTGTGTGTGTGTTTGTGTGTGTGAGAGTGTGAGACCGTGTGTATATGTCAAATTGTTAATGCATGTAAATGATGTTTGTCCAAGCTGGGCTGGATGAACACATAAGGGTTGGGATGGGGGAGGTTATTGCAGAGTATATAAAGAAACAAATGAAAGAGAATAGCTCATATTCTACTTGCTCACCCCATCAGGTATGGAAAATAAGATAGCTTTGTGTTTATGTTCAAACTTGCCAGATTACATTTATTTATCACAAACCTGTAGCACTTCATCTTTGTTTTTGCCAGCGGCACATTGTAACACCCAATTGTCTCTAAATGCCTCAGTACACCGTACTTTGTCCTTTAGCCATATCTTGCCTGAGTCTACACAGCCTTCAATGAGGGTACTCTTCAAAGACCAAAGAGGAGTGTGTGAGCGTGTGTGCGTGCATTTGTGTGTGCGTGTGTGGAGACCTAAAGAGGGACTTGTCTCCTGCTACTACTTCATAAGTAAGTCTCTCCTGCCTTCTGCGAAGGCACCTTGTTTTTGGCTATCAAGTCTTTTTCTTTTGTACAGAATATCCAAACATTATTTATTTTTGTACAGCCTGTTAAATATAATCATGTGGCTTTTTTAATATTATTTTTTATTTGTTATTGAGATCACAGAAGGGAGTAGAATATAGAGTATTTATACAGTGTTTATATATATATGTGTATATATATATATATATGTATATGTATGTATGTATGTATGTATGTATGTATATGTATGTGTGTATATGTGTACACACACATATATATATATATATATATATATATTCGATATATATATATATATATATATTCGATCCTAGGTTCATGAATAAAGTATCACATTGACTTGTGCAGCTAATGTCTCCAGAGTGGTTTGTCTCTTTGAAGGTGCACTTATTTGTACACACACATTTTAAATGCTCTATATGAATCAATTACATTAACAATGTTTACAGGACTAAAATATTTACAGAGGTCTTATATATTCTTTGACACAAACAGTCAGTTTGTGAACCTGTCCAAGGCTGCCAAATATCAGTATCAATAATCTACATTAATATACTTGCCTACTGATATTTGCCACCAGGGACTGGTACTTGATCAGTTTATCAAAACAAGCTTTGAAGACAAGTCGAAAACAAAGCTTAGCTCTAGGATTAACACTTTTCTTTGGCCTCAGCATCAGGAGTGTTGAAGATGTTACAATACAGTCCACATTAAACTATCCTGACATCACACATCTCCTCCCTGACACAAGCAGCTTAAGTGAGCAGAGAATGTCCTCATCTACAGCTGCATTTCTATACATGGAATAAGACATTGAATTGTCAGCAAATTTAAGACAGACACACATGCACATGTTTGTCTTCCTCTACTTGTGAAGACCCTCATTCATATAATGCATACAATAAGGGATTGTATATGTTGTGGTTTGTTGTAATTCAAATTTTGTCCACTAGATTGGAGTATTTCAACATGTCCTCTAATTTGGATACTTAATCACAGTCTCCAAACATTGGAGGAAAAGGGCAGTCTAGTCATAACCAGATTATACTGCTAAAGAACAAAAATGAAATTGTTTGGCCGCTAATAAGCAAAAAATAAGGCTTAGCATACCAACACTACATTTTGTAACCAACTTCTAATGTCCTTTTATTACGGTTAATACAACTCTTTGAAACTTAAAAAAGTTATATGTTTGTTTGGAGTATATGTGCATTTGGAGTTGTGGGTTGGAGGGTTGTAGCTTTGTTTAAAATTATCTGTGGTTAGCTCCCCCACCCCTTAAAAAAAAGTCAGCACTGTCACTAAAAGCTGAAGCCTGTGTGGCACTTCCTGCTGGGCCCTGAAGAAGACGATCCCCCGCCTCGTTGGCTCCCACTGTAAGCACAGTGGAAATCATTTTCCTGTAATTATGGATGGTTAAGAAGAAGATTGGCCATCTCTGTAATCTGCATAATAGCATAATGTGTCATCAGACTAAAGCCTAAACAAGTGCTGTAGGCAAGGATGTATACGGCATGTTTTTTCCCCCCTAATTTATGATTGATAAAGAAAAACGCACAACCAGGGAGGAAAATGTCATCATTAATATAAACGTCTGTAATAAAGCTTGAGCCTACTTTTTTTTTACCTGCTTGTTTTTTCATGTCTCGATGTCACATCATTACAGCTTAAAAGAAACATCTGGAAGGCATTATGAATCACTGCCGCTCAGTGTGGGTGGCATTTCCGAGAACAAAATTATCTTCATCCTTTTGCCACCCTTGGTAGCAAGTTTGTTTAAATTATGTGAACTTTGATCCGGTTTTGAATCTTCAAAAGAAACAGTGTTCATATTTATGTAAATCCATCATGGCCAAAAGCCAAAAGCTTCACTAGTTCTGTGCAATAAATGACATTGAAGTCTAGGGAAAATATTGATTATTATGAACATATGTGTCATTTACTGATAAAATTAACTGGTATTAGGAAAATCAACTTTAATTGTCCTTATTTTGATGCACATTACTTGTGCAGTCAGGAATCCCAGCTTGCTGAGTGTTTGCATTGTTGCTGTCTGGTTATTCTTGAATGTACTTTTGAATGGTGAACTTTTACAGAGGCTTACGTTCACAGCCTACCAGGGGCCTTTACAGAACTACAATTTAACTCTTTAATTATCACTTCTACGACTGTAGTTTCGTCCCTACAGGCACAAGTGGCGTTTGTGTGTGTGTGGGAGGGGGAGGAGGGGTGGTCTGCCCCTGCCACTTAGGCTATGCCTATAGTGTCCTTTCAGTGTTTTTTCTTCTGACATGTTACTTAAAAAAAGATCTTATGTCCTACCATTTTAGAAACAATATTGAGCCATTCTCTAAGGCAAGGTCCGCACCAGGTCCTTGTGGCGACTAGCGCGGCGACTAGCGCTACCAGGGCACCAACCAATCCGCCAGCTGACTGCAGAAAGTAGTATAAACACAAGTAGTCCGTGTCAGCGGGGTCCGCCGCTGTCCATGTCCGCTCAATAATAATAATAATAATAATAATCTTTATTTGTAGAGCACTTTTCAAAAACACGCTCACGAGTATATTCGATGCTTAAGGCATTCTCTATGGGTCTATCCTGGTCTACTTATTCTAGTATCTTTGTGGGCCCTCCTCCAGTGAGGTCCCTGTATAGCCTACTCAGTCCCCCATCCTGAGTCCTACGCCCCTGATGAGCCACTCTTCTCAAGCAGAGATAAGAAGAATTCACTATATCAAAACTAAGTCTCTAATCTTTATTATGTGTGTCCTTGGTCTAATGTGTCTGTTTCAGTGTTTTTGATATGACAGTTACATATTTAAACACAACGAGAAAAGTAGGGCGGCTCGTGTTGTTTTGGTGTCTGAAAATATACCCGAGAGTCGGGTACCGTCTTGTCACACAGGTGTGAAGCGTCATCCTCGGGTCATTACAGTCTGATTACACTTATTATTTTCAGTAGAGGTCGTGATGTGACGGCAGCACGTGAAATGGGACCTCTGCCACGAAGCGGAGAGGAGCGGGCCCGCGCACGTGCACACGCGCGCACGTCATACGGCGCAAAGAAAGCCGTAGGTACACAGGCCTTTTTTCTCTTGCTGCGTCAAGCTTGACAGACATAACAAGAATAAGACCGGAAGACAAGTGAGCCTGCCTTCGAAATAAAGGTACAAAGACATTTAAAAGAGAAAATGTGACTAATAATAATACTACTTCCCATATCATCACTAATACTACGGTTGATACCACTACTACATCACCTAATGATTATTATTTTTATAATCAGTGATTTGTAAGCCGTACAACGGTGTAAAAGAATGCTGCAAACAATATCAACAAATATTTTAACATTAACTGACATGTCTTCGGGTATAAAGGGATACTTAAACAGGTAGCCTACTAATTTTACACATAGGCTAAAGGTCAGTTTACTAGTTATGGGAAACACTATGCAGCCTGCGAAAACAGTTGACTAATGTCATTTGACTATGTGCACGGAGCGTTTGGTTTTGGAAAACTGGGTTCGATTCCCCACTGTGACACATCCACCAATGTGTCCCTGAGCAAGACACTTAACCCCTAGTTGCTCCAGAGGCGTGCGACCTCATTTATTGCAGATGTAAGTCGCTTTGGATATAAACGTCAGCTATGTAAATGACTCAAATTCAGTCAAAAGTGAATAGCAAAACACTGATGAGTGCATTGTTTTATTAAGGCTAGAAATCTTATTCAGTAACCTTCTATATGATGATTTTAAAAAAGATAGCCAACTCCCCAAAGAGAGGGGCTCATTTTAACTGTTAGCTGTGGTTCTATTTCATACACCTGAAGAAATAATTTAAATACACTTGTGATGGTAGGCAACAGGTGAAAAGTTAAAGGGAAAATCAGAATAAGTGAGTGGATAAAAATAACAAATGCAGACACTTCCACACAGGGCTCATTTGTATAAGTATAAACACAACGTAAATCCTGTGCCTTCAGCGAACACCCATGGGAGTCTGAAGCGACGTGTTACTGTAAGCTGATGCCTGAATTACAGTATTTTGTGCATTTGTCAGTCCTGTAGACAATAATAGGCTATTCAATCTTACATTCACATTCAAGTGTCCTTATTGACTTGATATATACTAACATTAATTTACAATATTCAGATCATCATTAAGGAAAAGAAAAAGAAAAAACGTTATCAAAAGTTTGAAATGGAAAACCAAATAAAGTCAACATAACACACAGCAAAACACGTGTGTGAGTTAGGCTACCAATGGACACAAATTGTATAATAAGAATGAGAAGCTAATAATACTATATATAAATGTAGTATATTGTGAAGAGTGAGAGAGAGTAAAGATAATTTAGCAAAGTAACAACACTGCCACATCGATTAGTCTTATTTTGAAAATAGGCTATCTACCGTTTGTCTTTATTCTCTCTCTCTCTCTCTCTCTCTCTCTCTCTCTCTCTCTCTCTCTTTCTCTCTCTCCTCAGTGTAAACTCAACTGGGTAATTTGAGCAAACGGGGGACGGCGGGGGAGGGGAGGGGAATAAATCTCTCAGCAGCCAGAGGTGTGGGAACCAACGGGACGGAGCAGCGACAGCAGAAAAGAGGCTCACACGTGGAGGAGCAAACAGAGGTTCACTTTTGCGGGGGAAATACTTAAATACACTGAAGACATAACGAGCAGTTGGCTGCTGTCTTTGTGGGGGGACACAACAATGCTCCTGGAAGAGACAAATAGGTGACTGCTACAGGCACCGGGAAGACGCGCTGTTTGTTGTCTTCTGTCATTTATTAGAAAATAAAAGCAGCCCGGAAAGTGGACGCACGGGGAGAGGAGGGTCATGGAAAACCCCTGGAGGAAGGGGAGGAGGGGGACGCAGGCGGTGAGATGGAAACTCTTGAGGAACTCGCTGCTGCTTTGTTTATTCACCGGTGAGTTGTTTTGTTTGTTTGTTTAATCCGTTTAAATACTTGTCCACCCGGCCACAGGTCCACGATACATCACTCCTTCGTTTTTTATTATTGATGCGACCTCAGGCTCAGAAATGAGCTGCTGGAGAGAATGGGAACGTGTTGGGAAACTATATAAAGTCAAGGAAATCCTTAGAAGTCAGTGATTTGTAATGTTTGTCATTCCGATCAAGCTTTGGGACGTCTTAGTCGCGTTTTCCTCCAAATTACGCACAGTCCAAACATAAAAACCTGCTGGAAACTTTAATCTGAGTCAAGTCTGCGGCACAGTGCTGCAGAGGGGGGCAGGGGAGAGGACTAGCTGGTGGGTGGTTGTGTGTGTGTGTGTGTGTGTGTGTGTGGTGGGATAGGGGGTTGGGGGGGGGGGGGGGGTTAAAGAACATGGAGCCATTGTCTCCCAGCATGTGGAGAGACAGGAGCCAGGACCTCTGAGGACCACCCAGACAGAGCGACACCAGAAGTCTAACATTAAAAAGTTGGGTGGACTGTGAATGCACCATGAAGGAAACACCCATCAAAACTTGCTTTGATTGCAGAAAAGCACAAGACTTTTCTACAGGAAAGAAAAGATGAGAACATTTGCTTTAAACCACTTTATAAAAAAGTCTTTTGAGAAGCATTCTCCTGCAGTGACTTCTAGGCAGCACTCTGCTTTCTTTCTTTAGTTCTTTACCTATGTGTGCGTGTGTGTGTACCCTGTAAATGTGCATAATATGCCTCCAGGCACACATCATTTGAGGGTGAGTGATTGCTGAGAGAAAGCAGATCCTCAGTAAAGACACACACACACATAAGCAGAGAGCTTGTTTTTCTTTGCAGTGTCCTTCATTTGAAGTGTGTCGATGAGCTCCGGGTTGTAAAAGACTCCTTCCACATGGCAGCAAAACCCCCACCACCACACACACACAAATCTCACAGCTCACAAGGGGAAAATGCCTTCAAATGAACATGGCTCGTGTCGTGGCAGCAGGCTGAGACGAGTACATGGAGAGAGAGGCACAGCTGTGTGTACAATGCTTTTGAATATGGAGGATTTGGCTGAGCGGGCCATGGTGGGGGGGCTAATGAACACCACATTAATCATCGTCATCGTAATAGATCCTGCAAATACCACGTTTTGTTGTAGCTGCAGTAAGCACTTTAGATGTAAAAGCGTCGTGCTGGATCTTGATTTGTGCTGGTGAACAGGTGGTGAATGTTTGCTCTTAAATCATCTTAATGTGACCCACGCAAGCACACGTCAGTCACACTGTGTCCCATTTTAATGACCTCCCACTCAAAATAGTAATTAATTCAGTTGCTGGATCACTGTGGCTCACGATTCTGTGTCCACAGTTTTTGGGTAAAGTCCAAACCTGCACAAACTGCCTAACAGCTCTCTGTGATACTGTTAAAGGGCTACTTTAGTCATGTGGCACTGAGGGATTCACAGGTTTTGGGGTCAAGCTCTTAAAATGCTTGAAACTACACTTCTCATAATGCAACTATGCCTGGTAAATGCACATGCCTGTCAAACTCCACGCTTCAAATATGCTTGAGGTGCTTTCTGTTAACAGTTTGTGGCCTCCCAGTAGGGCGGGGCAACAAAACAATAATGATAATTATCACAATATAACAATAACAATATAACAAATGCTCAATAAATGTTTGATTGAATTCATTTGAATCACAAATGAATTAGCACTTAATTTCTCTATCTGGTTTCTTCAACTTCCACTCAGGAGCAAAAATCAGCCTTTAAACTTGAAAGAAATAATGATTTGATATTTATCGTGACAGTTATCAATATCAAATGATCAAGATGTCGTGATAACATTTTTGGCCATATCGCCCAGCCCTAGCTCCAAGCCCAAGCTGAGATGACGCCAATGACAGCATTAGGGTTATGTTCTCAGACTTGACAATGCCAGAGTCTCCCTGAGATTTTAATTAAGACATAATTTCAATCAGATTGAATTTACTTGCAAATATCTCCTTGAATAAAGTCTTTATCTCTGTTACAGTTGCAACTAACGATTCTTTTCATTGTTGAAGAAGAAGTTGGAACCGGTGAATGATTGACAGAACATTGAATCGACAAATTTTTTCAGCTCAAATCTCTATATTTAGAACAACTGCCAAAATGTTTCAGATATAGTGAACCAAAATCTGATAGCTTGCAAAATGAAATAGAACCAGTTTTTGAAACTCTTATGTCATCAAGTTTGATTTGGGCACTAAACATGGGTCGAACTCTTCAATAATGCCATGCTGACGTAAGAAAAGGGCAACATTTTCAGGCTGTGTCCGTCAGGTTCAGCCAGTTTGCAGATTCAGCTACGTGGGCCGATCCACCGCCTCAGTCAGACGTGACATGGAAAAACAGAAATATTTGCTCTGTGAACTGCAGCATGGTGGTTGCTATATAATAAATATTATGTGGTCAGAAAGCTCCATTTGTAATAGTGATCTCTCCCAGTGGTTTTTATTTTGGTTCCTAATCCGACTGATTTAAAAATCTTAAATACAATTATACAGGATGGCGGGGTTGGCTGGGTTTATTGGAACAAAACCCAAGTTCCCTGTGTGAGTTCTTTTTTTCAAACATTTTTTTTCCCCCAGTCGCTCCACAGGTATTGATTGCCCCTTTTCTAAAACAGGCAAGTGCTTCTCCAGTTCTCCGAGCTCATAATAAATCGACTGTCTCCGCACTTTTAGGTCCGTCTTTGAAGATATAAATAGAGGCTGCTGGTTTGAGGTTGTGCACTTTAGAGGTTAGTTCATGAAAGGTTTCATTATCCAAGTTATTCTCTTCATCTAAAGAAATGTTTAAAAAAATGTTTCCCAGATAACAAGACCTGATTTAATAGTTCATTTTAAGGGCTTCTTTTATTATAAGTGGACACTCACAACTTCTTAGCAACTTGAAATATACCAAGCTCAATGCCTTTTTGTCACAGGCTTCATCTATGCTAATGACTTTCGTTTCTGTTCTCTATTCCATCTAACAGCGCTCTGGGAGTTGCTGGTGATCCTCTGGTTCCATAGAATTTAACATCCCAAGTGAGCAGATTATTAAGTGTGTGTGTGTGTGTGTGTGTGTGTTGCAGGAAGCAGCAAAGCCCAGTGTGAAGGTTGCATAGAGTACTGCTGCGATGGATCGCCACCTTTCTGCTGCTCCTACTATGCCTACGTAGGGGACGTCCTCTCGTAAGTTAACGCGCAGACACGACAAGCAAATTAAGACCACGTAGATGCATTCTCAGCATTTTGCGCTTTTTTTTTGCTTTTTAGCTGACATTTTAGACAACCAAAACCTTTTGAAAGACTAGTCTTGGTTTTTGAAAAATGCCTGATGCAGGATTATCACAGGGTAAACTCTCACAAATGGGGCTTAAGCAATATTGCCAACTACACCTGCAAGTAAATAAACCAGGTATTCTTTTTCACATTCACTCATTTCTTATTTTCTGTAGAAAGAAACTCTCAACATTGCCAGTAGGCTTAAAGGGATAGTTTGATTTTTGAAATGGGGCTGTATGAGGTACTTATCCATAGTCAGTGCAGTGGATGTTGGTCAGTGCTTTCCCAGTTTGGAGAAGCCGAGAGTTGTATCTGCACGGAAGCCAAGCAATATTCTGCTGTGGACAGGGTCAGCAGCAAAACGTGTTTTAGCCACTTAAAAGGAGGCCCACCAAAAGAAATCAATATCAATTCAAGTGGACAATATATTTAGATATTTTCAGCACTTTACCTTGCTGTCAGACATTTATTTCCTTATTACAGTGCGCAGCTAATTTGCGCTTATGCGTAGGAATACTGAAATGTAGTTCCAAAGTATAGGGCTTTCTGGTGGCAAGATAAGACGCTGGAAAAACTTCTTTTAGGTGACTAAAACATGTTTTGCCGTTGACCCTCTCCAAGGCAGTACATTGCATAGCTGCTGTGGCAGTACTACTCTCTGGTTCTTCTGGGGAACCGCGAACCTCCGTCTACCTCACGCAGCCCCACTGCAAAAATCCCAAACTATCCCTTTAAGCTGGCAACTTTCTGCCATCACCAACTTTCCATCTGTGTCTAAATATAGCCAATCACAAAATACAGGTGTTCAGTTTGTTGTCAGAGTCCTTCGAGAGGATGAAATAGTGACTGACTCGAGGCCACAGTGCTGCTATCCACGTAATAACACCCTTGGGTTGGCAGGAAGCCTGAATTACCTCCAACCAAACCACTGTTTTAAACTTTTGTAATTACACAGAAATGTCCACCTATTACCTATCTGAAGTGTCAAATATCCTGTATCCAACCACACATATCAAAAAGTTTTTTGCCAACCACAATTAAGAGAGGGGAAAGAAGAGTTTTTGAGTGTTGTTCAGTGTAAAATCTTTAGAAAATGACCTGACAGCGCGGGTTCGGACAGCATTTAACAACATTTTTCAGAATGAGCCACACACACACCTATAGGTATGGTGCAGTTTTGGCGGTAAGATTAACTCACACGTCAGCTGTCTTTCATCTTGCCAGAAGACCCTTTATAGGATCTGACCGTTGACCCCTGCCTGCCCTGATTCAGCGCAGCTGCTCTAACACTTTCACCGTCTTCTCAGCCTCCTTTGTCCTTTAAGAAAAAGCTGTGTTTGTTTACATGATACTTCATCTCAGGTTGTAAAATTGTACGTTTGTACTGTATAACCTTGAATGACTTGGGAGACGTCTGAATCTGCTGCTCCTGAAAACAGCAAATCTGACATGCTGACTAACGCTGACTATGAAGATGTAACAAACCTGTCAATGATGATTAGTGTTTTTCTGTTTTATAGTGCCAATTCACAGACTCCTCTGCAGTGAACACGTCACACACACACACTCTGTCGCACACTTTGCACATGTACATAGCTGAGTTACATCAGATGCTGCAGTCCATCTCCATGGCTGCAACTTAGAGGCATCACTAGCATGTCTGTTTGAGACAGCTGCCTCCTCTCACACTTGACTGGGTGGCTCACTCTCTCTCTCTGTGTGTCTGTGTGTGTGTTCCAGGGGCACTGCCATCTCCGGTATAGTGTTCGGCGTGGTGTTTCTGATGGGGGCGGTGGCGGCCTTGTTCCTGTGCGTGTGTATGTGCATGAAGAACGGGCGGGGCGCGCGAGTCGGTGTGTTCAGCACCTCCTACATCAACACTGTGACCCAGGGCTACCCAGGTAGGTCTACAGAGGTCAGGTTAAATGATGGCACTTCAGAGAGTGGTACAAATATATTAATCACAAACACTTTTTAAGACTATAAGGAGAGAAAGTAATTTTTAACAATAAAACATTTCCTGAACAACCATTACTTACTGATCTGATCTAATAATGTTGATGTTTTTTTATTAATTATAACTTATAAACCCTTTTTATAAAATATTACTTATTAAAGGATGTACTCCAGCCAAAATAGTTTTTTTTTTTTAAATAATATAATTCTTCTACTTTTTGTATTTATTATTGTTAGTTAAGCATGGTTATTACTTCATATAGTGACACCTCATCTCCTGTCCACAGGCGACCACATATGAAAGGAAAACAGCTAAAAGATGAATAGGTGTCTAATGTTTCAGGGTCCAACTTGGCCTTGAGTACCACCCCTGACCTAATAACACTATGAAGTTTCACATAATGTTACACCCTGTTCACGCTCAAAAGGAGAAAAACCAGCGAGAGGGTTACCACGTTTTACTCACAGGTACATTGTCTGCACATCAAGAGTCTTTACTCTGTGACACTCTCCTGCCCCAGGAATGCCGTTATTTTTCTGGGGCTCATCATTTATTTATCACGTTTCATTCACCTCAGCATATCACCTTCATGCTACGCTGGACCAGCACTCGTCGGTCTGCCCTGCAGCTCTTGTTTCATAAACTTGACACTCAAACACACAAAGCGATGCAATATTAAACATATGTAGGTACAGTGATGTGAATTATTCTGTCATGACAAAGGATGTCCGGTGTTCTTGTGCTATTATTTTCCTGCTCCACTGCCACAAAGATGATAGATATATTTCTATATGATTTAAATTGACCTAGTGGTTAGTGCTTGTATTATTTACTAGTTTTATTTTACATAACAGTGCTTTAACAATATAAAATATTTAATAATATTTATATAAGTTGCTGTTTTCTCATTCTTACAAGGTATTTTTGTGTGAGTTTCACAACAGTTTTAAATCGGGACTGGACATTTTAAATTAAAGCTCCTCCTGTAACATGTTATGAGTTATTAATACTAATAGTGTCATAAATGTGAGGTTTTTACTAATGCAACCCTCTGGTTTGGAGAGGGGCTTGGCTAACTCACTTCATCTTCTCTTTCATCTCTGCTGCTTTGATGTGTCAGTTATTAATGTAAGTTCCCCTGCTGAGACTGATGCATTGTGGTCAACAAAAAGACTTTTTTTTGCTGCCATATGTTTGCATTCGCACAATTTCTTCCTCCAGAGTGCAGTTTCTCAGTTCAACCACTAGAGGGCGCAAATGCACCATCAAAGTCTTTGTAAATCGAAGGCAGGTTTCCTGAACTTAAGTGGGCCTTCTTCACCTTTTTACATGAGGAGTTTGTAGTTATGGAGGAAATAATTTATTTTGACCTCTGTTTCTTTATTTTTTTCTATTTCTTGAACTCAGGTCCTCCACCGCCATACACCTACGACTACGAGATGTACCCTCCCTCGCTCCACCCGCCGCCTTACACCCCAACTCAGCCTCGGCCGGCAAACTACTCCCCCCCTCCTCCTTACCCTGGCTGCACCCGCAAGTGAATCCCTGCAGCACAGATCTACCGGCCAGCTCAAAGGGAACTTTCATGGCCGGGTTTTCCAGATCTGGAGTTGGCTGTACATCTCTGGCATCTGAAGCAGTGCTGTTTGCTAAGGGGGTTAAAGACAATTTAAGGGGTCCACAAAAATGTCCACATTAAGAAGATGAAAAGGAAAAAAGGGTGGCCCAGTGCAATATTGTCCAGCAGACAGAATTCCTAGCTACGCCCCTATAAATGTCACTGCATTTCTGTGTCTGGACCAAATGGTGGGGAAATAAAAAACAATTTAACACAGTGTTGGTCAGGACGACAATGAACGCCCAGGAACCGTCCACATTCTTATAGCTAGCCTGTAACTAGTACTTTTTCCCCACTAATGAACAATATCCTTATCCATCCCTGGCTGTGCACATCAAAGGCCCCGCGTCGCTTTGATGAAGGTGAAGACCACTTTTGTCAGCATGGAGGGGAACCTCACATCACTGGAGGAAAAAATCTTTCTAGGACACAATGTAGACTGATTTAATGGAAAGTTACTTTTTTCCCCATTAAAAAAAAACTTGATATATGTCATCGACTGAGGTGGAAGTTGATGATTAAAGCGGTTTTAGATAAGTCAGGTCTGGACCTGTCATGTGGAGACACAAAGACTTGAATATAATGCAAAATAATACTGACCTTTTAATGGCATGACACAACTTAAAAGGACTGGGTTGTTGGTGATGAACTGTTTTTTATTGCCTTACTTGAAAAAATGAGGGGGTGAAAATTAAGTGTGTGGGGGGGGGGGGTCACATCACATTCAGTTGAACCAAAGTGGATTCTCTTCAAAATGGAAAAAATATTGATAATTGTGACGCATTTATCATTTGAATTGCATTTGTAGGTTAATCAAGGTTTGGTAATTGAAAGAGAATTGACCTCACTGTGCTATGCCTGATTCATGTGATGGATGACTGTGAATGATGGAGGGGATTTTAACTGTGTTAATAATGTGTAAGCTTGTGAGGGTTTCCTCACTGTTTCAGTGACTGTTGTAAATTAAAGTTGTTATTAAAACGCAACGTTATTAACGATAACGTCTACGGTCTCCATTTATTCATATACCGTATATTGACTATGAGAATAGGCTGCGTGTGCGTCTGAGTTTAGAGTGTACATAAGATTAAAATGTGTGCGTCAGAAAGATACCGTGTGTATGTGTGTGTGTTAGTTAATCCCACTCCGCTGTGGTCAGGTGATCGGCGCTGAGCAGCTGTGCAGCCTCGGTATCGCTCGCCATCAGACAACGGGAGTCACCGGCGCTGCACACACTGTTTCTTACCCGACGAATAAACGTAAAACCGTTCGGTGAAACGCTGCCTTTAGGAGCGTGGTGTCAGTGAAAAGACATGGGGGACCGAGTAGCTTTACTGCTGCTGGCTGTAGCGGCTTCGGCTCTGGCTGCCGAGGTAAGAAATCCTTTTTTTTAGCGAGAATTTGTAGTATTTCCACCATACTGTTGCTGCCAGCTGAGTCCAGCTAGCTACAGTTAGCTACAGCTGCACCGGAAGCTAAGCTGTTGTACCTTCAGAGCTAAAGCTCACCAGTTTGTTGGGGGGGTTAAAAAACAAGCATTTTGATGAAAGTATTTTTGTTCCATTGATGGAATGATGGGAAACTTAGCTCTAAAATCCTTCGTAATTTCCACATTGGTACATTAAAACATTTTTAAAAAGCAGTAATCTTTTGCCTGTCGTTTTATGTTGGAAGTTGTAACCGGAGGTCGTGTGTAATAAAATGTAGCTGGCATGACACTGATTGTGAACACTTTGGCATTTCTAAACCAGAAACTACACACTATTAAGTACAACCTCATCGGCACATTTTGTTAGTATTTGTCTTTGTTTTTATTTCTAATGTATCCCAAGAGATACAGCCCGAATACGCGTATTTATTATAAAGAACCTTGTCCCGATGCTCCGTAATGCCTTTCCTCTTGTAAAGTCCCTTTTCCAAGCCTGTGGTAGCTGATTTATCGAGACTATGTGACAATGCAGATGATGTCCTTTGCAATTTAAAGCTGAACCCATGTCCTTTGTGTAAAACTGAGAAGTGACTTGCTTATTCCGATTTTGATTTAAATGTTAGAAACAAGTTGGGTTTGTCAACAAATTATTTACCCTGCGCAAATGGTTCTAGATGTCACTATTTTAAAAACACTTATTTAACGTTACTGGTCATTCGGGCTAATTTAATCTTGTTCAAGTCATTACAGTGAATAAATGAAAAGCGTATTGTCTCATTTTCCATATCCCGAGGGCTAATTTAAAGGGAGTGGGTGTGTTCTGGTGAGGGAATACGGCAGTAATTCGTCGTGTTCCCTTTTATATAATGAAGACTTGACGCCAGAATCTGGTTTAAACAAAGCAAATGAACCCGTGAAGATGACATCAGCACCATTGGGAAAACAAACATCATTAACGCTCTCCCACATATTTCAGTCAGATGGTAGAGTAGAGGAGAGAATAGAGAAGTAAGATGGCGGCGGTGCACTGCAGCATTTATCGAGGGTCGGGGAAACTGGAAAGCCAACAGGAGCTTTGACTCTCATTGTTGCCTTTTTGGTTCTTGTCTTACCTACAATAAAGTTTTGTATGATAATACGTACATTGGAAATATAAGGTATTCTTAAATAATGTATTTGCTGTGGACCTACTTTCACGTAATCACTGCTCAAACATTTTTCAGGCGTCTTTTCCAAAAATATCGTTTTATGTGAATGTACATTGCAAAACTATCTATTTTTAACACGTCGTTTACTTGATCTTGAGCTAATATGTCACTCACAAGTGAAAAATCGCAGTTATTTAATCAAATCCAGCCATTTTCAGCACGCAAAGGTTTGGTAAAATGATATATCATCATTCTAAGTAGTGTAATTTTCTTGATTCAGTGTAACAGTAATGCTTGTAGTTCCCCATTTTTCTGGGTAGGCTACCAACATTTGTTTCTGGAAAATTCCCTCAAATAAGTGAAACACACTGGGAAGTTCCCCAACTGGATTTTTAAAAATCTATTTTATTTTTAACACTGCTACTAATTCTACTATTTTTGTTGCGTTGTGCAAGATATGACACATTCCTGCAAAACCAGGAGTAGCCACATTTTTTCCATTGTGGTTGAGGAGCAGCTGCAGTTAAATGTTGTCTGTGGTTGTAACAATTATAGCTTGTATTGTATGCATGATAAAGGTGTTACTGGTAATAGGCTCCATTGATATAGTACTCAATTTAGGCCTCTTGTTGTTGCTGTATTGGCCATTTCTGGTCAGCATTCAAATTTTTTTGTTTTTCTTCAGATTAATCTAGTGAAATGTGGCAGCCGACCTTCATTGTTTCCTGCACGTAGTCTGTAATCAGTGTACTTGGAATGAATAGTTTGGGTTGCTTGTGAAGCCAAGCAGTGGCTTTGTTCATAATCCATTGCTTAGGTTACCTAAGACAGTCTTTACCCTTTGCATACTGTATTTACAATAGAAGCATCAAAGGCAAAAGTGATGTAATTCGACAGAAAGAAGTTCAGGAATAATACATGCAAGATTAAATAAGGCTTGAAAATGAGATGTTGCAAGTATTTGATCTTGTTAGGGAGTGTTTATGGCCTCTATGACTGCAACACACTTACTTCTAAACACACAGTTCAAGGAAGCTGCTTTTCCTGAAGGGCCCACGGTTTGGAGCGTAGGAGTTGGATGCCAGCCTTTGTGTATTTGTAAATCCTTGGGAAATGGCTCTTGGATGGTCGCAGGCAGTCTGTTTGTGGGCATACTGCAGTCTTTCAGCCTGGGGCGGACCAGCCCTCTCCCCTTATTAGTGAGTTTAATGCCATTATGCCTGTTGGCACTACCAGTGTTTCTCTTTGGCACCTTCTCTGCTGCTCATGCTGCAGTTTCAGTTCTTTGAAGGAGAAATACACCCAACACTAATATATCCCCTCTTCGAGTTTTCTTATTTTACTTTTTATTGCTCTCACTTTGGCCTGCCTCGCCTGTATTTCTCCTTCAGTTTGTAATTTATGTTTTGCAGAATGCATTTTGACAACCCCAAGAAAAAGAGTTCAAACTTAACCCAGGGAATCCAGTATACTTGTAGATAGAAAACAGCTTCTACACTTAAGAAATCTCAAATTGCAACATGTCTTATACGTCAGTTCCTCAATCTCTGGATTGTTCCTGATTAGTGACTGTTGAACTCTGATTCTGAGAGGCTGACACCAAAAACCTGATCCTTGCTGTTTTGTTTTTTCTGCCCTCAAACTCCATAGTGGCTGCACTGGACATATCTTGTGTAGTGCTGTAATGATACTCTGAGCGGATTGACCCACATTTTCTTTAATTAAAGAATCATTTAAGTAAATTTAAGAGCATGAAAAACTGCAGATTCTGAAATGTGATCATCACTGTTGTTTCTCATTGTTTATTGAATATCCTTGGGTTTTGATACTGGACATAATTGAACACAATTTGAACACGTCATGGGTATTTATATGACTTTTTTGGCATTTTGTTCAAAATATTAACCTTTTTAAAGAAAAAAAAAAGTCAATTATGAAAATAATCAGTAGTTGCCTGCATAGAAATGAAAACAAAATTATACACCAGTCATACCAGGGACTGTGGTGATATTAGTCTGTCATGCTCTCCTTTAGCCTATCATTAATCATTTCAGTAAATAGTGGACATTGTCATATGACAGGACTGGATGTCCACTTCATAATGAGACAGGAAAGGAGTTTGTCTCCAACACTCTGTTTTCTTCTCTTTTTTGTCTTTCATTTTCTTTTTTAAAATCCTTCATGTTTAACCAGTGGTGCAAAGAGTTGGCTCAAAAAAAATTCTCTGTTCAAACAGTGCACATTGTCCATCTTGGTTGTGTCAACAACAACGATACTGCAGCGCTCCCAATTAATGTCCCCCTCTGTCTGTCCTGTAGAAAAGAATTCCTGGCCTTTTGATACTGTTGTTTCTGTTGGCATGCTCCCTGGAAACGGTGGATGACGCTCATGTGCTTGCTTGTCTTTTGAAGCTGCACGTCCGTCGCTTCTCTTCTCTGTTCACCTAATGTACCTTCAAATGTCAAAGTTGCCCTGGTAGTGATGTAAATCAGCTGTTCAGGAACATTGAAAATGGTTTTACCTATTATCCTTTGCTTCTTTTTTGTGTCATTCTCACAGTCCTGAGTCTTCTTTGTGTGTTCATAATGTGTTTTCCTAGTAGAAGTTAGGATCCCCCCTTTCAAAGCATGTCAGGAATCTGATGGTGGCGATTTCTGTGGTAACAGGCCATTGCAAAGCTTAAAGGCCTGCTTTGTGCAGTGCAAGCCGGCCTCTGAAAGATACTGTGGATGAAAGCCAGAATGTCTGATTAGATCCAACGAGCAACTGATAGCACAAGGAACTGGGTTCCTTTGCTTGTTTACTGAAGAGAACATTGTGATTTACAGTGATGGTTTGGATGGAGATGTTTCACACTCTACTGCAAGCAGCACAGTGCAATTAAAGTGCTGGCCACTGAGCAGGGCTTGAGGGCTCAGCTATTGTATTTTTAGCCAGTTTGGGGATTTATTCAAGAACCCGAATCTCCGAATGTCACGAAGCGCGAACTAGTGCTATACAGTATTAACTAGTAGAGGATGGATTTTACATGGCTTTCTGATTAGAGCTGAAGCTTGAAGCCACTTCAGAACAATGTGAATAATACATCTTGTGTACAAAATATTACGACTCACTAATTTGGAGTTGCAAGTCAGTCCTTTAGAAAAGCCTCTTCATCTTTCTCACCTCTTCCTTCTTATGACTGGCATATAATTGGCTCTAATAGGTCAAACGTGTACACATACCTTAGCTTTATTGCCCCGTAGTCTTCAGGGAACATGACATTCTCCCTCCCACTTCTCATGTTCGAGTGAATCTCCCACCATGCAGCACCATTCATCACCATTGGACCGTTATTTCCATCTGTAAATATCAGCAGTGCGCCATGAAGACACACTCATTTCACTGCTGCTGAGTAAGCAGCTGTTGGTACAGAATCTGAATAATAAGCCGAGAAACAAGCCGCCCTGACCTGCGCAATTACGCAGCAGCAGCAGCACGGGGTACATCCAGCTTTCACTTCATCAGTGAGGCAACACGCACACACAGCCTCCATCTGAAGGCGTGTTCCTACCATTCCTTGTTAAGCCATCAATTCTGCAGTGCTTTTAAAGTCACATTTCCATCCTGTGTTCCAGTCGAGGCTGTGGTGTGTTGCATATGTTTGTGTGTGGGATAGACCTTCCTCTGGGATATGACCTAGGGTGTGATAATTGAACCAATACAATCAAGTTTTAATCATGAATTTGGTCACACGGATGCAACACTGTCAGTGTGTGACAGATGAGTCTGTATATAAATTTAAGTGTGCATGTGTAGATTTACGCCCATGTGAGAACCGGATGGTGCTGCAGTCACTATATTATATCGTGTGTTCGTCATCGCATATCATGTCTCGGGCCCGCCTGGCACTTACGGGGCGTTTGATTTAATGGTGCAGCTGATCCAACAGGCTGCTTGTGTTCTCTCTGTCTGATCCCAGGATGGATATGTGTAATGAACCAAAGAAACGCCAGCTCACATCTGAAAGAGAGGAGACCAGCAGTGGTCTAGCCCGTGCCTTTGTGCCTGCTAGTTTTGGCATTTATTTAGGGTCAAGTGCATTAAGGCTGATTCATAAATTCTGTCGGTCAGTGAAACCAGAATGGCAAACATCCCATTTGGTTCTTCTGTTCTAAAAAAGCATGCAACAAAGTGATTAGGAAAATGCATCTCTGTGAGAGTCCTGGTAATTTAGCAGATACACAGACCGTACAGTCTCAACATCCCAGGTTGAATTTGCAAGGGAATCTTTGTTGCATGTCTAACCCCAACCCCGCCACTATATTTCATATCTGCTGTGAATAAAAAGGCTAAAATAACCCCCCAAATTTGGATGTATTGGGACATGATTTTCAAATTATTCCAGATCCTATGCGATCTGTCACACCTTTTTAAACATATCAACATATGGAATGGGATTAGCGCCCACAGACATTGTATTTAAGTGACATACATCTGAAATGTTCCTGCTCATGCTTCTACTTTGAATTAAGGAAAAAAAGTTTTTTCTTCCATAAATTAATTTAATTAATTTAGTTGAATTTGTTATTCAGAAAAGAGCATGCACTTCTATTGTTTTTACTGGAGACTGCCAGGTCCGGACACGTGCCAGATGACCAGAAGGTCAGAAAGCTTTCGAAAAAACAACTTCAGCTAGCCAACAAACACAAGTGTGAGTATTAAAAGTATGCCCCTTGATGTTTTTGGAGGAAATATTTTGTTGGTTTTCAGTCTGTGAGCTGAATTTAAAATGAAAGGACATGCCTTTGGCTTACAATTCTTTATTTCATCTCAGCAGTTTAATAATCCTTGCATAAACTATTCACAAACACAATCTTTCCATCCAAACCTATACAAACCAATTCTTCCAAATGATCATTAGGAACATTTCTTGAAACCACAATCTCTGTGCTCTTTTTCCTCCTACTAGTTTCCAAAGTTGTTCAGTAAGTGGACGCACGCTAAGAAACTGCTTTGCCCCAGTACTTTTTAGATTCCGGCAGAGGTTGCTGACTCATTATTTTAAAGATGTGGAATCATTTTGAGAAAGTTTCTTCCTAATGATAAAATTCTTCCGTTTCACCACCTCTGCCGAGACACAAAAATACCCATGAGGGTCCTTGTTTGCGAAGGTTATATGCCTCCACTTACTGGAATGATCTCATCCCATCGTCCTCTCACTTCGCTCTTCCCATCTCTCCACTCACCGTCCTGGGTGTTCAGGGTTGCCATAGCACTGGAGTCTACCCCAGGTGCCTGGTACTTGGACTATAATTAGGTTGCTGTGCTTTATTCCTCTTGTTCTTCTCACCCGTTCCTCCCTTTCTCCCTTCTTTTTACCATTTTCCACCACAACAGCTTCTCACTCTGGTTTCTTCTGTGAAACGCTGTGTCATCCATACAGTATTTTACTGATGTGCTTCATGTTTGAGATTCACAGTCCAAAGGGTTTATAAAAATTAGTACCCCTTCGTACCGGGCGACACACCATCAATTGTAGATGACTAGTCCTCTCGGAGACCAAGTGTGAAATTGGAACACTTTGAAATGCCAAGTTTTTTTTATGTGTGTACGTGCACACAAACGAGAGAGAGAGGTGAGATGGAGATTTGCGCCAGAAAGAGGGCTGGTATTTTTGACAGTGCCCTGCTATTTCTAGATCTGTTTCCTGTTTGGTTGCTATAATGGAAGTGGACATCCTGCGTTTGTGCAGTTGACAGGAGTGATGTATGTGCGTGTATCTGTGCACAGTACAAGGTCATTGTTCTGTGAAATCCTTCATGTTTCAATTGACAATGTGCTTTAAACATGGTTTTTAGGATTCTGGTAACTTAATTTCAGCCAGTTTAGCATGCAGATACTGAATGAGCCAGCCATTGCACGTGTTTAATGTTAATTTTTAAGCACACAAAAACACCTGCAGGCACGCCCAGCTACATGCAGGTTACACATCCGCACACGCACACACTCACTTCCTTACGAAAGCAAACCGACCTGATGATGAAATTCCCTCTCCCAGGCAACTCGGATAAAGATGTTTGCCTCAGGTTGCCACAGCAGTGATGGAGGGAAGTTATAGCAGGTTGTTCCCCCGGGGTTGAGCAGGCTTTGGTATCTGTGGTGATCATACCTAAGGAAACCAAGAGTCCCTCCATCACCCCTAGACAAATGAAGTGGGCAGAAGTCAGAACTATTTTTCATACCCACTTCTAATAAGATTTTAAACAGATTTGTCAGAGATGCTAATTCCCGAAGAACCCCCCTCGAGACAAAGCTTAATCGCTATGAATATGAATGAAGATAATGCTTCAAACAAACTTGCGTTTTCCTCACAGACTCAATGCAAACTTTTGAGCTCTGAGTAAAAGGCGGGGGGGGGGGAGAAAGAAAAAGGCCTCTACCAGATGGGTGTGGTTGAGGGTTTTTATCAACATGTCAGCATTTGACTTGGAGGAAAGCTTTCATTGTGTCACTTTAACCTTTTAAGCCCAGTAAGTCAGTAGATCAATATTCATCCCAGACTCAGACTCAGACTCCCAGACTTGGATCTACTGATCTTAAGAAATGCCTGAATGAACATAACGCAATGCGGCCTGCGTTTCTTGAGGTGCTCGGGTTTCATCATAACCTGATTTGACGCACCGCCTATAACGTTGCCAGGCGGTCAATCCCAGTTTTCTTTCAGATTTTCAGGACACAGCTTCTGTTTTGCCCCGGTATTTATTTATTTTTTTGATGAGTGCTCTATCTGGTTTTTACATTTTGGCTCTATAATTGAACTTTTTGGCTGACAGGAAGTGTGAGAGGAAGGGAAGGAGGGTCTGGCGGCCCTGTAATCAGTGACACACCAGAATGGGATAGTTTTGCACTCACACTTTAAGTCCAGTCAAAGATGATCTGAAGGTTTTAAGTAACAGCAGGGCCCGCTTGCCAAGGGGATTGCAGAGTGTGTGTGTTTGTATGTGCACCACCTTGTGCACAAGCATTACGCTGCGTGCTGAGCATTTCTGTCACCTCGCCAGTCTTATCTAATTCAGCCGTCGCATATCCTCCCAAGCTAAGCAATCAAATTCCCACTGATGCATCTTGTAAACAACCCACAGACAGCCGCGTTTCTGCTCGATTCCACCACAATTGATTTGATTAATGACTCAAAGGAAAGCCATATACGTTTATTGTATCCCATATCACATTATCCCACTCATAAATGTTTAAAGGCGGCCAGAGATAACACGATAAAGCGCTTATTTGCATTGTGTTACACTGCAACTTGCAGGGGATCTCTCCTACATGGTGATCGTGTGTCGGAGCCATTGTTAACCATCGCTAACACTCAACACTTGACACTATCTTGGGTGTGGTGCGACATGTACCTCGCCTGGACATTAAAGCCTTGTGTTGTGTTGCGACGTAGCCAAAGATGCCTGCTAAAGATGTGTGCCAGAGAGTGTGTGTGTGTGTGTGTGTGTCGAGCTCCTGTGACACATCTCGCTCTCCAGGGAGTCTCCCCCTGGGATGAGAGCTGATCTGAGACACCCTCCCCCCTTACCCCACCTTCACCAAACTCCCCCTGGCAGGCCTGGGCCACTCAGATAAGACTGTACAATTAATAGCACCGCAGGACCAGCGCCCAGGGGGACACTTCAAAGATTGTGTGTGTGTGCTTTCTGGGGACTGGAATACATGAAACTGTTTCTCAGCCTCTGTGTGAGTTACATAGTTGTGTGTGTGTGTGTGTGTGTGTGTGTGTGTGTGCGTGTGTGCGCGCGCCCACGTGCGAATGGACTTATTTGCAGTTTGTAAGCGTGTGATACAATATTTCTTTTTCTGACAGCCCCCCATTTACATGTAATGGGTAATAAACCTTTTCCTGCTTTTTAGTGCTGCTGATCACATCTGTGAATGCGCCAGCCTTACACACACAGCGTTACATTTTACACAAGTCCCTTTTCACAATGACTTTGAGATAGGAATGGTTAGGCAATTTACATAAAGTGGAAGAACAGTTATTATCTTAAACTAAAAATGTGGCTGAATATCTTTATTTTGCAGTGCGTGTTTCCCTCCAAGTCAAAATGGTGAATGGAGAGGCAAGCTTGTCCAAAATCCAAAAATTACTCTTTAGAGCAACAGCTCAGAAGCTGGAACTACAAAATTGTTTGCTGCTCTAATCTTAACTCTTGCGAGTGCACCTGAGCAAAACAAGACCTTCTAATAAACTGGAATGATCCTTTTAAGGCACAACATAAGACAGGCAAGACACACGATGAAGCAAAGATCACGTTGCATGAGTCTGAGGTTTGCCTGGATGTTATCTGGGTCATGGTTTTCCACCTGTGGAAATAGGTTACCTGTCCGAGATGGGAACTGTGATTTGAAATTTAGGCGGAACAAAATCGCACACACGTCGCACGCACGTGTGGACGGTTCACATGAACTGCTGCATCGAGCTTGTCATCCTCATAACCCTCCTCGAGGCAGCAAACCACTCTGTCAAATTGCAGCAGCCAATAATCTCGTTTTAATCGCTTCACTACTACAAACTTGTATGTTATTGCATTACATTATTAGATTGTTGGTTTGTTTGTTTGTATGGTTTTTTTTTTAGGTTTTTTTAGGTGTGTTTCTTTCTTTTGTGTGCCTCCCTCAGGGTAAAACTAATTCCATTTCATCCTCAGATTATTATGGTGATGTTGAACGCTTTGTATAATTTATAAACCAACATTGGGTGCCCAGCTTTAACAACTTGGACATGGGCTATGTGCAACCTCATTTTGTGGTCCCATATGGGTCAGCAGGCTCCGTAGCTTAAGTCTGTATTTTCCTTCCGTGACTGACTGGATTTTGGACACATCCCTGCCTGTTTTTCTGCAAATAAAAACGCAGTCACATATTCTAACCCTGCTGCAGTTCTCTTCAGTGTGGAATTTGTTATGACTTTGCTAGCTTCCTCAGCTGCAACTCCCATTTTTGTCAAACTGTAGAGGTCAGTTCATCAGTTACGGTGATTGATGGAAGCAGCAAGAAGCTGGAAAGCATTTTTGATGGATCGCTGCTTTAGTTGCATCACTTGTAATTTCTGTTGGGGGGGAAAATTAGCTCGGCAAGCAATATGCGACTGGGGTTTCTGCTGGCTTTAATTTGAACTGTCTTCTCGGGGTCAATCTCACGGCGTCAGCCTCCTTTCCCCTGCCTTATTCCCTGTCGTTAACAGTGATGGCTATCATGCCTGATTGGGACCAAAAGGGGATATTTCTCCTGACCAGGCTGCCGTCCTAATCCTCAGTGCCCAGATTACTGCTCCCTCCCCTCCCTGCGGGATGACCGGCTGGCAGACTGGCAGAACAGTGAAGCAGAGCTGAGATAAGATAAAGAAGCCTAGTGTCTCCTTCTATAATGTCTAACACTCTGCTGCTGACGTGGCTAACCATTTGTCTGTCCGCCTTTCTTTTCCATCCAGTTGCTGCTTGCTTAGGTTAGATTCTAGCTTCCCAGCATTGCCAGAAAAGAACAACAAAAAAACCCATTTAGTGTTCTTATCTTTTCTGTTTCTTTGAGGATTGTATCTAATCTCTTATTTCTCCAGTCGTTTTGAAGATGTAGAAGGGAAATGCAGTGATTATTTCTGTACACAGTTTAATCAGCGGCGTTACTGTTTGCCAAGAGGATCTTTCATAATTTTGATGTAACCGGCATCCTCTAACTGACAAAAGAGGCGGTCATTCTTTTTCCCTGAACTACCTCTTCATGACACCAGAATGACCCATCTTTTCTCTGTTAAGGCTTCCCTGATTTCCTTCAGCCTCCCTCCCTGTCCCTGGCCCTCCGTCCCCGCATCCTTTCTGTTTTACAGAGCGCTTGACCTTCTGCTCGAGCCCGAAGGCTTATTGTCCAATTCATCTGTTCTCCAATCTCTCCCCGTCTCTCGCCATTGTGGTTATTGTTCTTTCTCCTCACTTTCGCCTGAGCCATCATCCTGGGGACTCTGATTTATAAGCTTGCAGCGAAGGCTTGACCCCCCTGCCTCCCGCCCAACTCCTCCTCCTCCAGCAGAAGACAGAGCGGTAGAGAGATAGCAGTGGAGAGGCTGAGAGGCAGGGAGGAGAAGAGAGAGCGATTGGCGAGGATTTGATTTGCCAGCCAAAAGAGGAAGACACAAAGAATTTGAATGTGCGCGAGCGGTTGGCACAGATTTGCCTACCTATGCCTCAAGCAGGGAGGAAGCTGGTTTATCGCTTTCAGGAAACTACAGGGGAGAGGCCAGAGGGTAGGCAGATAAGGTCAAAATGAAACTGGGCATCCAGAAAGCGAGTTAATTAAAAGATAGCGCACATGCAAAAAATTACTTTTTAAAGATCATTTGAAAACTTTCTGCTCTCAGTTTTGCCATGGGTTTTTACTGTAGATGAGCATCTTTTCTAGTGTGGGAATTGAGCGTCAAACCCCTAAATAAGCCTGTGTGGCTGCAGTAAGGCTCGGTGTCAAGACTGATGAACACCCGCGTTAAGTTGCCCTGTGAGCTGAGGACGGCGGGGGGGGGGGGTTTATCTACTGTGTGTGTGTGTGTGTGTGTGTGCAGGATTAACTAATTTCCGTGCTACTACAGCTTGCAGCTCACCATGTCGTCCTGTAAGGGAAATGAACTTTGTAGGTGCCTATTTGACCCAGAGAAGTGTTACCTGATCTGTGTATGCTCTCTTATTACCTCCTGACTGCAGTAAATGGTTGAACCTCAGAGAACACCTAGGCTACACTTTATTTAGATAGTTCATTCGTAAAGAAGCGGTAATAATGTGACCGTTAAAATTATCTGCGTGGCCCAATGGCTCCAAACTACAATCACACAATTTGGAGTTATTTTGCGGTGACATTCCTAAAAGCTGCAGTAAGTAGGAAACACTAACTGACACATACGTTGATCAAAATGACCAGCTTGCATATTTTCAACATTGTATTAAAATAATTTTGGTTATGTTACACAAAATGTAATGTAACCATGATATTGTAAAATAATCCAATCCATTTGAAAACTCGGCTCAATATTATGTAATATTTCATCCTGCTGCTTATTATTGTTGGGTTTATTGGTCATTTTTCTTTTTTATGATGAACAAATCTTTTTTTTTATATTCACCACATACGCAAAAGGCCTCGGTTGTCTACATAGGGACACATTGTCCCACAAAAAACCCCACATTATTTACATGTGATATCATAATATACGACTCTCCACAGCACATGGCGTCTTAGGAACCTTCCAGAAAGCTTAAGTATTTTTCCTATTTTCTAGTGTAGACATTCAATCTTGCAAAATGTTTAAATTTTTTCAAATGCTGCCATCTCACAAGCTCACTCTTGGATTGAAGGTACCTCTGCAGTCCTCCACCCTCTTAGAATAATCTGTCTGGCTATCATAGAACTAGTCTGGACCCAGGTTCTGATGTGTTTATTTATTCCCATTAGAGCTGACTCGTCTCGTAAAATAAATACTCTTGGGATGAATGGAACCTGGGTCCCCGGAATCAGACACAAGTTATCATGTATTCCGGTCCAAAATTCCTGGACCTTGTCACAGGACCATAGGACATTTGGTGTGTCTCTTAATCCAAGAGAGACCTGGGAAGTCCAAATTGATGTACCACATCCTCAAAGGATTTCAGTATACCATGAAGATAGAAATCCCCCAGTGTAACTATTCCTTTTTCCAACCAGTCCCTCCAACAAAGGGGTGATCTATCAATGCTGGTAATTTTTCATTAATTCCAGGAGCTTTTATTTCCAGATGTCTTTTTTTTAATTTCACAATGTCACTTTCATCTCATCTCAAAGGACAGAAATTAATAATTCTCTCTTTGTCTCTGTCTCTCTCTCTGTCTCTGTCTCTCTCTCTGTCTCCGTTAAAATCATTAAAATCTTCACAAGTCTTCTCTCTGGTGCGCAATAGCACTGGGTAGCATTACCTTGTACAGGTGTTTTGTTTTTTTTGTTTTTTTTTTATTGCATTCACCTCATGTTTCTGTACCTGGCAAGCTTTTTGCTCCACTTTGTTGGGCTTCTCTTTGCTCAGGGGAAAATAGAAAAGGAACGAACAGCTCCGGAGAGCCCTCTATTCTTCTTCTGCCAGATGTGGAAATACAGTGTAAAGATGGAATATAATGAAAGTGGTTAATCATTCATCTTTCCAGTGAAACACCAGATAGATGCCTGCTAAATCAATACAAAAATGGGAGTTCTCAGCTTAGCATGTATCCAAATTGATGGGCCCCACCAGTTATTCTCATATTCGAAGAGGACTTCATGCCCCTGGCTGCTTGGAGAGAATTGAGTCTGGAGGAAAAAAAATATGCTATCCATCTCACAAAACAACATTTGTTTGCCTGCCAGGGCCTTCAGAACCATTAACAAGATTAGGAAGCACACAATGGCAACAGTCCCTCTCCTCCCTCCCTCTGTCTCCTTCTCTTTTACCCCCCACCCCCCCACCCCTTTATTCCCTCCCATTTTGTTCAAGCTCATTTGCCAGTACAATGCAGACATTCAGTGGTTTGCACCTCCTCTCCTAAGGGAACTTCAGCACAAAACCTCCTTATGCAGGCAGACAGCAATGGCATACACACACACACACACACACACACACACACACACACACACACACAGAGGCACATTAACACAAAAATTAATACATTCATGCCAAAGGCTGACACACACACGTTTGCTCACACACACTCCCTTTGCCTCCAGCCAACCTGCTCTTGTGCTCAATATGTGCTGCACTAACCGAGAGAAATGAACCAGAAATGAATCAACAGAGGGTTATATAAACACTACAGTGTCCTGGAAAAACTCGGAAAAAATGCCCACATGGACGCAGATATACACTTTTCCTATAAAGGGTAACACACACGGGGCAGCTGAGTGGGTGGGTGTGCTTGTGCATGAACATCACAGACAACAGAGGGTGAACTGGATTGCTTCAGGCTTGTTGTTTGAGGCAATTATTCCTCTAAAGCTATTGATTTTTTTGTGTGTCCATCACTTTTTTTGCACCTATTCTTCTCAGGTTTTTCACCATTTCTCAGCAAGATCTTTTTGTAAATCTGACAACACCCAATGGACTAAAATGAACAGATATTGAGCATGCACGCTAGCACTGCCATGCTTAGGAGCACTGAAATCACACCCATAATGTGAACATTTGTTCCTATCCTCCTCCTGCTAACACTTCATCTTTGGCGTTCCTCTTCTTCTCCTCATTGCCCATCCTTCATCTTCTCCCCCCTCATCTTTTCCCTGCGTCTCTCATCTTAAACCAGCTCACTTCATCTTACTTTTCATCAAACAACGCTAATCTCCTCTCCTCTCCTCTCCCAGTCCCCCCCTGCTATCTAAGTAATAAAATTTAATTGCATCCGTCTTGCATTTTTCAGCGCAAGTGCTAAAGGAGTTTAACATGAGCCGTATATCTCATTAAGTCTCTCACCCCCCTCTCTGTCTCTCTCTCGTCCATCTCTCCCCACCCCTTAGGTGCCTACAGATGTTTCAATGGGTCTGTTGGCAGAGCCCCAGGTGGCCATGTTTTGCGGAAAACTCAACATGCACATCAACGTGCAGAGCGGCAAGTGGGAGGCAGACCCCTCAGGCACCAAGAGCTGCATCGGCACCAAGGAGGGCATCCTGCAGTACTGCCAGGAGGTAAAGAGTGTGTGTGTGTGTGTGTGTGGTGGGGGGTTCTGACTTGGGAGGAAAACCCAAGAATCTGTTCACCTTCTATTTTTATATGTACAACAATTTATTTCCCTGTAGAATCAATTAAGGCTGCTATTACATGATCACATTAATCCCCCCCTTTAAAGCTGACATGAATCTTTATTGGACGTATTGTTGTAAAAAGTCAGCCTGAAGGGGTGTTTAAAAAAAACAAATCAAGGTGGGGGTAAAGAGATAGAATGTCAGGATAGAGTGAGAAAATAACAACGGTGTGAAGGAGACATCTTTTTGGTAGCAGCAGAGATTGGAGAGGTCATTTCCCTCCCAAACTATTTGTAATCAACATTTTCATTATGCTATGATATATGGAATGCTTAAACTCTAATTACCCAGTGTTTATTTTGTTTTGAGTGAGCAATAAACCCGTATGATAAATATTTCTAGTTGTGACATTTTGAGTTGGATTTTTTAGGTCGGGTTATTTACATTTCAGCCATTAAGCTGACTCTCCGAGCAAATTACAATGATGGAGCAGGTAGCAGTGCAGCTTCTTTTAGGGGAGTTCACAACAAGCAAGTTTGTATGTTTGGGCAAGTGAGAGCAATTTTCAAAACCTAGGTTGCACCACAAAGAAATGCATGCAGAGATTTTCTGTCCTCTGTACAGTCTGTGTTTGGGTGTAGTCGGTTCAAAGTATGGTGGATATTAGAGGGCAGAACAAGGTGTTTATTCTTGCTGGTTTGAGAGAGTGAGTGAGTTACAGAGTCTGCAAGCAGATTTGTTTTTAGTCACCAAAATCCCTAATTTGGCAGCGTGACATGATGCCAAACCTCTGCTCAGTAAACAAGCAGCTTAAGTCCATGTGACTTTACTTTAAAAGCTGTGGATGGCTTTTGATAAAGCAGTGAGACGCTAACCGAACCAAAGGCAGAAATGCGACACAGTGAGCCCCTCTGTTGTTTGTCTGAAACTGATTTTTTTTTTTCCCAGTCACTACAGTCTGCTCCAACCGCAAGACCACATTTCTTTGGGGAATATTCCAGCAGTGACTATCACTGCTAAAAGGGGGTTTGTCTGATAAGAGCAGGCGATGCATAATGCGATTTCTCTGAAAAGGCTGTACGACAAGACTCAAAGGAAGATAAGTACATCTCTCCATTGCTGCCACTGATACCAAATCCAGTGATAACAAACAATCAGGTCCCGGGTTTAAACATTTAACAGCGGGATAGAACTTTAAGTATCAAAACCAAAACAGAGATATGGAGAAATTTCCTACCCAGAGCTGAACGGGAGAAAGAAAAGGGACAAAGAAGAAGGTTGTGGAATAATCTTTTTCCTCTTCATTTGGAGAGGCATGAAGAGAAGAGAAAACAGCAGAGGAGGGGTCACGAATAAGAAAGAGGGGATAGGTGTTTGGAGAGGGATGACATGTCGACCCAGAATATCGTGGAGAGGCAGATATCATGCATGGCTGAGAGGAACATCGTGGTAAACACAGCAGCCAAGCAGGAAAACAGCCGCAGGGAGCACTGCAGTAATGTACAGATGAAAATATATTGAAAAATAGTAACTTTGATGCTGTGCCTGAAAGAAAATGGTTTGACTAGAAATACAAGTGATGGATAGAAGATACTAGTGTTAATGAAACAAAATGTTAATGTGAAGAGGAGCACCTGCTCTACTCTCTTTCAGCTGTGTTGTGTTATGACCCTGTTATAATATATAAAACTGTGTGTGTGTGTGTGTGTGTGTGTGTGTGTGTGTAGGTGTACCCAGAACTCCAGATTACCAATGTGGTGGAGGCTAACCAGCCAGTCAGCATCCAGAACTGGTGCAAGAAGGGGCGCAGGCAGTGTCGCAGTCACATTGTGGTGCCCTACCGCTGCCTGGGTGAGTCCCATACATGTTTCTACTGACTCAGTTTTCAGTGCTCACTTTTTTGGTCTGGTTACTACAAGAGTCTTCAGTCAGTCAGAAGGCTTGGCCCGCTGTGCGTGAATTATAAATATGGATATTGTTTTTTCGCTGCAGTGGGAGAGTTTGTGAGTGACGCCCTGCTCGTCCCTGACAAGTGCAAGTTCCTGCACCAGGAGCGCATGGACCAGTGTGAGAGCCACCTGCACTGGCACACTGTTGCCAAGGAGGTGAGTACACAGACGTGCACACACACACAGTCAAACTCTCAGACAAACCTACACTACTGTAATGAAAAGTGCAGCAGGTACAGCTACTGATCTATACTTTGTCCCTGTGTTTGTTTTTCCTCATGTTGCGCGTCCTTAGTCCTGCGGAGACCGCACCATGAATCTCCACGACTACGGGATGCTGTTGCCGTGCGGCATCGACCGCTTCCGAGGAGTGGAGTTTGTGTGCTGTCCCGCGGAGGCTGAGCGTGACGCCGACAGCACCGAGCAGGATGCTGATGATTCCGATGTCTGGTGGGGTGGAGCGGAGACTGACTACTCTGACAACAGGTATACACACACACACACACACACACACACAGAGACAGACCGATAAATGAGGGTAAGGCAGCAGCAGAGTAATCACTCAGGGTACAGATGATCATAGATACTGCCACTTTCATTTTCAAGATTGCCAGGAGGATAAAATTTCTTTCCTTGAAAGCAAACTGCAAGTTGGTTATAATTTAAAACCTCTTTCCTTCTCTCCCTCCCATTTATCCTCCTTGTCTTCATTTTCTCATCCCTCTTCCTCCATCACCTTTTCTTTCCCCCACTTGCTCTTGTTCTCTCCATATGTCTCTTTACTCCGTCCCTCCCTTGCCTTCATTTTTTCATCCCTTTCCCTCCCCCCCTCCCTCTCCCTCCCCCAGCATGGTGCGGGAGCCAGAGCCAGCGGAGCAGCAAGAGGAAACCAGGCCATCTGTGGTAGAGGAGGAGGAGGAAGAGGAGGAGGTGGCCGAGGAGGAGGAAGAGGAGGAGGACGTACTGGACAACGACCAGGACGGGGACGGAGAGGAGGACGAAGAGGTGGCGGAGGAGGAGGAGGAGGACGAGGAGGAGGAGGAGGAGGAGGGAGACGACGACATTGTCGAAACGCTGGACGACGGCAATGACGCCGACGAGCCCACCACCAACGTTGCCATGACGACAACCACCACCACCACCACCGAGTCTGTGGAAGAGGTTGTCAAGGGTAAGGAACATTTCAGATGATGTGGGTGTGTGTCTAATTTTGGTTCTCATCTTCTGTTACCAGGGTGTCTGGAGGTCCTTGAAAAGCCTTGGAAACGTTTGAAATTTAAGGCTCTTAAAGAAATGTTAACATCTTAAATACAGTAATAAGATGACAGGTTTCTTCATATTTAGATTAATGTGGTACAAGTTTAGTAGTACAGCATACAAAACGTGTTTTCTCCATTTTTTTTTTTTACGCTTTGCTGAACACAATTGAACTTCATGTTCCTCACCAATTAATTTCCTGCTGTCGTTTTTCTTATAGTGCTCGTTTATCATTTCAGAGCTTTCATTAGCTACGTTCCATTAGAGCCAGAATTGGTTGTTGCAGCTTTGTTTCTTCGTTTTAATGTTAAATTGGTATTAATAACGTTGAAAACTGGCTTTCTCCACATGCCCTGCTATGTAACATCAAGTATTTTATTTTTATGTCTCCTTTAAGTGCCACATTTTATAGGTGAACACTCTTGAGATCTTGACAATAAGATGGCACACTTGCATGGTGTATGGTGAGCTATTGTGAATGATGACAAGTGTGTTTGTGTGTGTGTGTGTGTCCTCCAAGATGTGTGCTGGGCCAATGCAGAGACCGGTCCATGCCGGGCCATGCTGCCCCGCTGGTACTTTGACCAACAGGAAGGCCGTTGTGCTCAGTTTATCTACGGCGGCTGCGGAGGCAACAGAAATAACTTTGAGTCAGAGGAGTACTGCCTGTCTGTCTGCAGCAGCGTCAGTAAGTCCTGCCGGCAGCAGCTAACCTCAACCAGCAAGCTCGCTGGTCTGAATGCCAGTCCATCTCCGGTGTGTCTCTAACTCTCACTTTTCCTCGCTGTCTATCCAAGCTGCCCACCGGCTGCCAGATATTAACAGCTGCTCAAAGGTTTCCTGCTTGGTGTGCTCATTTTCTAGATGTTCCCTACCTGTCAGCTCTATTCTTGGCTAACCTTTTCTAACTTTTTTTCTCCTCACAGTCTATGTGTGCGTCCTGTCAGATAAATAGTGGTGCTATAAACAGACATTACCTTTTACCAATCCCTCCTGGATTGTGGAAGGCACCAACCTGATCGTCTGTACCTTTTACTTCCTTTCAGCTTGTAGGTGTGAGATGGGTACAAGATGTGTTGTGAAGCATTTACATTTTGCTTTGAGCCACACTGGACCTAGTTTTGTTTTGAAGAGCTGGAGAGGTGTTTTAGCAGTTGTTATGCTGAAGCCATGAGGATAAAACCAAACCCTGTATTACCACATGGCTTTTCTGAATCCTCAGGGAAGAGACCGCCAGAATGCTCCAATAACAACGGTTAGATACAGAGGGTTTATTTTCATGTACAATTCTCTTTAGAGGCCGAATGGCATGTATAACTACAATCATTTCTATGATTACAGTCATTTTATGGGTGTCATCGTGTATATTACTTTAACATGAATATGAGCTGTAAAATCATCCAGGCAGGAATTATTTTTCAGTAATCCTCACCTCACTGCACATTATTCCTTACATCCCTGATGCGTTGCAGGCTTGCTTACGTTATCCCATCCTCGTAGATGTGGAAATAAGTCCTGGTTAATTCATTACATACGCTTAAATCGGTTGTCAAATTGCCCCTGCGGCAATTTTGAAAATGTGAAACATTTCCTAGGAAAAAACTCACCAATACATCATTACACACTCTGAGCGCACCTGCCTGCTACATCACATTGTGGTGATTGATTAGATTGGCAACAATGAGGACGATGGCGTGATGATTTTCACACCTTTTTTCAACACTTTTTTTGGCATCGAAAGAACTTACAGTCATACATACATTGACATTTTTCCCACCTTGTTAATGTTTGGCCATTCAAATTTTTACTTAGAAAATTTCTTGCCACTTCCTGTTGAGTTAGAAGTGATCATTCAGTCACAAAGTGAACGGATTGGATTTCTAATAGTAATTCCGTCCTTGATTACCAACCTGTTTTTCCCCTGGCATTTTTTTTCATTGCCAGGAAACTGTGTGTGTGTGTGCGCCCATGTGTGCACGTGGGCGGGGGGGGTTGTGTCTTTCATAGGTGGGGAGCGGAAGGCGGTTTAAGTGTTTGTCTCAGAGGCTGATTTCAGTGTTGTGTAAGGTTCACTGACCTTGCTCGATATGTGTGCGTTTGAGTGTTTCTGTGTGTGCGTCTCAGTCACGAAGTGTATGATCCGCCTTGCAGCAAAATGGAGTCATGCTATCTCCATCTCCCTATATTTTGATCTAATTTTATCCTATGTGTGTTTGTGTGTGTGCTTAGGTGTGTGAGTGTAAGTGCATGTGTGTTTAGATATGGGATTTCTGCTCTGCTGAACACGAGGTGAGAAAGTGCTGCAGTCCCCACACACACACACACACACACAAACAAACCAACAGCCACGCACACTCATACACTCTGTTCTTGCTTGTGTGCTCAATTAATAGTCAGTCTCGGTGCAACTGGTATTTTGTCAAATGGCATATTTTTTGTAAATACAAAGCACACGATAATTATAGAAATAATCTAAGTAACTTTCACACAGCAAATGTTAGTCTCTGTCCACTTTGAGGGTTTGGTCCAACAAAATATTGATTCAGTGTTTGTCCAGCTAATGAAAGCTTTCTCTGTTCAAAAATATTGTACATGGGGAAGTTCTGCAGCATGTTCAGTCTTTAACTGTTACCTGCACTCAATAGTTTACACTACACTAGAATAATTATGATTATACTACCATCTACTACTACCGTAACTGAGAGGTGTGGTGTTTCATATCATAGCGATTTCAATTTATCGAAAGCAAAGCATTGCATTATGGGACTTTTAGCTGAAGAGAAGAGCATTTTTGTTCCATTATTGGAATTTTTGCATGCACTCTGGGGCATAATAAAAAATAGTGCAAATGTAATGTAGTGCACCAGGTTGAAAATTGATTTTTGAAAAATGTTCAGTCTAGAAACGCTACAGTGGAGAATGCTTAACAGCAATGATATAAAGAAATATGGAATATAAAAATCTAAACAAGGAATTACCACTTTAAGTACAGTGTATATTAGTTTAGGTGCTGGTTCAAACAATTACAAGAAAAACAACATTGTCATTTACCTCTTGTGTTATCTAACCATGCAGATTTATTTACCTAGTTATGTCTTTCCTGAAGAAATGTCCTTGTTACTCTGGGTAACATACAGACCTGATCAATTTTCATTTTCAGAAGTAGTCCCAAGTAACAAGGTACATATGTTATATGTAAATGAACTAAACTAATTCTGGACCTTGTTAGATATTTTAGTAAATTTTTCAATGCTGCAATGAGAACCACAAGCTATATGCACCTCTATTGCGTTGGTTTGGAGGCAGAAATCTGAGAGGTCTAAACCTGGGTAAATAAAACCAAAACTATCTGGATGATAACACCAGAGATATGTGAGGGGGAAAAAATGTTGTTATGCATCTGAACCGATCCTTTAAATGATTTAGAGGAACAGAGGCTAACAAAACACTTAGGCTTAGGCCAAAGCATATAACATCTCCGTTGTTTTTGTGCAGTCATGCGCTCTCACCAGACATAACCCATTTCACATGATGTGCGACCTTCACGCAGGCTGCGACCACGTTTGATAGCACACGTGTGGAAGATAATCAACTTCCCACTGATTAAATCCGAATTTCACGGAATATGTGGTCCATTTATATTTTGATGCTGGTAACCTCAGTTCAGTCACTGCTTTTGAACCCACAGGATAAATTCCAGTGCCAGTGTTGTGGCTTGGGAGCTGTATCAAGGTCTGAGTGAAGTTCTATAAATGAGAGAAGGGTTTTGTCTCTTATACAAAGGACTACAGGTCATCTGAGGCATTCACTTGTTTGCTTTTGGAGGGTGCTGGCTTCCAGCTACAGCTGCTGTCTTGTTCTCTTTCTCTCCTTATCTCACACTAACCCTATTAACCCATTTTGGACTCTGTTTTGTGTTTGTGTGTACTGAGGCAACACAGCTGGTCCTAGATCAACCAAATAAAAGTGTGCATTAAAAAGATGCTTTACGAAAAGCCTTTTCACGTCCTTACCTCCTCCTTTTATTATTATTTTTTTTTTTCTCCCTCCATTTTAATGCAGTACCCACAGCCACACCCAGCTCCCCCGACGCTGTGGACCACTACCTGGAGACGCCCGCTGATGAAAACGAACACGGCCACTTCCAGAAGGCCAAAGAGAGCTTGGAGTCCAAGCACCGCGAGAGGATGTCCCAGGTAATGACGGAGAGGGAAGAGGGAATAAATGAGAAGGGAGGAGATTATGTCTCAACTGTTGATGGTTTTTTTTAAATTCAGCAGACTGAAAGCTGATCAGCTGTCACTGCGTACATGTGGATGAGCAGTAGCTGAGCAGAGAGAGGACAAAGATATTTCTATAAATAGAAAATGGATGGAGGAAAGGTGTGTCAAGGAAATCGAATAGGTTCGTTTGTTAATCCCTCCTGGGTGAGCCGACCGAGCCAATTCCACTTTAATCAACCCGGCTCGCTCTCCGGAAGAGAGCCAGACATTGTGTGCTGTGACAGCAATGTCACAGTTTTCAAAGCTCCAGACAAGAACACTAACTGTCACGTATGGCTCTAAAAGAGTTCTTTCCTTTTTGCCAGAGTTTGTGCACCACTCTGAATAGCACTGTTTGTTTCACGTGGGTAGCTACAGGCGCAGCATCACACTGATTTCACACAGCTGACTTCACCCTTACAGATACTGTTAGGTCATGTCTTTGGTAAAGGCCTGGGTTGAATTAGAGAGGATGAAACTGAAGTAGGATGTACAATCATCTTTCCCCCCTCTGATTTAGAAAGCAGAAACCCCTTCATATCAACATTCTCAATCTGAAAGGATTATTCACACACAGCGCAAGGATCTGATATTTGCCCTCTGCAGCCCGGATTTGTTATCTTTTCATAGCTTTGTAAAAGTTTCTTCCATTTAGACAGCTGTGAAAGGATCAGATAAATGCCACAAAGAGCAACATTTCACTTCCATGTAAAATCATCCTATGATAGATACAACACGTGGAAAGAAGATTTAGCTTGACAAGCATAATGTAATGTTTTTCCTCCTTTTTTCTTGCACTCAGGTGATGAGAGAGTGGGAGGAGGCTGAGAGGGAAGCTAAGAACCTGCCACGTGCTGACAAGAAGGCTGTCATCCAGGTATGACATGCACATACTGGACATAATTCGCAAAACCACCAGATGTTTCTGGCTGTCGTTTCATTAATCTGTACGTTGCGATTTGTGTGTGCATGCAGCGTTTCCAGGAGAAGGTTGAGGCGCTGGAGCAGGAGGCGGCTAGCGAGCGGCAGCAGCTGGTGGAGACCCACATGGCCCGGGTGGAGGCGCTGCTCAACGACCGCCGCCGCCTGGCTCTGGAGAGCTACCTGACAGCGCTGCAGCAGGACCCACCCAGGGTACGCAGTATACACAGTTAGAGCTCGATGCAGATGGTTGTCAGAGTTTAATGATCAAAAGTCATTTGCCCTGTGATTTACAGTAGTGTTTTAAATGTCATTTTCTTTAAAAGCTTACTGTTATCCTGCCATTTCCCACCTTCTCGTTGTTGCTTTTAAGATTCTCGACTATTCATCAATATATTTCTTCTTCTGATTTTATTTGAAGTGAGATATTTTCATCAATCTGACCTGCTGAAAAACATAAATAACTTCTGTTCTCCTGTTGGTGTTCTTTTTTTGTTAGTTTTTTTTGTAAGCTTTGCTTCTTTGTCACTATAAATGCATATAACAAATGGAGCCCTTTATACAGTATACCGATATGCTGTGTAAAATCAGAAACATATACTGGATTGCAATCTAGGAAAAAAATTGACTCACACATAAAAGCGTTTAATTAATGTCTGAGGTTTGAAAAATAATACATTTGTGAAATTAACTTCATCTTCTGAAGAAAACTGGAGGGGAAAAAAACAATGTCACTGACTGATTTCAAGGTTTGGATCAACGTCATGTTTTAGCTTCCGTTTGATTTTGATTGCCCATGCTGAGGTTAGTTTTCTGATCTGGGCTGTATATGAATATATCACCCTGCGACTCCCTCTGCTCTAAACCATCAGTCTTGTTCTTGTTGTCTTTTGTAGCCTCGCCATGTCTTCAGCCTGCTGAAGAAGTACGTGCGCGCTGAGCAGAAAGACAGGCAGCACACCCTCAAACACTTTGAACACGTCCGCATGGTGGACCCCAAGAAGGCTGCGCAGATCAGACCTCAGGTAGCATCATACATACAATTAAATTTTTGCCCACTACTACTTACTAAAATTTTACTTGTAAAGTTATATAGCTGCTTTTACTAAATAAAGAAGCTATCTGTCGTTATATGTAAAAGGTACTGACCCACCTGCGTGTCATTGAGGAGCGTATGAACCAGTCCCTGGGACTTCTCTACAAAGTGCCCGGTGTGGCAGACGACATCCAGGACCAAGTTGGTGAGTTTGGCATTTCGACTCTTAAGACTTCATAATTGTTACATGGAAACAGTGTTGTTTCAGTGTTGTATAAGCCTTGACAGTATCCAGGCAACCATAAAATAACTATAGAAGTGCAGCTGAGAAAGATGGAAATCGTTTTTTCTCTGAGAGAGCAGTTAACAGGGAGAGAGACAGGGAAAAAAATGTCACAATGACATGAACCACATCTTGTAAACCTAAGTTGTAGATGTCTTTGCTGTCCCTGGCATGAGAGAGATATCGGGGAAGACACACTGTCCTGATTGTGCTTCATGTAACAGAGAGATTGAATGCTATAAATTCTAGCCCCCCAAAAAAGGAGCCATTTGGCCTAATTCTTCTGTTCAGAGTCAAATGAATCTGTTTGCTGGGAAGATAACATAACAACCCCCCCCACTGCAAGGTTTCTGTGGGTTTTGGGTTTATTGGAGTTGCATGCGTCACACTGCCATCTGTGTCTCTGTCTCGGAGACTGTCACAGTCTGTGCTGCCCGGCAACACACACACACACACACACACACACACACACACACACACACACACACACACACACACACACACACACACACACACACACACACACACACAGGGGAACAAACATACACACACACACACACAGGGGAACAAACATACATACATACAAGAAAAAGCACTGTTTAGTCATTGCTAGGCACCAGGTCTTTTTTTAAAGACTGAGCTGAACATTTCATGGATTTCAAGCAGAAATATAAATATTATTCTTTCTTTTATCATCAGCAGTATTTTCATCATAGAGAGGATTTTATGTTGAAAGCAACTGAAAACAATAAGATACAAAAAGTCTGATTTAAAAAAAATAGGATGAATAACATGAAAGTCCTTGCTTTCCTCTTTCCACTTCTGTTACTCATCTGTCCTCCCATCCTCTCGTCTCCTCTGACCTCTCTCCCTCCTGTCTTCTCATTGTGTGCATCCAGAGCTTCTTCAGCGAGAGCAGGCAGATATGGCCCAGCAGCTGGCCAACCTGCAGACGGACGTGAGGATGAGCTACGGCAACGACGCCCTGATGCCCGACCAGGAACTGGGAGACGGCCAGACTGACCTGTTGCCCCAGGAAGACACACTGGGCCTCGGGGGAGTCGGCTTCATCCACCCCGAGAGCTTCAACCAGCCCAACACTGAGAACCAGGGTACTTACTGAAGCGCTGGGTTGTTGGTTACATTTCCCTACATTTTGGTTGCTTCAAAATTGATAGAAATGACACCCGTAAATGATATAAAGCAATATGTAGTCCACTCTTGACTTTGCTACAAAGTTATATGAAAATGAAATTGCTTTCTCTCTCTAGTTGAGCCAGTGGACTCTCGCCCCAATCTTGACAGAGGAATTCCCACACGGCCAGGTTGGTGTGGTTGTTGAGAAAGCTTTCTAAAGTATTTATATGTATATAGAAAATCAGATGCGTAGGGTTTAAGGCCTGCAGATAATATGCTGTTAGCTTTGCCAAACCTTACCCACCAGGTTGGCAAAACTGTGCACTTACTTATGCTCTGGTGGCAATAATACTAGTAGGGCCTATTGTTTCGCTTTGGTGGCCAAATATGAGCCATTTGATAGTAATAGTTGCAATCAGCTGATTAAAGTATAAAAGTACAGTAAGACTCAACTCTATGATCCTGATGTTGGTAAATGTACATGTACTGCTTTTTTAATAAGTCTCTTTATAATGAAATTATAAGTCGCACCTACGCGCTTTATTAATAAATCAATTCACTGCTTTATAGATCAGTTATAAGCCATACATAAGAACTTTTGAGTTACTGGGTTGTAAAAAAAAAAACATGATGACTTACTTAAAGTGAGAAATGAATTAGCATTTATTAATTGGAACAGGTGTGACTATTAATTTCCCTTTTACTTGTGACTTATTAGCATTCATTGAGGACTTACCAGCAAAAGGAGTTTGGCAGCCCAAAAGTTGCTCTTAATAATGGAGCATTAGCAAATTATTTATTCCATAACCCTTAATAAAGCCATTGTTAACTTATAAACCTTAAATAAAATGTGTCCTATTAGACATGCGTACCAAAATATGTAGTTTCATATCAGTGCTTTCATTGTAAGGAAATGCATCTGTTGTAAACTACTATGTTGTATGTCATGGCAAAAGTAGCATGTCTACTTCAACACTGATTGGCTTTGTTAAAGTATCTTCCAGGCTAAGTAAGGTCCCCTCTTAAAATACATCACACGATTGTTTTGAAGTAGAGATTTGAAGCAAAGTCAGGGTTGCATTTTTCCTCTACCTCTCCTTCTCGATGCTGTTATTTGCACACAGCAAGGTCAAACTCCGCTTGAACTCCATTAAGGCGCCAGCTGTGGTTGTTGAGATTTGTGATGCAGCTGCAGGGGGCTTTGCATACTGTACTGTATGCAGTGCCATGGACGTGCTATATTCAATTCATACTCCTGTTACATCCCGACACTCCGCTGTCCGTCCTGCTTGAGCGAGTTAGTTTGATCTCAGCGTGTGTGTGTGTGTGTGTGTGTGTGTGTGTGAGAGAGAGAAAGCGGCTGAGTGTCACCATCCATAATAGATAGTACTTCTGCTTCCCTCGCCAGTGACTGGAATGAAGATGGAAGCTATTCCTGCGCTGCGAATGGAGACGGAGGACAGGCAGAGCACTGAATATGAAGTTCACCACCAGAAACTGGTAAACCAACCCACACACACAAAGCATCTCACTCTGACACATGCAACACAGATATTCAGATTTATTAAAAATGCAGTTAATATACATAGAGACACAAACATGCACACACACTCTAAGATGCATTTGCTGACACATGCAAGCCTGCACTCTGCCCTCTCTTCTCCGCCTACGCACACACAGTCGGGTCCATGTCTCCACTTTGTCCTCGTGGTAAACTCACAAGGTTGTCACCATGGAGACAGGTGTCCATGGAGACTGCGGCGATAATGCGTGCGTCACGCTCGCCTGCTCTTCTCTAAAACCCGCTGTCCTCTGATCAGAGTAAAGTTTTGTGCTGTAAGTATTTTCCTGGTCAGCCACAGGTTATTGTACTAAACCTCATAGGGCTGTAACCCAGTTCTGCATTCATTCATTAATCTCATACAGTCGTGTAATACCAGCACAAAAACCTCAATCCATCCTCAGTCAAATCCAAATCCGTGCACCTTATTCCTCTCACCTAAAGGCTTTAATCTCTTAATCCCTACATTTTATTACATATCACATTTCTTGCATTCACAATGAGCAGCCAGTGTATCGTGCTGCCTCCTTAACTCAACTCCTTAATTTGATATTCATGGTAACCCCAATCAGCGTTCTGTAGGATTAATCTGGAGAAGTCTCCACTCAACTTGCAGTGCTTGTGCCAAGCAGGGGCAGCAGCGCTGAGATGTCAAGATGTATCCCTGTTAGATTATCTGCAGTTTAGGGGTGTTTTTGGAAGTTTGTGCCAGTCGACTAGGTTTCTGTCCCATTTTCCCAGGCGGTGATATCAGGAGCTCTTTCCCTCCATTCAGAGGACACCATTTGATTTCTATTTAATTTTGTTTGGTGTGAAAAATGAGTTTCCACAGATATAATCCGCGACCGAGGTGCTGAAGCCTTCATTTGGTTGTTGTGAAATGTGGTTAATCATGTGTCCCAGTATTGTGTTGTGATGGAGCTGAGTCATACTGCATCATTGCTGCTTTATGTTGTGCTCTGTTGTCTGTCAAATTAAAGTCTCCACCAGGAAAATTATCCCTCAAAAACAAGTCACCTTACAGCTGTAATATTATTTTCAAGGTAAATTTGATGCTGTAATGATGCTATTCTTAAAAATTACAAAAACAGGTTACATGTTAGAAAATGTAATTACACACAGCACTGCAAAACAATTTGGGTTAACGAAAAAAATGGAAAGAAACGGAAGTAAATGGGCTGTAACTCTGAATGTCACCAGTGTTAAGTGCTATTCCCACACATCTGAATAAAGGTAGTGTTGGATTGGATCCTTGAGAGAAGTGACATCAGACCATTTTATAAGCACATTTAGCTCTCAGCCCTGCTGTGCTGAAAACCACACTAATTACTCACTGTGTGCTTGTGACACCATCATTTCACTGCTACACAATGAGAGAAAGAAGCTTACTGTAAAGAAAGTCCTTGATGTACCACATCTCTGCTCTGACTACATAAAAATCATCACACTGGTTGTGATTGGCTGTTGCCTTGTGAGTGACCACTATCTGCCCTTATACTCCCCCGGCAGGTCTTCTTCGCAGAGGATGTGGGCTCCAACAAGGGTGCCATCATCGGCCTGATGGTTGGCGGTGTCGTCATAGCGACCGTGATCGTCATCACCTTGGTGATGCTGAGGAAGAAGCAGTACACCTCCATCCACCACGGAGTCATCGAGGTGAGAGACAGCTGACCTGTGTGTGTGTGTGTGTGTGTGTGTGTGTGTGTGTGTGTGCGCGCACAAGCTGTTCTATAGGTCAGTCTGGTGTGGGTGGGTGGGTGTGTGGGTGGGTGTGTGGGTGTGTGTGTTGGGGGGCGATGCTGTGTACATGCATGTGTGTTTTTCACTATAGCTCTTGAATTTGTGCATGTATATCTATACATGTCAGTGTGTGTATGTGTTGTTATTGGTACTGTACACGCTGCAAAACATTTTTTTGAATTATATCTGCTTAATAAATATAATGCCCGTTACTAATTAATTTCCTGCTTTCCATTTTCTGTTTTCCTCATTTATCATTTCAGAACTTTTATTACCTGATTAATTAAACAACATTAAAATACAGTAGTTGTGGCAGCCTTCTTTCTTTATTTTATACTTCCAGGAAACACTAAATGTACATTGTCTTTACATTTGTACACACCATATGAGTGTGTGTGTGTCTAACCTCCCCCCACTCTCTCTGGCTCGCCTCCAGGTGGACGCCGCCGTCACCCCTGAAGAGCGCCACCTGTCCAAGATGCAGCAGAACGGTTATGAGAACCCAACCTACAAGTTCTTTGAGCAGATGCAGAACTGAAGAGAATGTCACATGTACATCACACACACACACATACACACACCTCCTTTCACACATCAAGCACCTCCCCTCCCCTTCCTCCCACCCCCTCTACCCAGACAAGTCCCACGCCTCCCAGAGGGAGTGTGGCTTACATCAACGCGTGACTGAAATAGTCAGTTACAAGCATACGGGAGCGACGGCAGCCAGGGTTTGCTTTCACGTTTGACTGTGCGGGAGCTGCGGCCGAGCCAGTTTGCACCAAGTTCGTTCACTTTATCAGGGCAAAGACGCCTTTTTTAAGTTAAAGAAGGGCATTTTTTCAATGTTGCTCCATCTGGGCCTGCTGATGTATGGGGTGGGGGGAAAGGCCCCGCCCAGTACATTGAAACAAACCCACTCCTTGGGGGAAAGAAGCGCGTTCTCTCCACACTGATTCAGGGCCAGTGTATAGTTGGGGTATTTTGGCTTGGGATGGTGTGTTTGTGTGTGTGTGTAGGCAAATCTGACCACTGATCAGCAGGATTTTAGGCGCACACTGACCTGGGCCTCATTTACAAATATCAGTTGCATACAGAATCATCATAATCATTAACATGGACATGTTGATTTGTTTCTATCATATTCTTTGTAACGATTCTAAAATGAAATATAGGTTTAATAAAGCAACTTGATTTTTATAAATGAAGCCCAGTGTTTTTTCCCCACGAACTGCACCACTACTGCACTCACTCTACAGTCTACACTGGAGTAAATGTGAGCCTCCTCTCCCTCCCCTCCTTCTCCTCCACCCCTCCCTCCATCCTCTTTTCTTTGCGCATTCTTACGACAGCTGGGCTGTGCTAAGTCACACAAGGCTCTTAAAGATATTTGGAGATGCTGATGATAATGAACATGTTGACGACGGTGGCGATTATGTATTCTGAATGAGCTGTTTTTCTTTTTAGAGTTTTTCTTTTTCATTTTCCAGTTTTGTTTTTCAAAAAATAAATGAAAACGGAGGAAAAAAAAACAGAAGTCAACAAATGTAAAGTCCTTTTTTTAAATTGCGTGTAATGTTACTGAAGTAATGCTGAAGTCTTAGCTGTTCCTATGTAGTGCATGACAACAATGACAACACGATTTGGAAAAACAAACTCAGACAAACAAAAAAAGGTCTTAACGCTGCTCTTTCTCGAGATCCTTTCTCACGTATAGATTGTCATTCTAGCAAGATTGTACATTTAGTATCTTCTCGTGATCACGTGAATTCAAACAATGATGAAAAATATATATATAAATCTAGATGACCGGGCTCTGCTTTGATATCATGTAAAATACACATTTAAAAGAGATCTGTGATTTTGGAATTTAAGTGTGTTCCTCATATCTTTTTTTTTTTTTTTTTTTTTTTTTTTTCTCAATTTCTTTTTTAAACCATGCTATGTTCCTGAAGCGACAGGAGAGTGGCTGGCTTCATCTCTGTTGGTATATAATTCTCAGTCACTGAAATATATTGTGTTGAAATTCCTTACGCGTAGGGAGGGGCTCTCAGAAATCATCCTCTTTAATTTGTGCTTTTTTGTTCACTCCATGTGACCGTGTTTTTTTGAAAAGGGCATGTTGTGGGTGTGAAGGTTACAGGGAGCAGGAAGGGGAGCGGGAAAATAGGCGGAATCCGGCATGGGGGGGATAGGCTATATCTTGCGTGTATGTGTTTTGTCATTTTCAGTCTGGTGTTTCGTCCAGTTGTAAGCAGACGCCGTCTCTTATTTGGTTTTGTAATCATTTTGTGTCTGCTGATAGAACAGGTGGAGTGCTGAGAGGTGGAGGAGGAGGAGGTAGAGAGGAAATGACTTCAGTTCCGGATGGCTAGCCAGCCAGGGAAGCAGTCTGTGTATATATAATGGATTTTCACCCCCACCCCAGCACTTGCCTTCCCCTCCCTCCTTCGCCTTCCTCTCCCCTCAGGCATGCTGCTCACCTCTCTGCCATCAACGCACACTTGACTCCTCAGAGGCAGAGCACTGTAGTCTGTATATAGATGATAGAGGCGTACACCATTGAGAGAGCTGAGAGCGAGTCGGGGGTTGGGGGTTGAAAGCATTAGTCCAAGGGAAGTTCTAGCAAAAAAAACAGTGTGACCTCTCACTCTGTTATTCAATCTAGCGGCGAGTAACATCTGTGAGGAAATGGTGAATGACATGTATGTATGGAGGCTGCAGTGGGGTGGGGTTCAGAGGGTGCTCATTAGAAGCCCAACAGAGGGCAGTAGAGTAGAAGAGGAAGCAGGATTTTCTTTCTATCTTTTTGTTTTTCTGTGGATTATATATTGTTTTTTGTTTTCCACTGTGTAATATTGTGCAGGCCATTTGCATTGACTGGGAAAACGCTTTCTACACTGTATTCCATAATAAAGTTTTGAATGTACATACAGATGCTGTCTTTTGTGTGTTTTCTGAAAACTACAATTAGAATAGAATATTCTACACACATTCTACAGTGTAGTAGTCTTATTTATTTTGTTTCTCCGCAGTTGAGCATATTTTATTTCTGTATTTCCTTCTCAATTGCTTTAGTCAGCTGAACTGGATGAAAGTGGCCTTTATCATTTCAGGCCTACTGCTCCCACTAGGTTTGGCTCTTGTCTTGGAGCACCCTCTCCTCCACTACTCGCTTCAGAACATGACTTTCTTTTTCTTTCCTGCTGTCTCAGGAGGAGAAAATGAAATATATCTTTTTTTTAAACTCTTCAACCACATTCCCTGAGACCTGGGGATGGGGGGCACAAACTCCACACAGACAGACACCACAGAGAAGTGTGTGTGTGTGTGTGTGTGTGTGTGTGTGCCTGTCGCAGAATGTAGTTGACAGCCCCCCAGCCCAGCCAGTTGCCACCTCATGCCACAAGCGCAGGCAAAACCCCCAGTAAACCCAAGGCCGGTCAAGACACCAAACGGGGGCCCAGCCCTGGTTTGGTCCCCCTCAGGATGAAGTTTAGAGCTAATTAGGTTATTGTCGACTTGCGTAAATTCAAAGTGTGAAGATTGAATTAACACTATGGTGTTTACTAATACCTTTTTATAGCTCACACTTCTGTATTAACTTTAAAATAGATGCTTTTTAGGGTACTTTATCTAACAACCAAACACCCCCTCTACTCCACCCCCCTTAGAACAGTCTAGACTCCCCCTTGTATAAATCAAATGCAGGCTGCAGGTGGGATTTGAACCTTAGACACTGCACCACTGGCGCCTTACAGTCACTGTCAAACCGGCCACACCACTGAGTTCCCTTCGCATCTGAACCTTTTCTCCGGGCATTCACTGAGCCTCGATAAGGGTCAAACCCATAACCTCTGAACCTCTAAGCAGTACTCTACCAGCCTGCGCCACTGGACCCGACACCTTTATTTTTTTAGAGCTCTTGACCTTTTCTTCTGGGAGTTGCTTCAAAAGTTGTCAGGCCTTGATATGGATTGAACCCACAACCTCTGAACCACAAAGCAGTCCTCCAGCACCCTAAGATAGCGGACCAGACATGTTACTTCTATTTGTTAAAGCTCTTAACTTTGTCTTTTAGGAGTTGCTTCAAAACTCATAGGACCTTGATACGGATTGAACCCACAACTTCAAAGTAGTCCTCTACCGGCCTGGACCACTACTCTGTTTCTGACAGCTCTTGACTTTTTCTTTTGGGAGCTGCTCGAAAACTCAGTGGCTCTTATAAAGGATTGTACGCCAACCTGTGAAAGTCTCTGCTCTAAAATCATTAAAACTTTTGGGGCAACTGGATTTGAGAACAGGAAACCTGAACAGCTGTGAGGGAACCTGCTGATACTCTAACTCTCATTATTCTAAAACAATTACACTTTTTTAACAAAAAAATATTTAAGAGAGCCATGCCAATTTATAAAAATATCAATAGATCTAATGCATTGCTAATTTGATGGTTTTATAAGTCATTTAACAGAAAGTGGCCCATTTTAGCTGACTCAATTCTGGTGTGTATAAATTGTTGAATTAACTGGCCCACTGCAAGAAAACCCCACTCTCACAGGTCACCACTTTCCTGGGCATCCCTTAACGCATTATGACTGAGATACTGGCCTGACCTTCTGTATTAAATTTCTAACTCTTGGTTCAGGAAGTTTCCTAGTCAACGCCTTTCTTCCTCTCACTGGCAAGTTTCAGAGAGTGGGGTACTGAACATAATCTGGAATGATTTCCTTTAACAAAATGCTGCCAGTTTGCTGTTTATCTGTAATGAGGTGTGCAGGTGTAGGCGGTGTGGCTGTTAAAGTAAAAGAATACTAACTTACCAGTCCAGAAGTGGAGGAAAAAAACATAGACAAAATTAGCATTTCTTCTCTTAGGTTAGGTTAATAGTGGCTTCTTTCCTCATTAAAATGATTATCTTGAAGTAATCATGGAATGCATAGGAGACATACTTACAGAAGACAAAGAAGTCTTAAAGTTTACTAAAAATTTACTTTAAAAAAACATAAACTTTAGAAGGAAAACTCCTGACCTTCCCATCTTTATCACACCTTTTTTCACTACTCCCCTCATGTGCACTAGATACACACATGAGTTGTCAGGGAAGCTTTATCTTTTGGTTTAATTTACAGCAAAAGAGTGGACCTCAGCTTCCTCTTTACTGGAAACTAGCATTATTTTGAGACTTGCATGTCTAATCATACACAGACAAAGGTCTCTAGAGGCAAAGATAAGGTCAGGCACAAGAGATGCAGAGATATAGGACTTATTAAAGAAATAAAGACAGTATCTCAAATTAAACATCTTTCTTACTTATAAAATGTTGTACTTTTGTAATAAGAGCTAAGCAGTTAACGATTATCACTCTTAAAGCAAATCATTTTATTATATGGCTTGTATATATGCAGACAGTAAAGCTGTTTCTATGAAGGATCCCCAAGAACCAGAACCAGTTGCTCCCAGTGTTGTTTTCTTCACATTTATCTCACTCTCACAACACCCTCTCTTTGCATTTTTGAAGAAAGTTAAAGAAACCAGATCAAATCTGATGTCAAATTCAGAAATCTCAGATTTTAGTGGGACATTAAAAAGTATTATGATGACATATTTTTTCAAGAAATATGATTTGTAAAAAAAAAAATCAGTCCCTTTTCCTCAACATAACAAACATCTTAATAGAAAAATTAAGTGCTAAAGGAAACTAATATTGTGATAATTATCATTATTGTTTTATTGCCTAGCCCTAAATACAAGCAATGTTATCTTATGAGATGATTCTTGAAAGGGTGAAAATAAAGAAATAAAAATGATTAATAATCAAGAAATGAGTTCTCTTGTTATATTTTCTGTCAAAGTGAAACATTAGGATACTGAATTAAGGCTCATTTTGTTTTTCATGTTTGTGGATACACAACAATATATTTACATATACGTACATAATGTATATGTTCAATAATTGACATTTATTCATGCCATGTGAGGTCAACCTAAATATGCGCAGCGCTGCGCATAAAAAGGGACAAGTTTGATGTCCGCGAACGCCTGATTTTCACCACAACACTCCCACAATCCACCGCGGTCCTCCACATTTGGATCTTCAACTTTAAGTGTCAAATCCAAGGTGAGTAACTTCCTGAGAATTAAAAGGGATGCTTTTGCAAACATCTACCTTCACCTTATTTGTCATTACTGATAAACGCAAGTTCATTTATGTTGTGAGTGTGACGTTATCGTCACTTACTGTAGCACGAAAAGACTACAGAGGACGTTGTAAGAAGGCTCTGTCGCGTCAGCTAAAGCTAGCATAGCATATTAGCCTTGTAAAACGTCGTTGTGACATTACCAATGTAAGTCGACGATCAGGTTAGCATTTCGGAAGTCGCTTATGATGTTGTACCTGTTTACTGTGTGACTTGGCTAACTCAGTGTTATTTAGAGAAGTATGAGCTGCAGGGGACTGCAGCTAACTTTAAACTGAGCTAACGTTAGCGCTATCGCAGCTAACTAACGTGAACCAGAATCGCAGCCTGTCGTGCTGTTGCCAACATAAGTTAACCCGAGGCTTCCTGCTCTTTCAGATGGCACTGCACCGCTTATTCCAGCTGTCCTCCGTGCTGCGCTCCGCCGTGAGCCTGACCCTGCGCCGGAACATCGGCATGTCCGCTGTCCTCTTCAACCGGGCCAAGGATCTCGACCCCGTCCAGAAACTGTTCCTTGACAAGATCCGCGACTACAAAGCCAAGAGCAAGTCAGTTGATTATACACAACTCCTGTAATATCACTACTGTGTCCATGCAAGATATTTGGAATCAAGTAGGTTTCCAGCTCAGAGTTCAGTCACTGGTGAAATCTTAACTTTCAATGCCTAAGTCATAGTGAACAGCTTTTGGCTTCTTTAGCCCACTATTTCATTTCAATCCTTCCTGTTTATGTTGTATTCAAATGGAATCACCTCCACTCATCACTTGAACATTATTTGATGCCTTGGCTCTCCCAGAACTTCAGGTGGTATTGTGGAAGCAGGACCCGAATACCAGAAGAACCTGTCTGATGAGGTTACCAAACTGCAGAGGCTATATGGTGGAGGAGACCTCAACAAGTTCCCTGATTTCAAATTCTCAGGTTAGTTTCGCCTTAGTTGGTCTCCTGCCCTAATTAATTTAAAAAACCTAATAAATAGGGGTGTGACAATAGGTCTTTGGTTCACGAAAGATATCTGAACACTATTGACATTCAATGACAATGATTTAAAAGTGGCGGGGGCATCGCCTATGCTAATTTCTTGTGGCATGAGATCTTGTCACACCCTTACTAATAAATTGTGTTGTTTATAAGAGGTTGAAATAAATGGAAATTGCAGCTCCATTTATTTAGACAGGGTTTATTTTCCTAATCACTACTTAGGAAAAAATAGTTGTCAATGTTATTTCTTGATTTGGTCCAAGCTGATTGCATTCACTTTGATCAGCTACAGTTCTGGTGCTTACAATGGCAGCTGTGTTTTTTTTTTTTTTCCTCTTTACTTTCACAGAACCGTCTCCCTCAAATATTGATTCCTTTGCCGTTGGAGCGATGCATTGTGATTTGGGGCTCCGTCTGTATATAGTGACTCTTATCAAAGCCAGATGATTTTTCTCATTCTGTTTTGAAATCGGTTCAGGAAGCTTTTCATTTTAGTTACATCAAGCTAGTTGGTACATATTGCTATAGTCTTGTCTAGATTTCAAATCTAATCAAGTATTGTAACGCACAGCTGCAGTATGTCTGTCACTAATAGTTCTATATTTAATTTTTTTCCAGAGCCCAAGTTTGATGAAGGAGCCAAGTGAATGCTGTCCATGTTGTATATCTCCTACATGTCACCAATATGTTCTATTTAATAAAAGATAGTGGATTGAACCATGGTGCACTGGTCGTCTTTACGCTGCCTCGGATGGTCACTACCTACTGTCACTACACTGTACAGTGGCTAAACAAAATAAAATATTCAGATGCCTTCTATCATTTTGTGATGCTAAATTGGAAAACATCAATATACTTAAATATAAATAACTGAATTCTTTATGATCAGTCCAAATATTTTAAACAAAGATTTCTGTCTTGAAAATCAGGTTGATCAATTAAGAGGTAAGTGATAGCGGTGTCTGCCAAAAATAGATTAGATTTCAGTGTGACGAATAAGATGGAACTTTGCTGAATTTGCATTGGAAGTGGCTGTAATTTATATGCAGATATCTGAAATTCATGGAGGACGTCAAATGCTGGCTGACCTAGTTGGAAATTGGCTGTCGCTCTAAATTGGTCTTGAGAGTGCTGTACTATAACGAGGTCAAACTCATTTAGGCCTCTCCAAAATGAATATTTGAAACCTAAAATAGTGTCAAAGGGTAAGATTCCATCTGACCTGATGCCTGGAGTTTTAGAGATTGTGCAGCTATGCTTTAACGTGGTGCTCAGAAAATGTACAAAGATGTAGCTCACAGATTTGCAGCTATGCAAGAAAGCATCCAGAAAACTCCTATAAATACACTGTGGCTGCACAGTGAGTTTGAGTGAAGGTTGGATTTTCTGTTTAAACTTTATTATACTATTTATTTTCATAGAAAAGATCTAATCAAATGATCCGGTGTTGGGTCAAATCCCATTTGTAGGAGACGAAGCATTTTATTTATTGCGTTCACTCTTAAAAATTGAACCGGGACTTAACTCTTGCCCCATGTGCACTGAGCTGAAGCCACCTGTCAACCTGTCTGATGCTACATGCCTGTCAGCGGGAGACACACGTGAAAGATTAATGTACAGTCTCGTTCGCTGAGCCACAGCACTTCAGTGTTTTACCCTGTGTGGAAATACAGAAGAGGCTTTCAGCATTATGAGATGATGCAGTTAGTTTCAGGATTAAGGCAAAAGCAATGCAGGAGGACACAAAACAACCGATAAACCAGCTTTAGTGATTCATCAGTTCTCCACATAATTCAAAAATCAGTCAGAAGGTTGATGCTGTAATTGCAGAGACAGAAGTAGTACACAGATCTTGCTAATTTTAATTACTTTATATATGATAGCTTGTGAATTGTGAAGTCTTATCTTCTAACCTATATTAATACACCATGTTGATTATATTTTGTATTAGTCTGAATATGCAAAGTAATAGTAACTAAACTTATCAAATGTAGTGGAGGTTAAGTATTAAGTAGTAGAAAATGTAAATACTTTACCACCACCTTGTAATTGTGATCACAATAATAAGAACTCCAAGTATAGTTTTGGATAGAAAAACGTTTTATTACTTATATACTATTCAAATAAAACTCTGAACAATCCTTTCACACACTGTCTAAAAACAGACACTCCATTTTGATAAACATTGATAAACTGTGGCACAAAAATATCAAGACAGAAAAAAGTAAGGCAAGTTCTTTCCAAAAAATTGTGATCCATAGATAAACATGACAGACAAATTAAAAAGGCACAAGGTGTATATATATGTATATATATATATATACACACGTATATATGTGTATAAAAAGACCATGCAGGCACATCAGGATGGAATGGGGTTGGTCTCAGTATAATTGGACTGGCTTGGTCTGGTTTCATGTTGTTACTAAGATCATGAGGAAGTAGTGTCACCGTGGCCCTTGGTAAGCTCCGGGCCCAAGTATTACAGAAGACAAAACATTGGCATGTGGCAGATGCTGAGGTAAACTGCATTTATGTTTAAAGGAGTTTGAAAATAATGCTTTCCAAAACTATGGCTTTAAGGAGAATTCCCTTGTGATGATTCGGTGTTTTAAAGCAAATAAATCCCGGTCTGTCTTTGGTAAAAAGAAAACAAAGGTAGTTAAAACGATTGGCCTGCAGAGGGGAGAAACAAAACGTGTTGAAAACTTTACTGGTCCCCTGGATCATTCAGAAAACATCAATTGGTATTTCAACATGTCACCACCAGGGGGGAGCAAAGTGCCATGAAAGGACTTATGTACCTACTGCAATAGGGACAGAAAATGTCAATGAAAGAGGCGACCCACACAGCAAAGCAAGAGAGTAAGAAGAAGCCTTGCAAATTTTGCTCGCCATAACCCATCCAAAAGGAGCGGCAGAGGAAGAAGACTGAAAGAGCAAGAGCTCATTCAGAGTCCAGAGAGAAAAGAAAAATCACAGAATCCAGTGTTGGCATCTTGTCACGAGGGCAGTGTGTTCTCAAAGGAAGGCCAGCTTCTCAGAGCATGAATGACTGGGTGTGTTTGAAATCCTGGGGCTGGGAAGACACAGACAAAGGATTTACGTATTGAACAGTTCTACATGCACTCATTTCAGAATTACGGCTCTCAGTGACGGTGTCTTGATTTCAATCAGCAACACTCATTAGGTTAAGTGTGAGCTGTTTGTGCTTAAGTCAGCGCTTCCCTCATGTTGCCGCTCAGTGCCCAACATGAGAGAGAGAGAGGAAGAGGAAGAGGAGGAGGAGGACGACGACGAGGACTAGGACAAAAACACTTACTTCTTGGGGCGAAGGGATGTAGTTGACATTGGACCTGAAAGACGAAGACATGGTAAGCACATTGGACAGTTTGACATAGTCATAAAGAAGAGTAGACACTCAAAGCGGACAGCCGTATCCTGAGTCATATCTTGCCCTGCTTAAATAATGCACATCATATGTGGCAAACCTCCGACTGGGCGAAAAGGAGAGTCTGACTGAACTCTCAGCGACTGAGCAGGATTGTATTAAACTGGAGAAAGAAATGTGTAAAGGATTTCAGTGTTTGTAACATTTGAACCTAAACAATCGTCGTCGCCATTATGGACATAAATACACACTGCCTGTTCATTAGGTCCACCTAGCTGAAAGTAATCTAAACAGTCCTGCAATAAATCTGACTTTCACAAGGGTTAGAATCAGTGTGTGGTGTTGATTTTGCATCATTCAAAGAGGTGCAGCTGTTATTTAGCTTGCCTTGCTGTGGACAAAACAGTAGAAACACCGGTCAGTCTAATTACAATTCAAAAGCCCCATGAACCACATCCTCCAAAAATGGCAAACACCTCTCTAACTGAACATTATAACCCTTCATGAAAGTGGGATTTATTGCATTTGTTTTAGCTAGGTGTACCTAATAAACTGGCAACTGACTGTACATGTAAACGTACACAAATGGTCCTCTGCTGGTTTGCTTACGGAAGCAAAAAGCTGTCACAATTGAAAATCTAATTGTAACTATTGAATACTTAAAGTAGTTGAACATTTTGATAAATAAATAAAAATATGCACGGGTTACTGTCCTGTCGAGCACCTGGCCAACAAACAGTTCAGTACATAACCCCTCTATAAAACCACATCTGTCAATTTTCACTTCTGTTTTTCAATGGATTAAACAAATAAGACATAGCGTGCTAATTAGTGAGCTTTAGGCTACATCCACACTACTACGTTTTCATTTTCAAACGAAGACCTTCTGCTACGTTTCCACCTCCTGTCTAGACTAAAACGGCAAATTCGAAGACCTAAAACAGAGAAGTTTGAAAAAGCTGCCGACCGTGTTTTCATTTTAGTGCGGACAGGCGAAAACGGAGGACTTTAAAAACGCAGACACTTATGTTTGGCTGATTGGGTCATGCAAAGCAAAAACACAATGCTACTAACAGTGTTTTGGTATATTTATTAAAAAATTTTGCACTGCGCACACTTTTACACTTGTAGCCTACTGTGCATGTCGCCGTGTTTACTTTGCAACAACTCCCAGTCTGTTTTCTGCCACCACAGTCAATTTGTACTCCCGTGTTCCACCTCATCGTCTGTCCAGGCAAAAAAATCTCTGGTGTTGTTCTTCATCTGTAGTAGTACTTTCGCCTTTTTCTAAATCTACTGCAACTGTGGCGTAGACAATCACCTTTGTGGTGGTGTGTTTTCAGGCGTTTTAATATAGATGGAGATCAACCCTGATACGCAGCTAAAACGCTGGTGTGGACGGAAATTGTGTTTGTTTTAATAAAAAAAAAGTAAAAAAAAAAAGAGGTGCTGGTAATCAAATTTCTTTTATCCTTGACAGAGCAAAGCTCGCCGTTTTCCCGTTTCCAGTTTTTATGCTACAGAAAGATCTAGCCTATGTAAGTAAAAAAAATCTGCTTACCAACACCTCTAAAGCTCAACAATAACACTTTATAATCCATTAAAATATGACAATTCATGGTTACAGGGGGTTTATGTATCCAACTATCTCTTGGCCAGGTGCAGGGATTTCCTTGAGTCTGATGAGACAGTAACCAGTAAAACATTCCTTTAAGTATTCAGTCAAAGTTACATTTCACCGTTAAAAATAAAGTTGCGTATAAGATTCAAATTATTATGGCTGTTAATAGCTTCCATATCTGTCTGTCGACCTAAGGGTCACACTCACGTGTCCTCAGTTCTGTGCAGGGTTTGGTTGCTTATGTGGGCTGCACCATGACACTGGGAGATCCAAAATGACCTGTAGGGGTCAGTGCGTTGGCTTTAAAAAGGATCAACAAGAGCGGGCGGGGGGGTCACTTCGGACTCACACTGCACACCATGCTTTTATGGAGTGGGGGGGGGTTATTAGTATGGAATATTAAATCATTCATAAAGGCGTGCTTGAAAATGCAGGTTTGTCACTGTAATCCTAATTACGATTCTAAATTTGTACATTCAGGCCATTGTTTGAGCATTTCTTTTTGTCTGAATATTTAGACTTCTGCCTGTAAACTGTGCAAGTTTGACAAGGCTAGAAGTGTAAATATTCAGACTCGAAAAAACAAACTTGCAAGCAATGACTGGTACAAATTCAATGTACAGATTACACAACTAGGCTTCCACTTACAAAACGCTATTTTCAAGCACACCTTTATGAATTATTTCATATTTCATAAATTAGCAGCAACGCTGTACTGACATGCAGCCAATCATGATGCAGTAAAACTGAACGAAACGCTGGAGTGAGCAGGTCAAGTGGTGAGCCAATCACATGCAGCAATCCAACACCCCAATAAGCAATGTCTAAATGCTGTGTGACTCTTTTCTACCGCCTCTCTTTCAGGTTTGTATTACATTGCTCAGTGTGTATCTGTGACTATGAGATCCATATGCAAATGTAATGTTTGATATTGCAATAAAAGGTCAGTAAAAGGATATTGTGTTGGCTGTATATGACCTAATCTCACGGAACTTCAGTTTCCACGACAAGCAACATATCCTACCATGCCATTACAGAACACTTTTTCATCTGTCTTTTCTTTGAAATAACTAATAACACGTGCATTTTTATGTAAACAGTTTTTAAATTTACACTGATTGTGAGGATTTTCTCTTATTGACCTCTGCTGTTTTGTGATGATATTGATACAAGATGACAAAAAGGAAAAAGTTGAAATGTTTCTTTAAATATCTGTCTGAAACACTAGCTACGGGAGCCACATATGTCGTTGAAATGTCTGAAGTAAAGTGAATTCAACAGGAGCTCTGTCAGAGATTTACTGCAATATTTAATGGACATTTGCAAATGGATGCTCTGCCTGTCGGCTAAGAGAATCCCATTATGGAAATCTTCAGTTGTATTTCAATCATGCATCACAGATCATTTGTTTCTCTTGGGGACTAACACTTCACCTTGAATTGATAACACAGCACAGTTGTCCATTCATATTTTATCTATCTTGAGGTGAAATTTCTGCCTTATTCTGCTGAGTCACCAGACAATAACACCCATTGTATCAAACTATGTTCTCTGCTGAAGGACAGACATGGCATTTTTCTCTAAAAGGCAGATATAAATCCTAGATCTGCATTCCTACTCCGCTAACTTGTGCCTAATATTGGTGCATCAGATATCCTGTCACATTGTCTTTGAGTCTTTGTGAAGAAGCCTGTTCTATAAATAGGAAGTTGACACTGACAGCTCCAGTTAGCTTGGTGGGATAAGCATCAGACTTTAACCTAGACAAAGAGCTTTCGCATCAGCTTCAAGGAGAGCTCCGCGATGACTCGCCATCAAACACAGTGCGGTAACGAGCCAGTAATCGAATAACAAAGTCAAGCAAGTTAGGCCAGTCACAAGAGGACGTGCATTTGTGTCTCTGTGGTTTCCAGCCAGTCAAGCGTCAAAACGTCCCTACACCCACTCTGGTGTGTTTGCGGGACAGGGCTGTTACTGTGTGTAAATACACTGCAATAAATGATCATCCCTCTGTTCCTCCACTGTCTCATTCTTCAATCACTTCAATATCTAAATAATCCATTTCAAATTACCCATCCAATCAGTTTAATTGCTTGCAATTCTTTCTAATGCCAATATTTTCCTCCTTGCTGATTAACAGACAGTGATTATTCCCTAATTATGTTGGACTGATTATTTCTCCTCCTTTAACTGTCTGCAATTTTAGATCATCTGTCTTGCTACATTTTCACATGATTTCAACAGATGTAGATCTGCCTAGAAGTGGCAATGAATTTAAAAAAACAAACAAAAGTTTTCCTATGGTTTCTACATCTGTGGGCACCAATCACTGGATGAGTAGAAACACAGCCGCAGCTGTCACTGTATACAGTCCTGACTCAGCACGCAGACACACAGTCTAAGTGCAATAACAACTCATTCATCCCCCCTCCCTCAATCCTCAGCATGTAGGGTATTAGCCTGTGTTTGTTCACATCAATGTTAATGCAATCACAGAGCTCTTACCTTCCTCTGTGTCCTGCTGATGGATGAGTCAGGATGACCATGGAGGAGAAATCAGAGTGAATGGGGGGGGGATAAAAAACAATATCTCAATTAACTGCTGCACTGTTCATGCAAGCAGACAAAGTGACTGAAGTGAAGACACTCACGGCTGAAGAAACCATTGCGGTGCAAGAGGAATCCCCCGCAGCCACAGACCACGATGACCAGGCAGACCACGACCACTGCTGCCACCACAGCCAGGACGTTGACATCCTCTGGAAGCGAGAGGGAGTGAAGACTGAGTTATGGCCTGTTTTCCAAAAGGTCTACAAACATCAGATCATAAACAGGAAGGCTGCATTTTAATCACTAATGATGAGGTGGGAATTGATAATTATGTTTTATATAGAGCTGATTGGACATCAAGAGGAGGAGGTGTGGCTACTTATGCTGATACAAATCTGGTCTCGGAGTGCGTCTCTCCTAATGTTGCGCCTACTAACTTTGAGTGCCTTTTTACTAATATCATCTTTCATGAGTTCAAACAGCTTACTATCGGAAATATTTATAGACCTCATTGGCACTTCTGGAATCACTTAAATAACATTCTTAACAAAAATGAAAACTTCTGTGAAACAAATATGCAAGGATAATGACATTTTATCTGATCCCTTGCATATAGCTCATGCCTTTAATCATCATTTTTCGTCTTTATGTAGTTCAAAATCTGTTTGCTCTGATGGTTTGGCATGGTCTTCTAATTCTTCCATGCCTGTTGGCTCTTTTTCATTTATAAAGATCATGCCTAACGATGTCTATAATGTATTACATGACTTTAAATTAAAGTGCAGTGCAGAACCAGATGATCTGGAAGCCAAGTTTATCAAAATTGCAGCTCACATATTGATGTTTCCTCTTGCAGATATTTTTAATCTATCATTAACTACCTGTACTGTGCCACAAATTTGGAAAGCTGCAAGAGTGACATCTCTTTTCAAAGGTGGAGACCAATCTAATGCGAACAATTATCACCCGGTTTTTATCATTTGTGCAGTTGCTAAAATATTTGAGAAATTAATTTTTAATCAACTAACTGAGTACATTAATAATTATAACATTTTATCAATCTGGCTTTAGATCCAATTTTTCTACTTCAACTGCTCTCTTAAAATTTACAAATGATGTCTTCTTGGGTTTTGGTAATGGTCATTTCATTGGTGCTGCTTTCATTGATCTCTCAAAGGCTTTTGATATGGCTGACCACTACCTTCTACTGGATAAGCTTTAATCTATTGGTTTGAATAAACATGCTGTGCTCTGGTTTAACGCCTATTTGCATAATAATAAACGTCTGTGTTGTTTACCAAGGATTCCAGTCAGATTATTTAATTGTTGATAAAGGTGTTCCTCAAGGCTCAACTTTAGGCCCCTTACTTTTCTCGATCTTTATCAATGACCTGGCACAAGTTTGTTCTCATTGTGATTTAGAGCTTTATGCTGATGACACTGTCATCTATACCTCTGACTGGGATTTGCTGCAAGTTGAAAGAACTCTTCAGTCTGACTTTGATAAAGTACAACAGTGGCTGTTCATTAATAAACCTCTGTTGAATACGAAGAAATCCTGCTGCATGGTGTTTTCCACAATACAAAATCGCCGTTGTGCTTCATGTTTTTAAAATATAGTTTTTAGATGGATCCCTTATGCAGAATGTGGAGGAATTTAAATATTTGGGCCTCTGGCTTGACTCCAACCTTACCTTTAAGATACACATTGACAATATCATTAGGAAAGTATATGGATGTCTTAACATTCTGTACAGATCAATCAAAAAAATTTTATTTCTCAACTGGTAATACCAATCATTGATTATGCAGACATAGTCTACACTAATACCTTTGAGTTCAATCTCAGACCCCTTAATGTTGTATTCAGTTCCCTTTGCAGATTTATATTGAACTGTCCATTTAAAACTCATCATTGTCTTATGTATGACTCACTAAACTGGCTGCAACCTAAACCATGAAGGGATTACCACTGGGTTCTGTTTATCTTTAAATGTGCTTATTTCAATTGTCCTGCATACCTTAAACAGCACTTAATACCTTATTGCTCGAAATACTCACTTAGATACCTCCAATGTCCAACATTTTTTACGGTACCAAGGTTATTTTCTGTAGCTGGTAGGAGAGCATTTCAATATAAGGCCCCTCAAGACTGGAATAACCGTCCTCTTTCCACATTTGGCTTATTCAAATTTTCACTTTTTTCTTTTCTTAAAACTACATGTTCTTGTTATTAGGGATACCAATGGTATTACATATAAATGGTTTATGTAGAAAATATATAGTAGTATGTATACAATCATGACTTTTTCTGTCTTCGTTTTCTTTATCTTGATTTCCTTAGGACATTTCTATGTGAGATGTGACGTTATCCTGCATGTTACATTTTGTCATAAGGCATATTGATAAATGACACATTAGTTTTTTAATACACTCGGCTGATTATTTGTCAATATACTTTAATATGTGTGCTATGTTAATCGTGAGGGTAAGGGCAGGTGAGCGAGTTATTGTTTTGTATATATGTCTGTGTTTGTATTGTGTTTATGTTTTTGTATATGTACTGTGTGGTTAACTTTTTTGTCTGTATATACATATATGCCGCAAGACCTCCTTGAAAATGAGATGATACATCTCAAGGGGTTATCCTGAAATAAATTCAATTCAATGCACCTCCGTCTAATGCCTTTCCCTGTAATCCAATAATATTTCTTGTAGTGTATTAAGTGGATAAAATGGTTGCTTGCATTTAACCTAGAGTACATTATATAATTTATTAGCAAGCAGAAGACCTTCCCACACAAAACAGCGTAACTCATGTCATTTGCCCTTCAAATTTAAGCTAGTCTGTAAAGGTGTTTAAGATTTCATAAGCAGGGTAAAATAAGTGTAGTGGGCTTTTCCTCTCCACTGCATCCCTGATTTTATCCAGTGTTGAAAGTTGTGGGCGAAGAGGCAGGATGAAGTGTGGAAAAACACACACACCTATTGTCATGTGCTTGCCCTTGCACGTCTTTGGCGGTCCCACTCCGTTCGAAGCTAGGCAGCTGTAGTGGCCGGTGTCCTCTTTGGCTACAGCTTTAAACTCCTGTAGAAGAGACGGTTGTTTCGATAAGACATGATACTTCAAGGAGACATTATAAATTATCTCTTAATAAACACTCCATCCTTGTCCTTCTTATCTGCGGACACACACACTCACCAGTATTCCTGTTTGTGAGTTGATTACATAGGAGGCATTGGTGAGGCGGGGCGGGATGATCCGCTGGCTGTCCTTGAACCAGGAGTATGTAGCAGGCGGGATGCTCTGCTGGTCCCTACAGCGCAGCTTTACCACTGAGCCCGTCACTGCAGCACTGGGTATTTCGCAGGACGGGGTCTGTGGGGGCACTAGAGGACAGGAATTACAGAAACTTAAGCAAGACCTGGAAAAACAAGCAAATCTAAGAAACTTTCTTCATAAAAAAAATTATATTCTCTTTCAGCCACACCCAGGACTTTGAGAGTGATGTTGGTCTCGCCCAGGATGACGGAGTCAAGTGGAGCACTGATCTCACAACGGTACTCCCCAGCGTCCTCCTGGGTCACCCTTTGCAGCATCACTGTGGCCCCATCAATGGTCGCCCGGCCCTCAAAGGGAGCTGAGGGAAAGGACAGAAGATCAGGAAGAAGAAATGTCTTCACTGGCTGCGGGCTAAAGCCACTATGTGCATGTTTTAATCCATAATTTACATTGCTGCTACATAAATATGAGACATTACATTCAGAGCAGAGTGGAGCATTTAGCAGTACAGAGCCAGATATTTCCCTTGAGTTTATTTCTCATTTTCAAATGGGCCCAAGGTGTACCGAGATCAACCGGTCCCCCTATAGCCAAACAGCAAAGGGTTGCTTTTCCGTCCATTCTTTCATACACAAGACGAGAATGTAATGGAGGGACTGTCATGCGGGAGGTCATTCATACTTCCAGTTCGTTGCTACAGTCATCCATCTGCCTTGAGTCATCTTAACAGTAGCTTTCTGTTTCTCTGAGGGCCCTACACCCATTTCTAAGTAAAAGGCAGTTGCTAAGATAATGTGTGGAGGAGGAAAATCAGACAGTGTTTACCCTGTCTGGCACTTTTAACATAAAACAAGAGAAGTAAAGAAAAGGTTAAGCAGTTTAAGATCAAATTTCCAGAAGTGAAAGTAGCACAGGTTATGTTAGCTGGGTTTTAACCAAGGTCAGAATTTAATCTGGACTGATTATGAACCTCTAATAAGTTAACTTGTTTACAATTAGACCATCATGCTTGCATTCTGTGTTCTTCCAACGAGTCGTCAAAAAATTTTTCATCTTTAGAGGGAAACATTGAAGTTATTAAGTTTTCATGGCACTATAACAACAACTTGATTAGCTTCATGTTTGTTTGGTTTGGAAGAGTCCATGGAGGTTCAATAACCAATTGGGCAAAATGGGCAACTGCCCCACAGCCCCTAACCTCAAGGGACTCAAGAAGCCCCACTATGCACTGCAGATGAATAGAACCTTTAAGGCTACAGGGTACATTTACAGCTAATCTGTTGCCCTAGGCAGAGTAGGTTTCAGAGGCGTGACCTTTCATTAATTTACAAGATACTTGTTGCCAACAGCTCTTTAAGAGAAATCACCTGACATTGTGAAAGCAGTAACTCTTTATTCAGGCCTTTGTGAAGTGGAGCTGCCGATAAAGATGCGGCGGTGGGTCAGAGGCATCTCAACACCCAGACATTTTAGAAAATTGTCAGGCTAACTGCGTCGTCTATAAAAAGAGACTGACCTGGTGGGAGCTACAGTATGATTTATTATTTATTTCACACATTAAATCCACATCCTAAACCACAAAGGAGAGGGATCATGAGTAAGAGGCAGTTTCAGATTTTATGTCTTTACACCACTGACAGGCAATAATATCTAACAGTTTATCCATCATTCCTGGCTCACTGGGTGGTGTTTTTTCTCATCTTGTGTGGCAAACCCCATCAAGCTGGTACTGCAAGCCGATTAAGACAAATTGTCACCAAGGGCATAAAGAGCAACAGGCTGCTTTCTCACCTTTGAACTGTCCTTCATAGTACACGAAGGACACACCTTTCCCCTTCTTCTTCCACTCGATGCGTGGGCTCTGGTCTATCTCTGTGTGGAACACGCAGGACAGCATCGCATCTGAAAAAGGGAACGCAGCCAATGAGATATTTATGGCAGAATAGCAAAGCCTTCAATCTGTGGCATTTTTAACTGCTTGGTCTATTTATAGCCTTATGGGTTATTCTGGCAGAGAGAATCTGATAAAGCAGCAACTTCTTGAGAGTAAAAATGACTCCAATGTGAGATGGGCTGCATTTTCTGCCTCACCTGAGAACTCGCGCACCTCCACTTTGTGACTTTTGGTCGACACGGTAACAGGAATGGAGGGGGAACCTGGTGGTGGTGAAGTAGGAGAGGGGAGGGAGAGTAGGAGATAAAAAAGAGGGGTGAGAACGGTTCAGAACGCAATATCGCTTGTCATCCATTAGGGGGCAAGGTGAATTGGGTAAAGTGCTCCCCATTGCCCGCCAACTGCAAGAGGAGAATGCTTAATAGCTGTCTTTGGTCTCTCCTGCTCTACTGTCTGGAGGCACACACAGCAGAGTCATCCTCCAGGAGATCTGAGGATTACTCCCTCCTCCGCTTTAATCCTGCGGGGTTAAGGAGCAGTCCGCCGTATGTTTATCTAAGCGCAGGTCAGAACAAGGTTACCAAACATCTCAAGGCTTGTCCAGATTAACCTGATGTATAGGGGGCATTAGGAAGAGGCGTGTGGCACAGTGTCTGTGTTTGTTTCCCCCCTGCCGTCTGTGTGTCACTGACACCCGACATCCAAACAGGAAGAGGAAGCTGGAGCTGCCTTTCCTGTGTGCTGATTGGTTTACAGGGAGGATTATAATTTGGTTGTCCTGTTGTTAAATACATGTTCTATTTGGGTGAAGGTTACATAAAGGAGAAACTGGTTAGAAACATACAAACTGCTGCTGCTGGACCAAAAGCCTAAAACATCTCTTAAAAGTCTGCACATTAAAGGAGGGGGGGGGGGGGGGGGGATTTTTTAGACTGAAGGCCATGTAATTTTAAAATTATATAATAAATGTTGAATGGGCCTCAGGGGTACTTGCTCAGAACATTAAGGGCTATGAAAAACTTCTAATTTGGCGTAATGAAGAGGTCACTTTCGCACATTCTTGAAAGCAAGCTTAACTCAGTCCAGGAAACACACACTCACACACTTCCTACCATTGTCTCTCCAAATGCACATCCTAATTAAAATCTTACAATTGTAAATTTAAAAACATGTATAGGGAAAGTATGGTCAGTTATCTACTTTCCTGTTTGTCAGTAAATACCTATATAGAGCCCATTGTTACTGGCTTACTATAGGAGAAGTCTTCTCCTGTGAAGGGAGGGGTCACATGGAAGAATGGAGGGCAAGCAGAGACAAAAGGCAGGAAGCATGGAATAGAACAGGAAGGCGGCCATGTTGTGGTTTCTATGCAGACCTAAAGGTCTCACTCACTCTAATTTCCAAGACAGATATTTTTAAATGAGCTTTTAAATAAAAAACAGCCTATACAATAATAATGTCATCTGCCAAATGCAGCATAACACGCACTCAAGTTTTTAAAAAGCTTTTGCTCAAGTTGGCTCAATTTACACCAGCTTCACTTGGTCAAACTTTGAGCTAAGTTAATTAAAACTGCACACGCTCCCTCCAGACGCCCCGTCTTCCCCTCACTTTGCTATGTGTTGACTTGCGGCAGTGTACCAGGATTATCATCGTAGCCTTGGCTCGCGTACCTCGACACCCTCTGAGGAGCATTGTCTCAGTAAAGGATGAACGAGACGAGTGAGCGCGAAACAATGAGATTAAAACGGGACGAGAGCGAACGACAAAGGAGAGATGAGCGGCTCTAAGAATAGAATACAAGTGAAGTGGAGGAGGAAGGGACCAGGGACCCGCAGAGGCATGAATAAAAGAGAGAGTGGGATTGAAGGTGAGGGAGATCCTCTCAGACAGTAGGGCTGTGAATGGGAGAAGCTCTTGTCACATAGAGTGAGACCAGGCCTGCCGCCACCGTGAAGCGTGTCTCTTTGAGAAAGAAGAAATGTAGCAGGTCTGACAACATGCCCACACTCTACCGCTGCACTGACTGACACAACGCACACATGAGCACACACATCAAAAAATGAGCAAAGAGGCTCTGCTTGTGAGGTCCCACTGCCCCTGTGTCGCGCTTCACTGTGCGCTCCACTACTATGAACACTGTCAACTTCAATGGCCTCAATTAACTACAAAAGGCGTCGAGGCAGACAACGAACACATGACCAGTTAAGATCATTTTACAATCTAATGGTGGGTAATGTTAACATGGTGTAGCTTCCAAAATAAAAGGCCAGTTTTCCAATAAATCAGCAAGAAATGTTCAAGATACACAACAAGATATATTAAGTATTACATATTTGCTAGTAGAGGGCTATTATAGCTAGCTGATTGCGGCTGAACATCAGCATACGTGACTGTGAGGACCGATCATGAGTTAAATCCGGTCCATATATGGCTGCCAGACTTGGTTTGGGCTGGTAATCAGCTCCCGTTAGCAGCACATGGGCTAGAGTTGGGCCAGTGTTGGCACCCAGAATTAGCCCAAGTTTTCGCTGTGTCACACATCACGAGGGAGTCAGGCATGCCAGACTTGGGCTGCTGTTGAGCACAGCATCTTTGGCCACCTGAGTGGCTAGCTAAATATGTAGCCCTATCAAGTCGTACAGCATTAGTTTGACTAGATTTACTACAATTTAAAGATCATTTTAATGAGCATGAATCACAAACTGAAATCCATGACAAAAGATTGCTTACAGCCCTTTTTCTAACTCAAGTTTTTCATGTGCTTTGCAGCAGCAGGTCTCTGGTCCTCCAGTATGGCATCAGATCTGGCCACAGTGGTAATTAAAATGCTTAGCTTTGTTGTGGCTCTGAAGCACATCAACATCTAGACAAAGGCGTCAACACAGACAAGCTTACACACACACACACACACCCTCTTGCCTGAGCAAAAATAGAAAGATGGCACGCTAGCTCCTTGGCACGCAGCTTTACTCTCATTACGTGGTCCGTACAGAGTGTTACAGAGACTGGGGTGGGCTCTGCCAGGGCTGTGCCGAGGTCAAAAACATGGCGCAGTAATGATTAAGGCACTTATTCAAATTAACAGGGAACAAGTGCAATAGGAAGCAAGACGGTCCCATAGGACATATCCTGTCTGGCTGTTTGATATAGATAACGTGAATTTAGGCACCACACAAATTTCAAGGCTATGGGGGCACAGACAAAAACATGGTGACTGTGTGTGTGTGTGTGTGTGTTTTCCATTTGAACAAAGCCCCTCTGTATGACTGTAACCCTGTGAGCAACAGCTGTCTTAGTAAGACATGGTGTGTGTGTGTGTGGGAGGGGGGTGTTGGATGTCTTGCCATGGAGACCCGCTCAAAACATTTCCTCCAGGATTTTTTTTTTTTTTTTTTGACACACTCCACAGGCATTCAAGTTGAACTGAGGCAGATTTGATGCTGCTCAGTTAAACCGTTTGACATCTATCTATGTGCCAGATGATGAGTGATTTCTATCAGGTTGTCCCCAGCAGGACAGGGCACACATACCTCATGTGAACCCGTGACCTGGTGGCCTAACAGGTGGCAAAATGTGGACAACACAGAGTAAAATATGCGTCATTCACTCTCACTGTCTCATCACATCTATCTCAAACTGCTGCTGCTCCCCTGGAGCCCAACGGCTTTCTCTTTTCCTGCATGTCACAGGTTTCCATGCGGGATCATCAGAGAAAGTTGGGCCCTTTCTTGCTATCTGAAGAAGCAGGTTCTCTCATGTTTTTCATGTTCATTTCCACTTCCTGTCCCTAACTCTTCAGTCTCCCAGTAACATCCCTGCCAAAATGGGTTCCCACCCGCCACCAACATTCCGCCCACACCATCAGGTGGCACACCACCAAGTACAACTTTAGGGCCAACTTGTAGGAACCCAGCCTAGCTCCATCATCACCACAGCCCACTCTCACAGAGGGGCTTTAACTAAACTGGGAAACAGTGGAATAACACTTTACAATAAAATGGGGCACTGCGGAATGACACAGAATCTCACATAAAACTGTGAAGAAAATAAGATTTTAGTTTAGCAAATTTGCACTGAAAAATTATGATGCAAAATCAGGTTCTCTGATGAATTTATCTTTTTAAAAACACTAAAAGACACAAAAAGTGTCTCCACTTTGAAATAAGTAATTAAATTAAATAAGTCTAGAACACTAAATTAAATGACTTTTAAATCGTTTCATTTGCCACTTACATTGCATCAGTAAAATAACAATAGGAAGATACAGGGATGTCCCCTCCATTATCGTCCACAACTCTAGTTGAGTTTTGTCTTCTCTGGACGGAGCGAGGTGACCGATCCTGAGCCTCAGCTTTCCTGTCGCACTTGTTCACAACTCTCCAATAATTCATACAGCTTCCAGGGAATAAACTGTTGTCCAGTAGGGAAGCGAGGGAAGCGAGCGAACCGACCCGTCGCGGCGCGGATCTACAGGCAGGCGAGCGGATGAGCGGGACGATCGGTCGGAGACGCTGGTATCCTGGCTGGGAAAGTATGGCTGGGAGCGGCGTGTCTCTGTTATAATCACAGACGTGGATGAACGTCCTCTGTCCTTTTTGATGTGCGGTTTCGGAGCTGGTTTAGGTGGCTATGGGGGTGGAGGGAGGGCGGGGTGTGCTTTCACACGAGCAGAGGAGGACCGCCGAGAGCGCAGCGCCGTGTCCAAGACGCGCACTGCACTACCAAATGTCCACATAACGGGAGTCAACTGGGTTTGGCAACAAGGTGTGGCACACATCATACCATAGCCAAGTTGGACCCGGTTTGGCCCCAAAGTTTTTAAAGCCCAGATATTTACTTGAGTCACATATGGAACATTTAAATCCAGGTCCCCACAGACAGACAGCCCGTGTCCCTGTTTCTAATCATTTAAGGAATGATCTACTACAAGTTAATGGAAATATTAGTTTCTTCCTTTAAGTCTTGTGGGAATATAAATCCATGTAAAAGCTATTATGGTAATGCTTGTTAAAAAGGAACCCTTTATAGGTATTATGAGTTTAAACTAATGGCTTTATGAATAATTAACAAATCATTTAGGCCTACTACAAATTTATATATTAGTGATAGACTGATCATCTGGTCAATATCTGGCATTGTGAGATAATCAGCATGGCAGTTGAATGATGTCACTTCTGGCAAACTGTACCCCACTCTCCCTTAAGCAGCAGTCAGGTTCTGAAATCTACAGCAGAACCCAATGTATATATTTTTATTTCATTAATTATTAAAATGACATCTAATACAACATGTATATTAGACTGTACTCTGCATGGAATAATAGAATTATAAAGCACTTTTCTTTGTTGTGATATTGGCATTATCGGCCACCCTGCTCTCTAAATATCCGCATCAGCAACTCAAAAGCCCATATCGGCTGGCCACTATTATAGATCAGTAAGAAGGCATTAATAAAAACAACTTTCAGGTTGCCATGTTATGAAAATTCCCACCCAAGACTAGGTGTAATGGAAATAAGACAGAGTCCTGGTTTGGTGTTCAATTGTACCAAAATGTGTTAAAAAGGCTACTCAAATTTAAAAAAGCCAAAAGACTTTGATCCAAAAATGCAATGCTGGCTCTGGAACAACAGGAAAGAAAAGATGAATTACTCCTACACAACTACAAAGATGGCTATAATGAATAAAACAGACTGTCGAAGGGCTAGACTTTATATCTTTCTGTTACACCACGTGTTCACTTAAATGCACACACAATCACTACCTCCTTAAATGCACGGAAGTGCACAGCGAACCAAATGGCGTTGGAACATTTTAAGGACTGAAAAAGACACATTCTCACAAGACACAAACTGAAATGAAAAATACCACAAAAGTACCATGAAATTTCCTTGGTGGTGTCCAAATAGAGTACTGAATTGTTTCATCCTACCTCTACTGTGGTCACACCTGCCAAATATGGTGCAGCTAAAATGCCATCTCACTGGACACCTAACATCATAAAGAAACGTTATCATTTTTGGTTAAAACTGATACAAGATTTAGGTTGGCAATAAAACACCCAACAACACCCACCTCCATAGGTGGGAGACAATCCTGTCTCCTTCAACTCCAAAGACTCAATGCTGGGGTTATCTGTACCTGGAAGTTACAGGTGACTATATTAATACAAAGATAAAAACAGAGGTATAACACAAAGTAGGATGGAGCACTACACTTACCTTGAATAGGAAGTCAGACCAAATATCTACCAGTTGAAGGATGTTTTGGAGACAGTAGCAGTTTTGTCACACACACACTGCTGGAGTACAGCTATACCAGTGTTTGTTATGCGGGGTATTTAAAGAATGCCCGATGAGACAACTTCAACTTCAGACTACATTGAATACATTAAATCCTAAGGAATTTATTAGTTTCTGACTCTTTCAAAGTGGGAAAGACACTAAAATTCCCCAAACTATATCTCTGAACACTCTCTTTAACCAAATCACACACATTGAGCCAATTCTACGTGATATCCTTATGATAACAAATGTAATTAATAAATAAATAAATAAATAATGTTTCACTTCCATTTACCGAGCCTCACCTGAAACAGTTTGGAGCCCCCCTGGGGAGGCCCGCCTCCCACTTTGAAAACCTCTGGGGTAGACTGTCTTGTTATGGTGTTGGCGTTTTCCTTTTATTGAAAATTACAGCTAAGCGGAAAAGAGGAAGTGAGGTAAAAGTGGGAGAAATAGCCCTGCTACAATCTGATAAATGAATGGTACTTTCTGGAAAAGGGTTGCAAAAATCTAGACCAAAATCCATTTATTACCAACATTTATGACAGAATTATTACCAGATGTCTAAACCAACACCAGCAAAACTATTTTTTCACAACCTGGCAAACCCAAAACCTGTTCTACCAATGTAGCAATTTATAAAGAATTTATAACAATAAATAATGTTATAAAGGGTGCCTATTAAAGTGTTACTGTAATATTAACCGATGGACAATCACAAAAAAGGAAGTGTAAAGGGAAACTGACAAGTGACAGTAGTTGCACAATAAGCCTAGAGACAACTCCTATGTTGAAAACAAGATGTATATAGGGTATATATACATGGTATAGGGCCAAAATACACTGAAATGTTTTTACAATATGAACCCTCTACAACCCTCAGGTCTGTTAACTGTCCCCAGAGTCAGGAGAAGCAGCCTTTAGCTACTGGGCAGCAAATAAACTGGAATAAACTTCCAGAATATTTGAGACTTGCTCTGACTACTTTTAAAAGCAGACTAAAAATATTTATGTTCACTACTGCCTTCTGCTAGAATACAAACCTCGTATTATGCTGAGTGAGGATATGCGTCAAGTAATTGTCGCGGCATGATGACAAACCAGGGGGATAGTAGAAGTGTCAAACAAACTTTCACTACGCTTTCAATCATACATTTTGATTTAATTATTTTTAAATGATCAAATGTCTTGTTTTTATTTTATTCTTTCTTAAATGTCATTGTATGCATTCTTTATATATCTAAAACATGTTTTTATGTGAAGCACAGTGAGTCTGCCTCATGTATGAATCGTTCTATATAAATAAAGATGTCTTGCCTTAGAGGTAGAGCGGGTGTCGTCCACTAATCAGCAGGTCGAGTCCTGCAGATCAATGATTCCCCAGTTAATTACTATTGATTAAGCAAGGGTTAAGACTGGACACTGGATTGGCCAACATTAAGACTCTGTCTCAATACTTCAAACATTTCGACTGCTTTCAGTCAGTCCTTCCACTATAAAATGAAGTGAAGGAACCACTGGGGTGAATTCACTGTTAACAGGCAAAAATATTGCTCTTCTAAATCAAATTGAGAACAAAAACACATTATTTATTAATTTCTAGGAATGCATTATTCCATTCCATTAGTTGCTATTCAAATTTAATCATGTTTGAGTTGCAGCGTGACAAGCACAACATCTCCAAAGCACTACAGCAGCGAGGAATTCAGGGCAGGGATTCAAATATCTCAATTTGTGCTGGTGGTGCGACTGGCTCTAAGGCTGAGGCATATGTCCTTGGGTGTGTCTCACACATTGTCAGTGTGTGTTGGGGGCTGTGGTGCTCGTAGGATGCTTGAGTAGGAGCAACAGCTGCACCGCGGCTAACTTCTCTGGCCAGAGGCTTTGCTCAATCTTCTGCTGTCTCCTGATGGTGCCTGATACAGTTGGTCTGCTGTTAAATGCAGGAAAAAGCATTCATCTTCACTGAGAAGCAGAACGATCAAACAGTCCTTAGATAATCTGAACATAAAGGGGGTTTTGCTCTGTTTTGGCAGAGGCCTCTGTAATGTACAACTGGGGGAGGGGAAAGGGGTGAACAGTCTGAGGGTGCTGCTCAATTTTCTTTACATCATTGGGGGTCTTTAAACATTACCAGCTGTCAGTAGCCACCTGTACTATTACACAAATGGTGGGCTAACAGCTTTGTGTTATCAAAAACAATGAAATGCAAAAATTTGCAACAATTTTTCTAATAAGACATCCTTTATAAAGTGTTTAGGTTGTGATGCTATACAAAAGGTTAAAAAGTTAATGGAAAAGTTTGATATTTTGTGAGCTTTAATCGAGGTAGATAAAAAGATCAATACCACACTCATATCTTTGTCTTAAGCTAGCCATGGGAGTTGATTAGCTTAGCTTAGCATAAAGATTGGAAACGAGGAAGCACCTAACCTAGTCCTCTCCAAAAGTAGAATGTCATTAACATGTTATATCTTGTTTGTTTACATTGAAAATCAAAAATCACTTTAGCATTGATTATGAAAATAGATATTAAATCAGGTCAGTTTTTGTTAATAAATTGTTTCAACTCTACTAAACTCTTTCGATCAAATAAAGGGGACAATGTATTATTTTTATCAATATTACCATTTGTTCAGAATTGATGGCTTATTAGAAAGTTAAAAACCCATGACTCTTTATTAATGACTAACAACTGCAACTGCAGACTTGATGGTTTATTAGATAATAATATACTCGGCATCCAAACCAACTGTACTCATTTCTTATATCTGATGAACAAAGCATTAGTGAATAATTATTAACAAACTACAACGCTTCTTTTAAAGGTGTCTTATTACAAAGTGGTACTAAAAGTAATTTTAGTCTGATTCTGAGCTACATTTACAGCATCTATACACATTGATATACTGTAGCAGGAATTTGTTGGATGAAGGAATGGAAGATTTCTGGCAGAAACCATAAGTGTTGTGTCTAATGTGTCAAAGCACCTGGAATCCTGGGGAAAGAAATAAGAAGAAACTGCCTCATAGTTCGAAACCTCAGGCTCACTCACACTTTCTCACACTCTGCTCTAAACACACTGAGGATTGAGAGCCACCTGTTTGATGAGTGACAGACGCAACAGCTGCACTGCTGCCCGACCTTCAGCCAATACACACACTCTGCTTTTGTTGTTAAGCAAACTGCTGACACAACATCCATGCGTTTCCATATTCACTCCTCTCACACACTTCTACATGCCCACGATCAGCTGAACAGTTAACCCAAGTGCCCCCCCCCCCGCCCTGGAGTGTTAAATCTTTCTTTAAACACACATACAACGCAAGAATGACGCTTGTGTTTTGTATGAAAACGGCGTCACAGTAAACAACTCCCTTCAATTCGATAGAGATTTCTTAAGCAAGAGTGGAAGTGACACATTTCAACATTTATTGAACAAATTGTACAATCAGACATATGTTAAAGTGTGTATGTGTGTGGAAGGTTACACCGAAGTCGTTACTGGCTGATTGGAGGTGGAGTTGAGTCAGTAGGAGAAGAAAGATTCACTTCTTTGGGTCTTGACAACTCAACCTGTGCGCAAAAAAGAAAAGAAAGAAAAAGCCACATAATAATTAATGATCATGTTAACAATTATTTGAATAATTTTTACATGCTCTTCTCTAACCTGTTTGTCTTTGGTGAAGGTTTGATAAAGTAGAAACAACCTAAAATAATCTTCAAATAGACATTTCTGTGTGTCTGTTGGCATCTGTTGGCTAGCGTGGGCGGCCATGTTTTCAGCTCCATCTGGAGGCAGACGGGAGATATGCCTCCCTACTGCCTGCAGCCGGCTCACAAAATGCGTCCGCCCACGCTCGCTGCTTTAATCAACCTGTTTCTGGCGAGTTCTGTATGGTAAGCACACACAGAGGGTAGACAAAATAAAACAAACCTCTCTACTTTACAATAGGACGAATTACAACATTAATAACTCTTTAAAATAGTCTCGGAAAAGTTGTATTGTAGCCTTTCTGGGGAAAGATTATATATATATATATATATAAATAAAATCCATGCTAAAAACTGCAGATGTGATGCAAAAAGTATCCACTTTAGAAACATTTAATCCAACTCAATCAACAAGATTTAGCCGATATAGTAATACAAGCCAGGTGGACTCTAAACATTTCTCTCTTCCAAACTTATTCCGAAGAAAAAACAAAGGCAAACTGTATAATAAGAACAGTTTAAAGACCGACTGCCAGGTTCAAATTTGACCTACTGGGCTACTGTGTACAGTTTTTCCTGTACAATGAGTGATTATTAGCAACATTTTACTTCCACATAAAGCGGTAGATAATCTGGATAAACTGGAGGCTAGTTTACAACCTCTTTAACTGCCTTACTGCCCAGTGATATGACTTTGCTCCCAAATCTACGTAATTACATCTGAGAGTTTTGTGTTATCATAAATGATAGAAATAATGGCTTAAAAAAAACGAAGACCCTAGTTGAATAAACTGAAATTATCTCCCAAAACGGTAATATAGTGTAGCGACCACATAGTCAGATAATGACACACATAATTAACATTATTTACAAGATTCACATAAAATAAAAATATGATGTGAGGCACATGAAAGAGAGAGGCTTAACTATTTTTAACAAATTGTTATTTATTTTACTGTACAATTAGCGTACCAGTGAAATACTTGGCGAGTACTTACCTGCTACTACACAGTCTTTTGCAGGCTGTAATCTATAGCGTAAACATTGTTTGAATGTGGCGTTTGAATACCTGACATGAGGGAAGTCTTTCCAAATGAAAATGTTGTAAGTTACTCCAAGCCTGACGATGCACAGTATAAAAATGCAGTTTTTCCAAGTTAAGAACAGATTCCAGGAGAGTTTACCAAGAATGGCTTCAAAAATCAAAAAGGTACATATTAATCTTCTTACATGTCTTTGGTAAATTATGGCCAACGACAAAAGTAATACTAAAGTTGAGATATCTGAACTATTCTTAAATGAGTAAAGATTCTTAACTGAAATACATACGAGCCCATGTTTCAAATTGTGTTGTTTTCAGTCCATTCCTTGCAGCTGTTCATTAAAGCAGCTTGATAATAACATTGGCAGTTTTTCCACATGAGGAAGAGACAAGCCAGAGTCTTGTGGGTTTATAGAAACATTGAAAACATCCGTGTGGTCTTAAATGATTTCTGTCTACCAGAGTGAGCTGTTGAAGAGAAGAATATTACGTGCATTAGGCTTTGTTTACCAACATATACTTAAAATACTGCAGTATAAACGTCCTTCAGAAGGCCTGTTTCAGTTTACAGCTCCTTTTACGGATTAGCGGTAGTGGTGCTCTGTTAACAAATGGGACTGAAGACAGGATGGCTGCCCTCTACAAACATCATACATGCACACACTCAAAACAGCAAACATTAGTGTGTTAGGTGATAATATGGAACAGTGTCCTCTAAGACCATAAAGTCGATGTCCTGTAGCTCCTGCAGCAGCTCTGCATGCTAATCCTGTGCCTGTAAAACGTGTTCCAAAGATCCTCCTCTTTGAATGTCGGTCCAACTCTGTTTTAATAAAGTGATATTTCACTTCCCTAAATAGCCAAACCTCTGTGAAAATAAAATGTAGGCCACAGAGCACATTATGATATCGGTTGCCAAATCAAGTATCTACTAACGAGCACCCCCCCCCATTACGCAATCAGTGGTGCTCAGAGAATGCCAGAAAGGCCGTAGCAAAATATATTTCGCCTAGATGGCTCCATCCAAAATTAACTCGTAGCCTAGTTTAAATTGAAGAATTTATGCTTCTCCTTTGGTGCTCCAGTCTAACTTAAGCTCAGACAGAGCGCATTCAACTTCCATCTGAGTGTCATGATGTACAACGTCTAGAATAAAAAGCCTTGAACCTGGAGAGATTTAAAAATACTCCTTTCTTGGATCTCGAGTTAGCGTCTGTGTCTTTGATGTCGAGTTCAGAAAACAGCAGTTTGTCCTTCATGACGACGATGAGACCTGCTTTTTCCTGAACACTCCAACCCACGCTGTGTCTCTGCTCTGTCGCTTTCTTTCTTTCTTTTTTTTTAAATACAGATGCAAAGCAATAAAAATAGCAGCGTTAAATCCTATCCTCTGGCTACTTCTTGAAATGTGAAGTGATGACTTCAGCCTGGGAGCAAGCTGGCTGGATGTGGAGCAGGCAGTCATTTGGACAAGGATCCATCATCTAGACCAGAGAACTGCCCCTAAACATGAACGGCCCTCGTTCTCCAAGTAGGCCTGAGTGCTTCAGCTTTGATGTCACTGCTTTTTGGATGAGTGTGTGAGGTAGAAAACAGAGATATCTGTTTTTCTTACCAGTTTCTCTGCCCGCTGCCTCAGTTTCCTCCAGACTGAGTGGTGAGCCTGCAGAGAGGAAGACAACGTGACTACCAGGCACATGTAGACACTGATGCATGAAGTGCATTTATTGTGCCAAACACTTCTGTGCTATTCTACAGGACAAGCTTTGATGTTGAACAACTAAATGTCATATGATCTGTTCCTTGGCAAAACCTGGTTCATCTTGAGGAAAACCTCTGCTGACTGCTAAATAATCACTTTGATTTAGGTAAAATAACTTGAAAGATGTGTTTTTCTTGGTGAAACCTGTAATTGTCTAAAGTGAAAGTAAGAACAGATCCACTTATAAATTTGACATTTTTTATGCCGCAGACATCTAGGTATAATCAGTTTTCTGTGAAATTTAAAACACTGCAGGACCAAATCAGGTCCCTGTTCGAAAAAACTCATGACTGAGATCCACAGTATTTAAAATGTTTTTAATGTATGTTTTCATCCAAGTGCGATCACAGATACAGCGTCATCAGCGTAACTTTATGGATGCCTTCAAAGTATTTAGTCACTGTAATCCACACACACTCGTCCCTACCTGCAGCTGCAGAGGCAGGGAGAGGCCCTGTGCTCGACGGTGGAGGCCCCAGGGTCCCTGTCCCAGGCTGTGGAGGGCAGTCACCTCATACTGGGAGCACAGGCCTGTCCTGGCCACCAGGGGGCCCAAACTCAGCAGCACATGGTCACCACATCTACAAAATGATGATGTAAATGATTGACGGAGATGTACAAAATACATACTGGGGTGACAGGAAACTGAAAACATGTAGGTGGGAAATGAAGGTTTAAACCAAAATGTGTGAATTAAAACTTACCTGTTAAGCATCACTGTGCCTTTGGGATTTTGTGCTGCCTTCTGTTCCACCTCCTCCTGTTTACACCTGGGAGAGAGAGATAACAAAACAATAGTCATGTGTTCTTGAGTTGGGGAGAGACAAAGCGGGGAAAGGAAACAAAGAACAACAAAAAGAAAGAGATACAGTGGGTACGGAAAGTATTCAGATCACTTTAAATTTTTCCCACTCTGTTTCATTGCAGCCATTTTCCAAAAATCAAAAAAGTTCATTTTATTTCTCAGTAATGTACACTCAGCACCCCATCTTGACAGAAAAAAAACAGAAATGTAGAAATTTTTGCAAATTTATTAAAAAAGAAAAACTGAAATATCACATGGTCATAAGTATTCAGACCCTTTGCTCAGTATTTAGTAGAAGCACCCTTTTGATCTAATACAGCCATGAGTCGTTTTGGGAAAGATGCAACAAGTTTTTCACATCTGGATTTGGGTATCCTCTGCCATTCCTCCTTGCAGATCCTCTCCAGTTCTATCAGGTTGGATGGTAAACGTTGGTGGACAGCCATTTTCAGGTCTCTCCAGAGATGCTCAATTGGGTTTAAGTCAGGGCTCTGGCTGGGCCATTCAAGAACAGCCACGGAGTTGTTGTGAAGCCACTCCTTCGTTATTTTAGCGGTGTGCTTAGGGTCATTGTCTTGTTGGAAGGTAAACCTTTGGCCCAGTCTGAGGTCCAGAACACTCTGGAAAAGGTTTTCGTCCAGGATATCCCTGTACTTGGCCGCATTCATCTTTCCCTCGATTGCAACCAGTCGTCCTGTCCCTGCAGCTGAAAAACACCCCCACAGCATGATGCTGCCACCACCGTGCTTCACTGTTGAGACTGTATTGGACAGGTGATGAGCAGTGCCTGGTTTTCTCCACACATACCGCTTAGAATTAAGGCCAAAAAGTTCTATCTTGGTCTCATCAGACCAGAGGATCTTATTTATCACCATCTTGGAGTCCTTCAGGTGTTTTTTAGCAAACTCCATGCGGGCTTTCATGTGTCTTGCACTGAGGAGAGGCTTCCGTCGGGCCACTCTGCCATAAAGCCCCGACTGGTGGATTGCTGCAGTGATGGTTGACTTACTACAACTTTCTCCCATCTCCCGACTGCATCTCTGGAGCTCAGCCACAGTGACCTTTGGGTTCTTCTTTACCTCTCTCACCAAGGCTCTTCTCCCCCGATAGCTCAGTTTGGCCGGACGGCCAGCTCTAGGAAGGGTTCTGGTCGTCCCAAACGTCTTCCATTTGAGGATTATGGAGGCCACTGTGCTCTTAGGAACCTTAAGTGCAGCAGAAATTTTTTTGTAACCTTGGCCAGATCTGTGCCTTGCCACAATTCTGTCTCTGAGCTCTTCAGGCAGTTCCTTTGACCTCATGATTCTCATTTGCTCTGACATGCACTGTGAGCTGTAAGGTCTTATATAGACAGGTGTGTGGCTTTCCTAATCAAGTCCAATCAGTATAATCAAACACAGCTGGACTCAAATGAAGGTGTAGAACCATCTCAAGGATGATCAGAAGAAATAGACAGCACCTGTGTTAAATATGAGTGTCACGGCAAAGGGTCTGAATACTTATGACCATGTGATATTTCAGTTTTTCTTTTTTAATAAATTTGCAAAAATTTCTACATTTCTGTTTTTTTCTGTCAAGATGGGGTGCTGAGTGTACATTACTGAGAAATAAAATGAACTTTTTTGATTTTTGGAAAATGGCTGCAATGAAACAAAGAGTGAAAAATTTAAAGGGGTCTGAATACTTTCCGTACCCACTGTATAAGAAGGACAGAGGTTTGAAGCGAGAGAAAGGTACAGAAACCGAGGGACAGCAGTGAAAGGAGCTGTGAAATAGTATCAGTGGTAGACAGTACTGAGCAGTCAGTTTACCTGCTGTGTGAGAAGACCTCCAGCGCCACAGAGGGCGCCACCTCCAAAGGCTCCCAGGCCAGGTCCTGGTGGATCAGCTGCTGAGCCCCTCGGGTCAGAGACCGCAACGACTCCTGGAGAGAAAAACAGCCATGTTGGTTCACAAAAGCATCTCACATACAAAAGATCAGGTACAGTAAGAGATACAGGAGTTCTGTAAATTAAGGCACACACCAACAAATAAAAGCTCTGAATCATTCCTCCCCTGCAACTGCTGGTGACAAATAGAGGCTTCACTTCAAAAGGTGATAATAAAAATGCACTCACCAGCTGTCCCTCCTTCACACCCACACGTTAAAATAAATATTTAAATGTATATGAGATACTTTAAACACCCAACAAGACTTTAATGTTCTCAGTTTTGATAAAATGTGGTTAAAGACAGCATTAGGCAGAGTTTAAAGGAGGGCGTTGGCATAAAAACAATGACATTTAGGCCAAATGAAGCTGAGTGCCTGAGAAGTTTCTTTGTCAGTGTAAAATCTGATCACTATTGGAATCCATTTCAAACAACTTAAGTCTAGCTGACCACAGCCTCTGTTGTCCGTGAACAGACACATATTTGATACTGAAAAGATAGATTTTGGGTGGAATATCACCTCAACTTCAGCTTTTGCTAGTTAAAATTCTCATCTTGCAGCAGTAGTGTAGACAGTTACACCAGACTTGAAACTTGCTACCAGAATAAATTGGTAAACAGGATGTTTTTATGCTAAAGATACACTATATGGACAAAAGTACAAGGACACCCCATGCCTAAAACATTTGTTTGGAGCTGTTTTTTAATGGTGTGGTCTTTGTTAAGGGGAATTATGTTACTGCTACAGCACACAATTTTATTCAGTTTGTGTTTGACCTTTTCCTGTTAAATATGACAACGCCCACGTGCACAAAGCCAGCTCCATAAAGAAACTGTTTTCCCAGTTTGGTGTGAAAGAACTCCACTGACCCGCACAGAGGCCTGACCTCAACCCTGGAGACTGTGAGCCAGGCCCTTTCGTCCAGTATCATCTCACAAATGCGCTTTTGGATGAATGGGAAACATTTCCCACAGACACACTCCAAAATCCTGTAGCAAACCTTCACAGAAGAGTGGAAGCTGTTACAGCTGCAAGGGGGGGGATCAACTCGATATTAATGCCTATGGATTTAGAACAGGATGTCATAAATGTAATGTGTTGGTGTCCCAGTAATTTTGTCCATTCTATAAAGGATGACAAAACATTTCAAAATAAAACTCATGCACCTGCTGATGGATAATGGAAAATATTTGCTTAGTAATGACAGCAGAGGCTTGACTATGCCTTTGACAAACACACACCTCAGAGGGAGTCCATGAGTCCAGCTGAGGGTCAAGCACCACATCACAACAGAAAGCACCTGAAGTGACTGCAGGGAAACACATAAAAATTGTAAAGAATAAATAAATAAAATAAACCTCCCAAGAATGATGCTTAATGAAACTAAATAATTTGTTTTTACAGAAATATAACAAACAACAAGCAAAGACCAAACACTGCATCTGAGTTCTGCCTCAAAGAGTTCCTGGCAGTGTCGCGCAGAACGTTCAGTGATGTAATGACCAAAGGTAAAGTCTACAAGTGTCTGATGGCTGGTCAGGGTAAATTTGGAGACACAAAGAGAAGCTCCTATACCTGGCACCTCTGGTGTGCTAAGCAGCTCCACAGCAAAGTCGTCTTTGAACGCAGTCTCCAGTACCTGGCCTAGCAAGGCGGCGCAGGAACGCCAATAGGCCTGGGGGGGTATGGGGGACATGAGGACACGTTAAATGACCCAAACTCTTTTCACAATATCACAAATTGATTTTCCTAAGGCCATTTACACTGATCAAAAAAAGAGATGACAGAGAAGGATTCTTAAAGCTTTGAGACTCTTGAGGTATGGATTGTGCACAAAAAGTCTTTAAGGATGATGTTCATAATATTTTGTGTAATCAGTGTATACAGTATATTTATTGGGCTTGTGTGGAATTATTGAGACCCAAGATAGCTGGAAAGCTCAAGCCAATGCCTGATGTCACACGGGTTCTGCTGTAGGCGATACACATTGCAGATGGTATATATACATACCACTCCAGATGGACCTACTTCAGTGTCTGTCAAGTACATTTCCACAGGATACATACATTCCTCCGTGACTTTTCCCAGACTTTCCATAACTAAGTCAGCTCACTTTCTTACCCAAAAATGCAATTCCTTCCAAGTCTGTCTTCATACAATACTCCCAAGCCCATTTGTACATTTTACATTTTTTAAGTAAAAAGGCTCACTAAAGCTGGGTCTGCTGTAGAGCACCCATGCACAACTTATGAAATACATAACAGATATTCATTTATGAAATGTCATTCTCATTATATTCACATTCTCCCCTACTTCACCTGAAGATGTGTACAACTCCTTGACTTTTTTTCATTTTCTCAATTTCCTAAAGCACAAAGGAGATTATTCACGCCTAAGACAATCTAAAATCATTTTAAAGAAAATTATTTGCGTTTTAGAAGTACCTCGTTGACCAGCGTTGGGTCACTGTCTTTAAATGTGAGCAGAGTGAGGGCGCAGGAGTGGGTGAGGGGCTGGTGGAGAGGCCACGGTTTCCCATCCACCAGGGCCAGTACAGAGTTGGTCACATGATGCTCGGTCAAGTCTGAGGGAAACAGAGGAGTTCATCTCAGAGCGACATAAGTAAAATATGAAGCAATAGATTATTAATATATGCAAATGAATCTGAGGTCTCAGATTGTGGACTGTGTTTTACAGAGATGGTTAACTGGACTGGAAATGGTTTCAAGGACAGTTGGATCTGGGGAAAATTAAATAAAATATTCCAGATTTTTTCATTTATACAATCATGGGAATCACACACATTTCCTGCATCCCCAAAGAGATTAGCCTTGCACCCACACTCCCTTTCACTCACGTCTGGCACAGCTCAGTGGTGTGGACATTCCTCTGTTCATGATGAGCATTGTACCGTCCAGCCCCGGGCCGTGCATGGACACCTCGATCTTCTCAACGCGAGGGTACAAAGCTCTCTGCCTGGCCTGCTCTCTGGAGAAGATGGCGTTGCGCTGGCTGCGGACCTCAGCGGCCGATGGACGCACTACCGTGGCGGCAGATGCAAAGTCTGTGGGGAGGGTGGGTGGATGGATTCAAGCAGAAAAGAGAGATGCAGAAGGAATAAGAGGAACCAAAAATACAGCAGAGAATTCTCTCATCACTAAACTTGGAAATTCCCACCTACGTGTGGACACCTCGTAGTAATCGGTGTTACTATGACTTAATGATTACATGTCCAAGCCTTGACATGAAGTGCGCTACTCTCTTTGTGAAGTCTGAGAAATCAACCCTGATGATGTCATAACGATGTCTTCTCATGTGGAGTTTGAGAGATGTAGGCACAGGCACCAAAGACGCTATGGAGTTGCATTATGGGGAATGTAGGCTCCAGTGGTTTGGGCTCTTGACCCATATTAGATTAAAGTCAGGATATAAACTCACCTAAAGGATCATTAGGAACACCATACTAATACTGTGTTTGACCCCCTTTCGCTTTCAGAACTGCCTTAATTCTACGTGGCATTGATTCAACAAGGTGCTGAAAGCATTCTTTAGAAATGTTGGCCCATATTTATAGGATAGCATCTTGCAGTTGATGGAGATTTGTGGGATGCACGTCCAGGGCACGAAGCTCACGTTCCACCACATCCCAAAGATGCTCTATTGGGTTGAGATCTGGTGACTTGGGGGCCATTTTAGTACTGTGAACTCATTGTCATGTTCAAGAAACCAATTTGAAATGATTCGAGCTTTGTGACATGGTGCTGGAAGTAGCCATCAGAGGATGGGTACATGGTGGCCATAAAAGGATGGACATGGTCAGAAACAATGCTCAGGTAGGCCGTGGCATTTAAACGATGCCCAATTGGCACTAAGGGGCCTAAAGTGTGCCAAGAAAACATCCCCCACACCATTACACCACCACCACCAGCCTGCACAGTGGTAACAAGGCATGATGGATCCATGTTCTCATTCTGTTTACGCCAAATTCTGACTCTACCATCTGAATGTCTCAACAGAAATCCAGACTCATCAGACCAGGCAACATTTTTCCAGTATTCAACTGTCCAAATTTGGTGAGCTCTTGCAAATTGTAGCCTCTTTTTCCTATTTGTAGTGGAGATGAGTGGTACCCGGTGGGGTCTTCTGCTGTTGTAGCCCATCCGCCTCAAGGTTGTGCGTGTTGTGGCTTCACAAATGCTTTGCTGCATACCTCGGTTGTAACGAGTGGTTATTTCAGTCAAAGTTGCTCTTCTATCAGCTTGAATCAGTCGGCCCTTTCTCCTCTGACCTCTAGCATCAACAAGGCATTTTCACCCACAGGACTGCCGCATACTGGATGTTTTTCCCTTTTCACACCATTCTTTGTAAACCCTAGAAATGGTTGTGCGTGAAAATCCCAGTAACTGAGCAGATTGTGAAATACTCAGACCGGCCCGTCTGGCACCAACAACCATGCCACGCTCAAAATTGCTTAAATCACCTTTCTTTCCCATTCTGACATTCAGTTTGGAGTTCAGGAGATTGTCTTGACCAGGACCACACCCCTAAATGCATTGAAGCAACTGCCATGTGATTGGTTGACTAGATAATTGCATTAATGAGAAATTGAACAGGTGTTCCTAATAATCCTTTAGGTGAGTGTATGTATCTCTAATTCATGTCAGCATGTACCATTTACACACTTTGCAGCAATACAGGCAATTATAAACGAGGTATTTAAAAAGGTATTACAGCTTAATATACTGTAACTTTTAGACAATGTTCATGCTCGTGATTATACAAGCAGTCAAGTTGGGGCTTTTATATCATGTTCATGCTGAGTAAGACAATAACTCAACGCTACGTAGGAATATTTAACGTTGACGCTAATATTGAAAATAACAGGATTAGAAATCAGCTTGCTGACCAAAATTACTGCAGCGTTATTAAAAGGAGTCAGTTAATGTTAACGTGTCGGTAATTGAGACTAAAGATGTGTCATAACATAAGATATCGCACAACTTTGTAATGTCAAAAGGTGGGTTACGTTCACAGACCCTTTTCAGGGCAGACATTTTAACACGTTACACCCAAATAGCACAGTGCAACGTTATTTAATAAATTGATGAGGGCTGCCTTCCACTTCATGGGAGGTCCTGGAAATCGGTACTAACTTACTGGGACACCGTTAATGCACACATGTGCTTTTCCTGCTATGTCAAGTCCTAATGTCTACTGCGAAAATGTTTATTTGCCCAGACTCAACTGCGATATGAAGCTACAACTTGACATTTCAACCTAGCTAGCCCCCATGCTAACGCTACCCCGGTTAACATTAGCTAGCAGTTACTCACGGCGCTGAAGAACTTGACACGCGGTCCTGGTCGCCATTATGAATGATATTTCTACATCTACGTTAAAAAAAAAACAACCGAAAATAGATACAAAATGGCAAATGGTTAAATGTCAGCTACTTATTCATTGAAGGACGCCATGCCTGTTTTGTGTGCAACAAATATTTAGGTCCGGGGAGGAACTGAAGTTAGTGGCTGGAAAGGTCCATGTGACCTAGTGGACGACGTGTCATCCCAGTTTGGGACAGCAGGTGTCGCTGTTGGTAGATGTTTCAATAAGTCTCATGAAGGAAACCTGCAATAACTATTATATTATTCTGTAGACAAGAGAGAGAAAAATGATGTCTGTCAGCAGCATTTTCATCAACTCTCTAACAACATAATACATATCTGTGTAATACAACTTCAATATTCCTACAGACATTTGTACTAAAGTTTTGACAGCATATTTACGGTGTCCCTCAAAGATTAATCTCTGAATTACATCAGTCTCTGTTTTCAAAGTGTTGAAAGACAGTTGCTTCTATGCTGATTGGATCCAATCCAAACTTATGATCTTGGCTCTAAAGTCTCACATGTCCCCAATTTCATCCTCTAATGGACTCTAATGGCACTCAGAATTTGACAAATGCTTGTTGGATTTTTCAGGACCAGAATCAGCAGTAAGTGTTGGCACTAATGGCAGCAGCAGGAGCAGCAGTACGACGGGCCAGGGGAAACTCAGCCGCAAGACCAAAACATCATAAATCATCTCGACGCAGGCCAGGCTGGAGCCAGATAATGCTAAATAGCAAAGCTGAAAGGCTATTTTCACGGTAAGTGCAAATCTTATGACCTCTGGAAGTTTAAGTGAAAGGAGGGAGGTGAATTCAAAGTTGTAAATGACACTTTTACAAATAAAGAAAATTGTGATGTTTAAAAGAAGTACAAAAAATAAATAAATGACAGAACAACAAATGACACATTTGTGCATAAAGATTTATTTTTTGTTGAAAATAAGTGTTGAACCACTAACATATCTGATGTGACTTAAGATAAATGAACTACACACTGACACTGATGTTCACTTCATACAATGTAACAAGGCATTTGTATCATCTGTAAGGTGTTAAGACTAGTGTCCGTACATTTTTTGACTGATTGATTAGTTGACTGATTGATACTGTCTCTTTGGGTGAGATTGATTGTACTCAGTGTCAGTGTGACAGCACAACTTCATGCACACATCATCCACAGTAATGTCAACATTTGGGATCTTCTGGATGAATTTCCCCAAAGGTGCGGTTTCCTTTTTTTTTAAACATTCGTTCATCTATTCATTCATTCATAGTTAGGCGGGCCTGCTGTAAATTTAATACTCCAGTATGACTCCTTCACAGTGGTGTTACTTGACATCCGTTCAGATACTTGGTGATTGGTCTTGCACTGTCAAAGAGTCTCAGAAGTGCAAAAAAGAAAGAACACAAGCAGAAGAAAACAGGAGAAATAAAACTGCCGAGCACACCGCCATCCCTGTTTGGACCTATGGCCGGTTTCCCAAAAGCATTTAGCACTATGATCCCCTCTGTCGATGGCTTTTAAGATGGTTTTGGCACCGTGCTGCTTTTGGGAAACCCCCGAAAGGAGGTCAGTGATGAATGTGGGAAGTCAAGTGTTGTTGTTTTTTTTTAATTCAAGGGGAAATCCACCCTGTGTCCGAAGAGTGATGAATGTTGAAACAAAATTTCCCCATAACCTGCTTTATCTACTTCTGCTTGAGTTAGTAATTTCCTACATTTCCCAGAATGCCTCTTGATGAGAGCACAGGGCTAAACTGCTAGTTACAGAAAGCAGGTGGAAACAGTTTTAGAAAGAGGGGAGATTTTTCCTTTAAACCCCTACATCTTCACTCTACATGACATGAATTCATTTGCATTCTAATTTCTAATCATCCTCCCATCCTTCACCCCTCCAGCAGACTGATCGGCAGCTACTGTATGCTGCAGGCAGGGCAGCAGGTCTCTCTCCGGTCCGGAAGAGGGCAGAAGTCCATCTGCCTAACAATCTCGGCGAAAAGCTCGTCCACCATGGTCTTGCTCTTGGCCGACGTCTCCATGAAGGGGCAGCCCCAGTCTTCAGCCAGCGCCTGCCCCTCACTGGGGGACACTTCCCTCTCCTCTTCCAGGTCCACCTTGTTACCAACCAGCACCACTGGCACCTGCTGGTACCTGGAAATGAGAAAAAAAGTAATATCAGAGGAGTATATATCTGAAATGTACTGCCTTTTCCCCCGCTGGGTGTGTTTTGTTACAGACTCAGACTACAGGAATTTCCTGATACATAAGGGAGAAAGCAGGAGGGAAAGCGAGACTTAACTCATTAGCAGCAAGTGTGTGTGTGTGTGTGTGTGTGCATTGCTGGCCTACATACTGTATTTGTTAGATGCTGAAACAATAACGGTTTTGAACAATACACAATGATGCGAGAGGAGAGGGATAAACACAGCTACATTCAGTTCCAGCTTCGCAGGAGGCCTCCATCACTCCCCGGGTGTCTAATACCAGTAGGCGGTCCCATTAGAAAACTGTCATCACGAAAAAATAACTGCCTCTTTTGCACGCTGTGATGCTCTATTTATCCCTGGATTTATTATATATGAGTTAGCAAGCTGTACACTTAATGGCTTCCTATGCTTGTTTGAAATCATCAGCTTTGTTTCCATCATGCACTAAGCATGATGGATCAAAAGCTTTCTTCCACAGAGTGTGGCTGACTATCCCAGTCATCTTGCCATCAATACACAGAAACCAGGCGGGGAAGGGTAATGTATGGGTTATTGAATAATTGAATAAAGCTAATGTGCTGCTCTCACATGTGCATCGTCCTCGTACCTTCGGAAACAACCATTTGCTACTTAACATTTCGCTTTAGTCATTGTGTGCCATTTCAGTTGAAACTCTACAGTGTATCAATTGTTGGTCATGGACAGTATGTACATATTTTAGGGAAAGAGGACACCCCTGTAATTGAATAAGCTTTAAAGGCTTGATACCAACATGGGTACTGATTCCTTTAGGTTCTGTGGTGGAAGGAATTTCAATTGTGCATAGAAATAATAGGTAAACACCACCATTTTAAAAATAAGGTCACATTTTTTAAAAGCAAATCATTAAAAAGCAAATAAAAAGCTAATCTACAAAAAGATAAATTGTCGTCAGAGGACAGCTGATGGGTTCCGAGATTGCATTTTGGCCCATGTGTTCCACGTGTTCTGCTCTCTACATGGACTGTTTATATGCGGGCAACCAAATCCCGCTCAGACATGAGTGGTCAATGACACTCAGAATACAAATGGACTTCAAATGAAAACCAGAACGCTTTTGATACAAACATCCTCGACAACAGTGTGCTTTCAACTTTGTGGCAACAGGTGTCTCGCAAACCTGTTAGTACGCCAAAGGTTGTTAGAGTACAAAGACAAGTACTTTGTTCAGGTATATATTTCATTTCAAACGCCCTTCATGTTTTCTCTGATTAAATAACTAGAGAATGTCAATTACAGAGGGTATATATTCTCACAATAGGTAATGGCACAGACCACCTAATATTCTCGACCATCAGTCATTCCTAAGTGCATTCAGAGCCCGGTTTATTGATCTGCTGGTGCTATTGAGAAATGAGCTCTTATCTACAAATTGGTGGCCTGCTGCCACACTGCTCAGCTGGGAGAAGAGCTGAGGCGTGGAAAAGAGCTGGCAAACGTCTCACTGAGCCTCACTGAGGAAATGAGTGCAGGCAGCAGGGAGGAGGAATTAGCACAGAGAAGTGGAGGACACTCAAACACCTGCTGGAGTGTCCTTGAGCTAGACAGTGAGATCGTACAGATTTCAAGGGTGCTACTCTGTGGCTGAGCATGACCTCTGTGCTCATAGAGGGAATCACAACAGAGAGAAAAAGCGTTACGAAAAGTGCAAACAGGAAATGAATGCAAATAATGTCAGCAAATCCTTATTCCTAATTGGCCACCAAACATGCTTTAAGACAGTCAAGCAGAGGAAGCTCACTCAGAAAGGCTCAAATGCCTACAACTTCCCTGCAGCTTGACATTTCCCCCCCCCCCAGCCACAGCACTGTACAACACACACACACACACACACACACACACACACATACAAACGGCAGCTGACCTCAGCAGGACAAGCTTCTAGCATCTTGTGTGTTTGGAAAGCTGGAGTCTAGAGGGTGTGAAGTGTGAACAAGGAGAGCACCACGCAGACAAATGCAATCTGACAGGCTTGCAGGAGAAACTCTATATATAACTACAAAGAGACAGGGAGAGCCAGCTTCTCTAGGGTGGGGTGCGATGGGTGGCGGGGGGGGGTTCGTATAGAGATTGTTTGTTGCAGCATCAAACTGCCGCTCCCTCCTGCACTCCTCCAGATGACGAGAAACTGAAACTGCTCAACACAGCATGAACAAAAGTTGCCCCATGGCTGATATCATGTATTGTTGAAGAATATGTCAGTCAGTGTTTAGGGTTAAACATTTGAGTGCATTACAGTTTTGCTAGCTGGGGTAGTAAATATCTCAGAACTATTTCTACCTATAGTACATCCCTTCGGTGTGTGCTTTTATTACATGATGGGACGTAGTAGTATATCCATTTTCTGCCTCTCTATACTTCTACTACGCATCATTAAGACTGGTAGAGGCCATTCTTTATAATGAATGCTTTTATTTTGAAACTTTAAAGCTGCACCAATCAAAAACGTTCATTTAAACATATGAAATATCTGGTAGTGACAAACCCATTACTCTATGAGGCTTTAAAGAGTATTCCTTTAGCCTTTTATAGCTCAGTCTTTTGATTTAATTACCTGCAAAGTTACTATTTTGGTTAAGTCTCACCGGAAGGCAGCCATTTTCAAACAAGAAGCTCTGATAAACCCATTGTATACTATTTGCCCAGCACCAAACAGCTGAAAGACCAAGTTAGCGACAAGCTTTTGATGTAATTAGTGCATTAAGCAGATAAAGAGCCAGCTATTTCCCTCAGGAGCTGGTGGAGACCAAAAACAGAGCCAAAAGAAGAATAAATATTTGACTTAGATTGGTCAGGTAGACAGAAACATGGCTGCAAATGAATGCTATACACGTTTGCCAGATGTGTAAACAGGCAACTGTTTGCTAACACGTTCGCCATGTTAAGTTAAAAGGTGTTGATGGGTGCGTTTGACTTCATGTGGCGCTGCGCAGCGCTGACTTAACATAAGGCATGCTGTTAAAAATTTTGTCTGACTTTCACGACGCTGAAAACGTCTCCAACGCACCTAATATGTCATGTTTTCAGCTTGTTCCACTGCCCAAGTGGCCATTAGCAAATTGCAGCTTTAAATATATTATGCTAATAATATAAGCAAGACCTTTACTACTGCTACTTTTACATAGTAAATTATATGAATACTTTTTCCAACACTGCTAATAAAAAAGTATTTTCTATTGAATCCTCGGAAAATCTGTCCATAATTTTTCACACAGTTTTGTGACAGATGTATCGCTGTTATACCGATCATCACAATAAAGAATGTCCTCATGGTTACTGTGTCTTTTGAGGTACGGTTACCAATGCTTATGTTCTGCCTGGTGTGTTTCTACTCTACATACTGTATGAATATGAAGTATGAGAAAATCACTAAAATGTCTAACCTGTTCCCGGTCCAGCACAAGAGTTGGCAGCCATGCATTATGGGAATTATCAGCATAGTTGGAGAGTGTTTGGATTGCTTGGCTGAAACTACCAGCTGTTTGAAATGCAGCTTTCTGATTTCAAAATGCAGCAAGAGAGAAGTCAGTTCCATTTATGAAACAGACAACAGCAGGTGGCTGACAGCTTATGAAATTATATGGAGATGGGGTTGTTAAAATATGTATTGATTTCTACACTATTGCTTTCATTAAAAAATAAATAAAAAATTTCAGAATGATACTCACAGAATGGTACTGAGAGCGCCCATGTGTGAGCTCCAGAAGTACGTTCATTTGTGAAAAGCCACAGGTCGAAATGCTGCATCCTCGTTGATAGATGTGGAATCTTGAATAACTTTTGACCTTTACAACACACACAAACTTGTTACTGCCATTTGCCTCTGCGGGGTGTTATTCCAACTCTTGGGGAAAAGGCAAACACGCAAACCCTCCCACCCACAGAGAATCAGTGTTTATAATTCACAAAAAAGACGAACTCTACATTTTCCATTTAGCCTCAGGGTACAAAAGCCTTATTAAGGCTGCCTGCTGTGCTAAATAGCTACAATGACTTCACTTACCCGTTTTTACAAGCCCCACAGCACCGGCAAACACACATACAAATTACAAAAAAAACAGTCAGGCATCTCCAACGTGAAGCCCTCCAACCCTTCAGCCGTCTCTTTGCTCTCTGCATCTGTTGTTAATTAGCAGTTGGAGCAGCTACACTGTGTGACAGCCAGCCTAATGTATGTGTCTTCTTATAGGACCGGACAGAAAAAAATCACAGAACCTATAGAGTTAACACTACCAAAGGGTGTTAGTGCTGGAGTACAAAGCTTCTATAGCTGTGTTTTTCCTGTACACGGCATCAAGAAGAAAGCAAGGAAACAAAATAACATAGCCACAAACATTCCTGTGATAAACAGACAAAGAGGGGGCCTGCACAGCAGATGGAGAAGGTCTTTAGAGTCTGTTTTTATGATGAAACTCCAAGCTTCATTTCCATCTTTAATGGTGCAGCCCAGCTCCTGTAGATAATCTTATTTTCTTTGCTGCAGATGCAAAGACAGCCTAGGCAGTATAGGAGTTGCCAGACGAGTCCTCATTAGTTGTATTATTCCTGCTGTTCTGTGCAGTTAAATGAACACAAGAATTCAAAATGAGAAATAAAGAGGTGGGTTTTGTGCTGCTACAGAACACCATCAAACCCAAAATTGTGAGGACACTTAAATGCAATTAATGTTAATTCTGGCTTTCTCTGGATGGAAGACTGTCCTCCGTTTGATTTGTCACTCATTATTATATATTTT